AAGATCTTGCCAAGCAGGTATTAGCACACGAGTTGCACAAGACGGTGCAGAAACCGAACGGCCTCCCTCTGCCACCGTCTGACCCAAAGCTATGCTCGAATAACGATGATCTTTGACGCCTGAACAGGAGGATGTCGCCTCGTGAACAGGCCAACGGTAGCGTGGGGCAGCGATATTGACACACGGGGTCACAACGCACCAAGCAGATGACGGCAATGTGCACGAGATCGGTTGATCAACCTGTGACACAAGAATGTTATGCGGCGTAATGCCGCCCGGCCTATGGTTGATATGGACCGGGATAGGTTAGGCTCGTTGAATACGGAGTATAGAATATAGATGGATATGGATCGACTTGCCTTTGAATATCGACCTGCCTCTATCGTCCGCCCACCAGGAAGCTATTACGGTACAGGTACGTGGTTGCGAGTGGACGACGTTTTTGACAATATGGCTGCCTGGCAGCTGCTCTGGGGTTCCCTCCCTCCCTCCCTCGCTCTGATTCACTCTGATGCACCGCCCTCGGGCGCATGATTTTGCGGGTGAGACTCCTCTCTGACTTTACGGCCGAACAATACGTCCGATCTCTTAGAGCCTCTGATGCCTATAGAGGGCGTGAGGGTGGGCCGTGGCGCAAGTGGTACATCCCAGGACCAAACTCTCGAAACTGGTCTGCCGTCGTGTGGTCTTGACCAGGCGAACATGACTGCGAAGGCGTACTTGAGGCATTTCAGGCAGGCCAATGGCGCCGTCAGAGGACGGGGTTGTGCATACACAGTACAGTTCATACGATTGATATGCCTCCTCATATCTCATCAATAGGAAGTGATGAAAGTGGGCTTCGGTTTGAGCGTCGACAAATCAAAGCCGGCGTCTCGTTTTAAGTTGGTGTCATGATTGGGAATGCCACCCCTTTTGATGGGCAGGGCCATGGCTTCTCGCGGTTCCTCTTCATGCAGCTGGCTAGTACTGTAGGTCTGGTCAACGAGTGTTTTGCTAAGATGTTTCCAGTGGTAGAATGAGCCTCACCTTGTCTAGGCGTGCCCCCGCTATGACCACCGTCCCAAATTGGTAGTATTGTCATGTTGGTCGTGCGACAATGTTGAGCATAGTACTATCTCGGAGGACTTGGACCCTGCAGGACGAGCGGCGTCTCCATCGTGGCGGTACCGGCATTGGCTAAATACCAAAAAAAAAAAAAAAAAGTAGACGAAAGATGCAACTCAAGCACAGAGTAGGGCATCACCAGCTTTCTGCGACAACAGATGAACGAGCCTTGGACACTCGGCGCAGTCGGAGCTGGAGCTTCACCACTCGACGCCCTGTGCCTGCGGGACCGGTTTGCATCCCTTGGCCTGGCCGGCCATGACTGACCATGGCTACGCTCCTAGGGGGTGCCAATCGGCAATACCAGCGGGCTGTTTCTTGTTTCTGCCAGCCTGCCGCCAGTTGACCTCCCCTGGCCCCCCTGATCTACCAGCCTGTGGGATGCTCTGCTCTACTTGTTTTTTCGGTTTGGTTCGTCCACACAGCTGCTCGTCTACGCCCTTTTGGGCTACCCTCTGGGATAGTGGCACTAGGAACCTCCACGTTGGCGTGCCCGATACCGTATTGGGTACGTACCTTGGTAGGTACCGATAATGGAAGGAGGATAGAGGCCGTACGGAGCGCACTAGACTCGAGCTCCATGTGGTCGCTTCTCTAGAGCAGACTCGCCATCGCCATGCCTTTGCTAGCGGCAAGCGGCTTGCGGGACCGATAGCCTTGTCCCTCTGCCTCGCCCATCTAAATCCTGATTCAAGGCGAAAATTTCATGGAGTTTTTGTCTTTCATGCCACCCCCTAGCTTTTGCCTGCGCGTCGAGCTTCAAGTTGCCGGCCTCTGGTCACCTCTGGTCACCTCGGGTCCTCGACGAGCTTCCCTTTCGGGTGATGCCTGCTCAACAGACCACATGTGCAGGCCGGGCTCCAGCCTCGCCTCTGCACCGTTGTGTGCAACCATGCCGGCCTGTCGAAATCGGAAAGGCGGCTGTCTCTGAATACCAAGACATGGCTGCAACAGTGGGCCAATCGTGACCATGGTTGGTGGCCAGGACATGGAAGTTCCCAGTCGTTTGATGGGGCAGAATAGCCTGACAAGCCGGCCGAAAAGGCGTCAGCCAGCCGGAGAAGATGTCAACACACTCCCCATCGGCCTCCCGTGCCCACGACGATGTGTGCCGCCCCAGTCCGTCAACAGTCATGGCAGGCACATTGAACGGACAGCATGGGGCATCACCGGAAGTAAGCCCGCCTGGTGCAGACCGTTTGGCCAATGGTGGCCTCGCCTGGGCACCCGCTTACTTGCATCCTTGAGGGCGATGGGGACGATGGCTTCGATGGAGGCGCACACCCGTCAGCCCAGCCAATGCCGCCGCTAGTGGAAGGCTTCTTTCTCCATTGATCCAACTCGGGTTTCTCCTTTGCTCTCTCGAGCGCTCAAGCTCGAGACGGTGTTGCCATGGCTCTGCGCTTGATATGGCCTCTCCAGACGCACTGACAAAAGCCAGTCGGCCGTGCCTTTCACAACCTCGGTCACTGTCCGCACCTGACCCATGCAGGACTAGGGCTGGTCCTGATCTCCCGAGTCCCGTGGCTCCTGCCATGGCGCGAGGCAAAAGGTTTTCGGCCGACAATCATCTGGGACAACGGACTGCTGACACCAACGGGGCAATTAGTCGACGTAGGAGCAGCAGCGACCATGTACTATGCCTTTTGGTATTGTTTTGGGTGTTGCGCATGACTAAGTTCGCCACCATTTCGGGGCGGGTGCTGGTTACCGTGTGGCAATGACGCGGCGCGCACTGGTTTTTTGGTCATGGCCACCACTAGCCGCGAACCACTATCGGCCGAGTCCTCTCGTCTCTCTCGGTTCATTTCCAAAGGGGGAGAGGAGGTGGGAAGGAAAAAAAAAAGGAAAGAAAAAAAGGCCCAGCCAACTTGTCTGGCTGGCCTTCATCTGGCCCGCCTGGTTTACCCTGCGACAAGAAAGGCTCGAGTTGAGAATACGGCTACCGACTTGGTTCGGAAACGTGAACGTGGCAGACAACTTGTGTCTCTGGTCTCTGGCCGGGGGAGGTTCAGATGGGCAGCTCTCCAAGACGACTCGATGCTTTGGCCTCGTCGCTGGTTCATGATAACGACAGCGTCCACCGGCGCCATACCGGTGCGCGGTAGTCAACTTCTAGAAGAATTGCGGGCCTTGCAGTCATTAGCTTCCTGGTGGTATTATCGGAGCATTCTGCGAGTCTGCGTCCAACTGTCTTTCAACGCACGCTGCTGGTTCGCCAGGGACCGGAATGTGCGCTTGAGCCATGAGGCTTGTGAAGCTCGACTTTTCTGTGAAGAGACCAGCCATCCTTCGACCCACAGACACCCCTGCCGTGTCTCGTCTCCGTCTTTTGTCTTTTGTCTTGGTCTTGAGAGAGAGTAATCACGACCGAGCACGGAGCAGGTACATGGCCCACGCACTTGCCTTACTGTACTTACTTTGTGACGGACGCCGCCCGCTCGGCAGACCTCACCTGCCGTCTGTCACCCTCCCCACGGCTCGGTCACCGGTGCTCCGTACATTACATGTACATGGCCATGGCCATGGCATGGCTTCTGACAATCTGGGCCTCAACCGAGGAGGAACACTTTCGTCTCCTCCTGGCTCTTTCCCTTCGTCTGTGTGCCCGCCGCCCTCCGCCACGCCCCCCGATCTCGTGCTTGCATCCACGGTGTCTTGGCCCCATGCCCCATGCCACGGTAGCTCTTCCCGCGCTGTCGGACTTGATCTCGCCCCCAACGTAACCGTCCATCTGTCATGGGCAGCATTTAGGGCTTCCACGTCCCCTTATGCTTCCGGGGTAATTGACGGCTCTGCATGACAAAGACAACTGACATGCCAAGAATTCGCAGAGGCGCGAACTCACGTTGCACGTTGAACGGTGGTTTCCTGTCTTGTTGAGACGGGGCACAGAGACAAACGAGAAGGCCCATCATGTCGCCGTCGCCTCGCATGGCTGGCCCACGAGGTTTGGCTTTGCCGCCAGGCCGGGCCCCCTCCCGCTACCGGCCAGCAGCAGGAGTGAGTTCCAGCACTGTTGACTGTTGACTTGTTGACTGCACCTGCTGGCTCTCCTTCTCTCCTTCCAAGAATAGACGCCTACTTAACGTAACTTGGACGATAAGTACCTCCAGCCCTCCCTCACACGGGTGCACTGCACGCCTCGGTGGACGACAGACTGCGGCCGGATCGATGCTAGTCGAGTGGATGGGCCAAGAGCCCGAGCCTGCTTAGTCTCAATCTGCTCCATGACCCTAAAAAGAATCGCAATTACACGCCACTACAACAAACAGCACGCGCTAATAGTCGCTTCGCTGGGTTCGCTGGGTTCGCTGGGTTCGCTGGGTTCGCTGGGCTTGTTCCCGTTCCTGGCTGGCTGGCTGTTAACACCGGCCCTGGCACTCACATCACATCACATCCCATCCCAAATGTACCCGGTTCAGTGCCGGGCCTTTTAGGACACACGCCCCTCCACAGAAGAACATTGAATCCACAGAATCCACAGCCATCTGCCGTCCTGGGGGGGGTACTACTCGCCCGCAACTCGATCTGCATTTCTACAACCACCATCACTTACATCTTTTTTTTTTATTTAAATTTGCCAGCCGGTAGCATCTGGACTTTCCATTCAACTCGGACCGGGGAAAACTCACGGCCCTGCGCTGTTGCCGTTTCATCCTCAACGACCAAGTTTGAAACCTCGGCCATTCCAAGGCGATATACTTGCTCGCACTCCTGGCCTCTCCCATCTCTTTCGCCTACTTGGACCTCTCGGACAAAACAGGCCCGTCCTTTGCCAGTGACTCCTGTCAAGGTGGCTGTTCACCACGCCTGGAAAATCTCGTCCTACCAGGCATCTTTTGCTAGGACATGCGCCCATGATGACTACCGCAGCCTACCCAGCAGCCACAATGACCGAGCTCCGAGGAGAACCTGCTCACTCAAACCTGTGGTCGAATTATGGCAACTCCTCACACTTACCCAACCGCCTTGGAAGCATAGACTCTTCTATTCACAGCCACTCGCAACCACATATCTCGGCCCGGCCTCGAGGCGAGCTGGACCAGCCCTACTCGTCGTACAGTCGATATTCTCAGGATGAGTCTGCCTCTTACGACCGCCAAAATTCCTACCCCAGTCTCAAGCGGTCCTTCTCCCAAACCGAACCACCGGCCTACCAGGAAATAGTTCATGATATGAGGGACGACGGCTCGCGACTCACGGTGAATCAGGATCACAAGCTGCTCTCTTTCCGCCGCTCGCAAGACAAGTCTACCATTGTTGATCAGCAGGGCCGTGTGCAGCAGCTGGAATTGTCCGCTCAGCTCCACGGAATGTTCTTCTTGTCAGAGATGCCCGCGAGCTGCAGCGACGGTTCGGTGCTGCAGCCCGAGCTGACGTGCTACCGTCGAAACTTGTTCCAAATCAGTGGCTCGCTGGTCATGCCTCGAGGACAGCTCTCCGTGGTTACCGAACCCAACGAAACTCTCCCCGTCAGCAACATGGAAGTAGCTGTGTCGGCCATCGAGTCTGTAGATGGCAATCCCGTGCGTCTCATCGTCATTCCCTGGAAGACCCCGCCACCAAACTCGACCGAAATCTGCCAAGGTCCGGATCAGGAGCCGTCTCCGTTGCCGCTGATTCCCTTCCAGGAAGACGGAAACGAAACGGATGGAGACTTTGCTGTTTACCCCATCGGTTGGCGCCGGCTTCAGTTCAGGATGTAAGTAGCAGTTCTGTTCATGTTATGTTTGCCAACTTGACGCGGTCTTCTGACACAAAAGTCTAGTGCCACTGCCAACAATGGCCGTCGAAAGGAGCTGCAACAACACTTCGTATTGCACCTCAAGATTAATGGTACACTCTCCGACAACTCCAAGGTTGTCTTGTCAGAGTCGATAACCGCTCCCATTGTCGTTCGTGGTCGCAGCCCACGGAACTTCCAAGCCCGCAAAGAAATCCCTCTGCTTGGCTCGAGCGCCGGATCGCGAGGTCAAGCACTGGTTGAGACTGGATTGGGTGTTGTCGCTAGCGCCATCAACCTCAAACAAGACGGCAAGCCCAGGAGTATGGATGTGCAAGTCCCCAGATCAGCATTTACGTTCAGTCCCCCGAAACCTCAACCCGAGCATTAATTCCATGAGATCCAAGTTAGTAGCCAAAACCCCGTGGGCCCCAACAACTTCGCCATAGAACTGACTTGTACGTCCCGAAATGCAGCTCGTATCCCTCTTGGAACTCGCATGTCCCTTCAACCATCGCGCCCGACTCGTACTCGAAGTTGCCCCTCTCCGGATCTTCGGCGTTTGCTACGGAGCCACAGGAGTTGCCGCTACAGACTTCGATGGGTTCCTCAGTGCCACTGCCACTGGCGACTGCGGATCAACCCCAGTCTGGTATACGGTCTCAGTATAACTATGCCACGACGTCGACCCCGCAACTCCCCGGCAGCACCGTTACTTTGGGAGGCGACAGTGCCTTCAGCATGCCCCGATACGTTGACAGCAATCCGAGGCCTTCCAAGAGTCCCCGGCACCAAGGCCACCAGTCTGTTCATAGCAGTAGCTCCATCCATAACACGGAAGGTCCAGACTATCGATACAGCGCTTTCCGCGGCATGTCGAACGGCGTTGGCGATGTCTCACCCGGTGGCAGCGCGGCACCGTCAAGGGACTACTACCCGCCCGCCAACACATGGTCCACAACTACGGCTGCAGAGCCCAGTTCGAACCTCTCCTATGCCGGAAATGACGGCAGATCTTACCCAGGGGTGTCCTCACTGAAGCACGAGCCTGGCTCGTACAGTAACAGCGCTCGCGGCTCTTTTGATACAATGAATAACTACTCATGGACAGCTGCTTAAAACACTGTGCAACCTGGTTCATTATGTGTTCTTGTGGATTCTCCTGCAGCAAAAACCTTCATGATGCTCCGAACAAAAGAAGGTAGGCTGGGGATCGGTGGGAGTAGAATGCAGACCGCAGCGAGCCGATTCGTTTTGACTTGACATAATGTACCATATTGACTACTTTTGATACTATACCACCACCCGCGTTGCTTGGCGCTGTGGACGCTAGATACCCGCTATTGGCGAGCCCTGGGTTAACCGATTCTTCTTTTTATTTGTTTCTTACTTTTTTTCCTTCTTGTCCCGTTTTGATGCAAAGCGGCCTGAGGCGACGGGGTTTGCAAACGAGCTGGTCAGGATTCCAGGAAGAAAGCTGCCTGACCGTCATGCATGGAGCTTGGCGGTTGCACCACGGAGCCGCCCCCCTTCCCGGATCTACAGATGTTTTATGAATCAATCAAACCTGCTTGATGCTGTGTGGAACAGTTATATTTGACAGTTTGACAAGTTAGTTGACTCGGTTCGGCCCAGCTTTGCCGGAGTTGCACGGGCGCGTCATGCTCATGCAGGCGAGACCCACCACTTGGACGTATATACTGGATTTTTTTGAGTATGTTGCATTAGCATGGCTAGGATTGGCCCTGGTGTGGCGTGAGGTATGGCCCGATAGCAACGCCGTCTTGCCCAGACTTGTGTGGCAGGATTGATGGGGGATTGGCCAGGGGCACGTTTGGATGAAATGAAATGAGCCACGGGGGAACGGACGGATTTGATAACAAACTCGGGTTGGTATTCAGTTTCATTACTCCGTACTAGCACTTCCTTTGCCTACTACTTGTTGCTGACGGCGGCGCTATGGCGAACAAGGGCGACTTCCTTACTTTGTTCTTCCCTTTTTGCCCTCGTTTGCTTCTTTACCTGCCCCTTCTGGCTGCGCCAACGGAGTTGTATTTTGTGTCGCATTCAGCTGGGGGGGTTTTTTTTATAGAAATATTCCAGACATGCACACGTTAGATGCTAGAAAACGTCTCAGGTTTTGCGCTGTGCAGCTTGTTGCACTATGTGTTGTGATGTTTGATTTTGAAATCCTTAGCCATGAATTTCGCAAGCACGAAGTCGTTTTGGCGCCGGCCGCCAGGCGAGGCTAGCGACGGTCTGTTAGCGCGCGGCAGTCATTTTGCCAGAACTAACGGTACTAGGCAGGCGGAAGTTGAGCTGATGGCGCGCGCGCTTGTTCGTTGCATGCTGACGCCTTGCGTTTGCGTTTGCGTTTGTTGATTGTCGGCGATAAGATAAGATAAGAAGATGGCCCCCAACTCGCCCCCCATGCTCCAAGTGGGACCGATGATGCCGTGTCAAGGTGTGAGTGAAACTTCATCCACGAGCCAGAGACCACGGAGTACTCACCTGCTTGTGAGCACGAGCCGAGAGTTTGCTGGCTCGCCATCCTGGCGCTCACTCCTCACTCTTAGCGCCGTGTTTCCAAAGTTTGCATTGCATTCGGGCCACCTGCCGCCAATGTTTGAGCAACCCGGGGCAAAGAGGTTCGCGTTCATCACCGTGGCCTTCAATCCCCACCGCCGCCGCTGACTGACATCCGTGCAGAGTCCGCCGCGAGGACTTGGACAGCGACGATGATGACGACTCTCCGCGGAGCGACAGTGCAGGCGAGGGCATCGACCTAGATTTGCAGGCGAGGCTGAATGCACAAATCGCCAAGGCACTGGGCATGGATGTCCACGCGGGCCCGAGGTCGGAACCTCACGCAGGGCCTCATCTGCCACGCCAGGATTCCAGCGGGGAGGGGGACGCCCAAGAGGTCTCGAGACGGGAAATGGTGCGTGAAGGCTCCGACGGCGACCTGGGCGAGTTTGATTTCCGCCTCTTTGGCACGGCTGGCGCGCCGTGCAAAGTCGTGCTGGAAGAGCATGCCGAGCCGCTCGGAGGGGGCGCCCTGGTACGTGGACGGCCTTGTTCGTATTACTCGGCGCGAAATGTGTCCGACGGCCGGAGGCGGGAGTACTTGGCTGCGGCGGTGACGGGAGACGAGGTCGTCGAGCGATCGTACAGGCCGTCGTGGGGAATGCAGTTGCCGTGGAAGGTGACGAGGGCGACGGTCGTGAAGAGGGCAAGATTCGAGGAGGGCGCGGAGACGGGGGACGGGAAGACGAGGAAGCGACCGGGCAAGAAGAGGCGGGTTGCGGCGCGTGTCAAGGCCAAAGCCAACGAGGAGAGGGCCGAGGCCGAGGCGCGGAAGGCCTTGGACAAGGAGGAGCATTTGAAGGAGAAGAAGAAGAGGATCAACCGCTTGAAGAAGCTGAGGAAGAGGGCAAAGAGGAAGGTGGGCAAGGGCGAGGAGCACGACGCGGGGGAGAGTGATGGCGAATAGGGCGGTCTAGAGGCAGACGGTTGTATTTACTGTTGGCGTGCGGTTCGCATGTCTTTCCCCCTCTCTGTCACCACCTTCCAGTCACAATAGTTGCATTGTGGTTTAGTTGCTCAATCCAGGACCTGGTACCTGGGTCGTTGGGAACAGGACGCAGTGCTGTTTTTGACCCTGCAAGTGGCCTTGAATGAAATCGACTACTAGATGGATGCGGGACTAGAGAAGCCAGAGAAGTAATGACAATGGCAATAACTGTAAATGATGAAGCACTCGTGTCTCGGGTTCGCAATCTGTGATGTCTGTGACATTTGGCTTGGTGTTCTGAGGTTAGGTTCCTTGCCAGCCAGCCAATGGGCGTGCTTCAAATGTTGGTACCCTCCCGGCCTGAACGCCGCCAACCGCACAGCAACCAACCCTTCGAAGACACAGGACCCTCAAGCTCAAGCTCAAGCTCGGACCCGACAGCCACGCGAAAACCATCTTTGAATAAAATCCAGCAACGAAAGCCACCAAGTCGAGCATCTGGACGAGGCGAGCCAGATGGACTGAAGATCGTACAGCGCACACTAGACAGGTGGATGGATGCGCGATGCGCCACGGACGACGGAGACACGACATCACCACGACATCACCATCCCAGTGCCTGCTCTCGCTGCCCCACCACCGCAAAACATGTGGCCGACTTCCAGATCCATCCGTGAGGAGACCTCTGAGCAGCCGAGGCCGACGGACGACGTAGCAGATACGGGGGAAGTTGCTGGGGGCGTCCTGAGAAGCGAACAGTCGCAGAAACCGCCGGTACCTGCGCCGCCATCAAGACCAGGACTACAACGAAATGCAATGCCTTCTGGTCTCGCAGCAGCAGGAGGACCAGGCCAAGGAAAGCCAAAACCGCAGCAGCAGAACCCGTCACCCACCGACTCGCTCTCACTGCTGCAGCTCCGCCGCATCGTCGCCGAATATCCTCGCGTCGAACCTGTTGCCTACGACTTTGTCTACTCGGACACGGGGCCGCACGCCGAAGAGATCGACGAATGGTTCGTCTATCAATTCTGGCAATGGGTGCGTCTAAACGCTGCCCAGAAGGCATTCGAGTGGCACTGGAACCACGAATCTGACGGTCGGCATTCGTGGGATGACGCAGACCACGACACGCGGGCCAAGTTCATACAGGCCGCGATTGCGGGAGTCCAGTCGAACGATGCGGCCTTGCGCTCTGCATCGATAGGCAAGATCGTGTATCTTGTTTTGGGCCGTTGGGGAGACACGGCTATGCCGAACGCACCAGTTGGATGTGGGCGGTCGATTGCCAGCATACCCCAGCTGCAGGCCATCAAGGCTGGTGTGGAGTGTTTGACGTCGTTGGAAGGATTGCCCGTGGTTTGGGAGGCACTGAGAAATTGCTTCGAGTTGCATTGGTAAGAAGGCGGCTGGTCGAGCTGCGTTGAGCGAAACGGCCGGTTTGCTGACTTGTTCCAGGTCTGGGGATATCCACCAGCAGGCGAGCCCGCAGGAGGCGCAAGACGAATTGATGAATCTGATGACCATCATGTATATTTCTATCCAGGAGACGCTGAACGACTCAGACGACATGTCTTCATCATACAAGGCATTGCGTAAGTGTGCTTGGTCTCGAGCTGGTCGTTCACGAGGGCGTGGCTAACGAACGCTGTTGGCGGTTTAGTGGAATTGGAGCCGTCTTTGGTGGACTTTATGTTGACGGCGACTTCTAAACTTCGATGGGATGAGCAGAATTTCATGCCTCTTACACAGGTGATTGAGACGCGAGTTGCCTGGGTCTCAAGGGTTGCGCCGCTAATAGACGCGCAGATCTTCCTCTTGTTCTGGAAAACCATCTTGCTGGTATTTGGAGGCACACCAGATCTGGCACGGGTCAAGGCGGCCTTGAGCGAGATAAAAGAGGGGATGACCAAGGAAACCATCACAGCCTCGCCTCTGGACTACCATTTGTTCCGACAAGAAATCACGTCCAAGTATCCAGCATACGTCCCTCCACAGCCTTTGCTACCTCTCGAGGACGAAACCACGTCGATTCTACCACCCATTCCAAACCATCCGGCACGAAACAACGGCTCGAATGGCATCATCGCCACACCCGCACAGTTGCAAACGGGTGGTGCCTCCATCTTGAACCAGCCAGTTCACATTGCCACTCCTGCACCATCGCCCCCGCCTTCACCCGGAGTCGGTGGGAAGGCAGGCAAGAAGCAGAATTACCAAACAAACCAGAATTTCCCCTTCATGTACCCTCCCCTGGATGCGACTAGTAACAGCGCTGGCGGAAAGGGCATGGCTGGTATTGACGACTCAATAGTAAGCCGAAGATGGGAAGGAAGCGACATTCCTGCTTCAATCCTTGAGGCTGGAGAACTTTTCTCCACCAGGGTGCGGATGACGCGCGCAACACGGCAAATGTGGGAAGAGAGGGAGCGATTTCTCAAGTTCGAGCGCGGATGGACGGAGGACGGCGACTACGACGACGACATCGAGGGTCTCGACCTCAGTGAGTTGACCTTGGAGGAGAGAGAGGTGCTCAAGGAGGTCAAGGCCGAAGAGAAGACAACACGGTCTGCCCACGACTCGGAGCCCGAGGTGGATTATGGACCACATCCAGAGAACTTGTCAGAGAGGGATAAGCAGCGGCTACTAGCGGTGGAGAGATTCTACGTAAGTTTTCTCGAACCGGGTGTCTGTGGCTCACCATGTGTTGACTGGCTTCCCATCCACAGAAAGAGTCGTTGCCTCATTTGCAGTCACTAGTTATCGTGCTGCTACGGCCGATCCTGGTCAACGTCACCGCCATCGTAGCGCAGCAAGCTGGCCAGATGCCCAATGGCATGGCGGGCAGAGGAAACAACCCAGGAATGAACGGTGGCCCGGGTGGACCGAGGCCGCCCGAGGGTCCGGGGCAGACTGCCTCACAGGAAGAGCCTGAGCCGTCCCCCGAGGAAGTCGACGCGGTCAGGACGAGAGAGATCACGTCCAAGGCCATGACTGGGATTCTGGTGCTGCTGCTCAAGTGGCTAAGGATATCTCGTAAGACGCCATTACGTAGCCCCCTCCCGTTGGGTGATCTGCCAACTGACGTGGTGCAGATGTGCTCAAGTTTGAGTACCTCACGCAACTACTTTTGGACTCGAATTACGTCCCCCTGGTGTTGAAGCTATTTGCTCATCAGGATGTTCAGCAGGTGGTTGACAGCAAAATGGACCGAGTGGAGAACAGGTAGGGAGCTCACTCACTCACCCGCCCACTCACTTGCCATTGTGAATAGCGGTCCCCGTTCTGACGTGGCAAATGTAGCTTCTTCCAATTCTGCAACCTGCGCTCCAAGCTCAAGGACAAGGCCGACAGCGACGTGGAAAATGAGCACGGGGAGCAGGGGGAACACGGCCACGACGACAACAAGACAGGACAGCAGCAGGCCTGCTCCCAAAACGACAGTGAAGACGAAGCCGTCCCCCCGCCCATCAAACGCAGACGATCTCCTGCCAAGGACTCCGAAGCAGAAGAAAGGGCAGAAGCAAAGGTAGAGGGAGAGGCAGAGGCAGAGGCGGCAGCAAAAGCAAAAGCAGGAGCAGGAGCAGGAGCAGACGCAGGAGCAGAGGAGGAAGAAGACGAAGGCGAGGCCAGCGACGACCAAGCCTCGACGCGCCCCGAGGTCGACGAACTCGGGTACCCCGTCAACCCTCTTCCCGAACGGCCAATCACCGACTTCTCGCGCCGCAACTTCTTCTCCCTCATCAACTACCTCCGCGTGCTGCAGAAGATTTGCAAGAACAAGTCCCACCGCAACCTCCTCCTGGTGCAGTACAAGTCGTCCACCATCCTCCGCAAGGCCCTGCGGGTGCCGCAGCCCGAGCTCCGGCTGTACACGCTCAAGCTCTTCAAGAACCAGGTCCCGTACTGCGGACGCAAGTGGCGCCAGTCAAACATGCGCGTCATCACGGCCGTGTACCTGCACTGCCGCCCCGAGCTGAGGGACGAGTGGCTCGCCGGGAGCGACGTGGACGCCGAGGTGGACTCGGCGCTGCCGCTGGAACAGGCGCTGCGGAGTCTGACGCACTGGCTCAATGTGAGGCGGTGCCCGGACCAGATTGCGGCGGACATACGGGCCGCGATGCGGGAGGAGCAGGACTTTTTCAGCAGGGAGCTGGAGAAGATTGACATTGGGTGGGGGGACGAGGGAGAGGGCGGCGGGAGCAGCGCCGAGCCAGACCACGTGGAGGGATGGGCTTGACTTGACGAAATATGTGAGCCGGGAGAGGGAGGCACCATCCTGCCTGCCGCGGTTTGTGCCAGGCGAGGCTCCCCCGTGGGGTGTTGAAGGGCCTGACTGATGCAAGTCGTGGGGAAGCAACGACGAAGAGGCCATTTCGGCCACCAAATAGGGACGGGTGTTACGAGTCGATCCCGCATCATGCCGTGAGGGAAAGCGAAAAACCAAAGTCACCCATGTCTGGCACCGGGCCAAACATTGCTCACGAGGCACAAAAGAAGGCATGGCAAGGTGTATAAACATAGGTCCAAGTATGGATCGATTCATGATATTAGGTATTACAGTCAAGCCGGCGTCATTAACACATCAGGACGTATCCAGTACGCAAGTAACAGCGAGCAGAAAACAGCCGCCCAAGTCGAGGCGTGACACAACCACTCGACCAGTTGCATCCTCCCGCCGCCATCCCCGCTCCACGTCTTGTTCCCAAGCCTCGTCGATTCCGTGACGAAAACAGCTCGCCTCAAGCACGCTCGTAAACGCCATCCCCGTACCTGTAACTCCTGGGCGGCACGCCACTCATCTGCGGCGTCGTGTGCCATGCGCCCGTCGTGGCCTGCGGCTGGGACCCGTAGCCGGGCTCCTGCTTGTGATGATCGGCCAGGCCGTCGTGGTTCACAGCCGTGTTCTCGGTGGCGGAGCTCTGGCGCGCATAGTCGAGCTGATCGGGATGCGTGTGCTCCGGCAGGCGGTTCGCGTCGTCCAGGGGCGCGGGATCCTTTCGGCGGCGGAAACGGCCGAAGAAGCCGCCGCCCGCGTATCCCGACGTGTAGTTGTTGGCGGGGGAGGGGCCGAAGCGCCTCTCCTTGCGCCGGTGGCGGACGAGAGCGACCTCCATGAACATGGAGAGGACGAAGAGGAAACTAAATCACAGACGGGAGGGAGAGAGTCGTCAGCAGGGGGGGGAGTCTGGTGGCGAGGGCGGTAGGGGGGATTCCGCTCACATGGCGATGATGGCAACGGCCATGCAGGCCGTCTGCAGGCGGCAGGCGGTGTGGAAGCTCGGCAGGGCGGTGAAGCCGTCCTTGTTCCCGGCGGCCTTGGAGTCCGACCGTCCCTGGCCAAAGGGCGTGTCGAGGTAGCCGGTGCAGGAGCCGGCGCCGTGCTTGTTGACGACGGCCACGTAGATGAAGCAGCCGATGAAGCAGACGTCGAGGACCATGGCGACGAAGGCCGTGACGGCGAGCCCGGCGACGCAGCAGAGCAGCACGAGGCCGACGAGGGCGTAGAGGGCCGCCGCGCCCGCGATGCCCGTCACCGCGCGCGCCGACGTGTCGATGGGGAGGTTGTGGTTGTGCAGCGCCGCCAGGAAGTAGGCGTATATGCCGAGGATGAGGGCCGCGCCGAGGAACTGGGCGCCGCGGATGAGCCACTGCAGGGACTTGAGGGCGAGGCCTGACTTTGCGCCCATTGCGACGTGCGACGTGCGACGAGCGACGTGCGACGGGTCCGTTGGTCTTGTTGGATGCTGGAGGGGGATGGGGGCAGTTGCAGGTATGATGACGATGACGATGACGATGACGACGATGTTGACGACGATGTTGACGACGATGTTGACGTTGTTGAGACTGAGGGAGCAGGTTGCGGTCCGAAGGAGGAAGAACGAGTTTAAATGACAGAGAGAGAAACAGTCAGAGTGTATGATGCAATGCTGCGACCAAGGGGACCGATGTGCGTTTCAAGTTTCGACCTTCCCAAGTGCCGATGCGCAAGGCAGAAGAAGATGGAGAAGCAGGGACCTGCGGTTCACGGCATGGCAACATGGGTCCGAGATTCAGCATTATTTCTTGCCTCGAATGTTCTCTACCTGCGCTCGGACTGCAGATCGCTCCCTTCTTGTTTTTCTTCGCTTATCCCCCTCTCTACTCCGTACAGATCTCGTTATCTGATGCGCCGGCAACAACAGTTTATGACGTCTGATTCCATCCTCGTGGCTGCGACGGATCTGGGAGGGGCAGCATGACGACGACGTCTGTGGCTGGTGGGGCGTTGACGTCGTCGAGTGGAAGTGGGGCCAGCTAACGTCGCGGACATGCGATTGGTGTACCGTGTACGGGACAGCCTCGCTATGGACACAGCCACAGGCCACATGGGTGCTGGACTTTGGTAAAGTCTTCGAATGGATTCACACGCAAGAGGAGTGGGGAGGAACCGCGTCCGACACGAAGTGAACTGTTGGGGTTGTGCTTTCGCATGTCCTCTGAGAGGCTGCCGAAAAAAAAAAAGACCAAAAAATAAGAAAGTGTCTTGTTTTCGGCATTCTGCTGCAGCCACGAGGAGAAGAATCCACCAGACAGACGTAATACTCCGTACGAACAATGGAATTGTTTCGGCCTTGATCAAGACCTTGGACGACGGCACTGCCCGACATCTCGCCGGTGCCACCGTACTTGGATCATAACACCCATTCCTGGTGAGGCAGAACTTGATCTCGTCAAAAACCAAAAAGTGCGCAATGAACTAGTGTGACGTCTTCAACACTCCACGACTACCTACACACGCGGAAGTCAGTCCATGCCTGCAGCAGACTCCCTTGTGCGTAGCACGAAACAAATCACCGCCCCCCCGGTTGCCGCCTTTAGGTTACGCCATCTGTTCGTGGCGGGCACCATGTGGCAATTGTAAGACAGCCACGCCCAGCACAGGCAACTAACTCTGTATCTCTGACATCTACAACACCACGAGCGGGTTTGTGCTTGTATATGGTTGAACAAGAAAAAAAAAGCTTCAGTGCCGCTCGGACAATATCAGCAGACGAAGAAAAAGAAAAGAAAAGAAGAACCGACAAAAGGCCCCAAAGAACAAAGAGCTACAGACCCGGTGAGCTCACCTGGCTGGGACTATCGAAATCAGTCCAGCATCAGCTTGGCCGGGGAGAGCCCATTCGCCAGTCTGGACCAAGACATGCAGATCCAAGCCTCGCAAGATAGGCTGACATGGCCCAAAATAAATATCACCATCGACTTACAATGCATTCGAATGTCAGCTTCGTCGCCCACGTCGCATCGTCCCCGGATGGAAAGCGTCCATTATTGCCAATGATGCGGCAATTACACCCTAGCCTGGCCATCAAGAAATCTAGATTCAGCAATTTCCCATGTTTGCGAGAGGTAGAGAGAGGGGGAAAAGCATCCACAACTGCAACGGGCCGGTTCCCAAAGATGCCCTGAGCAAACCCTTGCACCTCGAGTGTGCGATAGAACGAGTCAATTGGCTGTGTCGAATGCCCTGCAGGTGAGGGGGAACATGTGTCCGAGGAGAGGGGAAGGTAGGGCGCCGGCGCAAAGATTCGAATAATGCAGATGTTGCCTATGATACAGTCCTAGAACGGACGGGTTAGGTAGGAATCGATCCAGGCATCCATTCCAGAAGCCCATGTCGACAACGACAACGACGACGCCAGACAGGCCCACCATCCGCGTCAACGGGGGTTTGTCAACACTGGTGGCCGCCTTTGTCGACGATGGATTGATTGATACTTCTCGCCCCGCAGGCCCCGGGACTTGCTTACTTGGCTGCGAAATGGTCAGTGATTGGAGCCAGTTCTGAACGCTCAGCCGAGGCGCCACGCCGGTTGTTGCGGAGGATAACGAACAAGGTCGTGGGCGGCACGTTTGTTTGTTTGTAAACTTTAACGTTGTAGCCACGAACTCGTCAGGGTCTTCGGCCAAGAGCCGTCAGGTTGTCAGGTTGTCAGGTTGTCGGGAGTCAGGGCTCAGGGCTCAGGGGCGGAGAAGCGGGGGGCCCCGCGGACGGCGGCGAGCGAATGATTGGGAAGGAGCTCCTAGCACATGGGGGCGGGCAGGAGGCGGAGGCCGTCGAGCCGCCAGCTTAGCACCGGGTACGACGGTGCCACCGCCAACACTTGAACCTTGTGCGGCGCCACATCGTCAGCCAGAAGTTAGAACTAACCCACGGGCAATTTATCATCATCTGACTCTCTCTACGCGACTCGCTGCCCTTGGTGGCAACAGCGGCATCAGTATCAGGTCCGTCCGGGAGACGACAATTCTCGACGGTAGGCACGACTGCTCAAAGGCAGGCAATACGTACCTAGGTAGGCGGCCTGCGCATGCCGTACCCCGTCTTCTCCCCATCTCCATCTCCCGCCAGGTAGGCGGCAACTACTAGCTAGTAATTGCGCACAGGCTACTCCGTACCCATCGTGTGTCGATGCCACTCCCGGTTGGAAGAGCAGAAGATGGAATCGGACCCGATTCTGGCGCCGGATTGCCGCGTCCATGCTGCGTCAAAAGGTCGGATTACCAGACGGAACCTCGCGAACCCCTCCAGCTCAGCGCCAACGTTGCATCCAACATCGAACCACACCCCAGTCCCCCATCGTGGCGAGTGGCTGGATCGAGGTGCGAGGTGCGAGGTGCTCACTAGGCAAGGCAAAGAAAACATGGACCGTGGTAGTGCGTGCCGTGGCACAGTGGCACAGCAAATTTTCTTTGTCGAACGCATCCCACGTTTTGCACTCTGCGGAGAATATTGTCTTGTGCTATCTGAGTACCGTGACCATGTTCCTCATTCTCACGGGTAGCACAACCCGGAAACTATTGATTGACAGCCCTGATCAAGCAGCCGACCTCCATTCCATGGTGTGCACCTATGCAGCTCAGTCGGACGCAACCCATCTGCGTACGCGTCGTGTTGCTGATTTTCTTGCATTTTTCAAGACACGGCGGAACGGTTTGAATGCAGCATCTTGGGAGGCACAAGCTGGCACTGGCACCGTCCGTCATCACGCGTTATTCGGCGTGATCCAGCATGGCCGTGCGTGGTGCGTGGGCCCTAGACAAATCACAAATGATCTGTTTCTAATCAACCGACAGCCAAGAACGAGCCGATGGCATCCATCCCCCTTCGCTTGGCAACGGTGACGAGTCCGACGACAGCCTCGAAGCAATCGATCGATATTTATCCGGCGAGCCTACGGACGTTGCACAGCGGTCGGGTGCTTGCGCTGTCCAGCTGAGCTGTCCTGGCCTGACTGTGTCCTCTCGATGCATCCCGAGACAAATAATGACACAGAGCCGACAAGGGACGTTGGAAGGTGCGGCTGACGGGCAGCGAATGGTGTACTGGACGAATCCGGCACCAGACGCCGCGACCCCTGGCCGACTAATGCAGACGCCGCCGATAATACGAGGCCTGTCATGCCAGGCTAGGCCGTGCTTGAACTGCCTCCACTCTCGGCCGTTTGTCTAATCTACCGAGCACGCTTACGCTATACTACGATGTAGGTCCCGTACGGAGTACGAGCCTCCAGTTCTGAGGACAGGCCGGGGGCGGGTTCCTGGACCGCGCCGCCGTGGCCGATTTCCAGTCATGCATTGTCGAGAGAGAGACATGGGGCTTTGCTCCTCGGTTGGCTCAACAAGTGCTCAACTTTTCTTTTGTGGCTTCTGGAAGTTTATAAATTTCCTGCACGCTCATCTTCTCGTCATGCTCTGAACATCGTCACCTCTCGTCATCCACGCTTTTGACCCTTTTGCTTTGGCTGTGACCTACCGATCAGAGAGGCCGCAAAACTGCGAGCTCTGGCCAAGGTCAATCGGCCTCTCTCTTGTCCGAGTGCGGCATCAGTACTTCGAGCTTCTCCATCGTCTCCAAGAACTCGTCGTCATGAAGACCTCGCCCGTCATTTTGGGCCTTCTCAGCCTCGCTGGCTCTGCCGCGGCTGATCCAACCTGGCCCTCCAGCATTGACGAACTGGAGGAGATCATGTTTCAAATCAACTCTTTCCGGTCTCGAAAGTTTGCCGATACTGTCAACCCTTGCACCAACGAAGCCTCCGGTCCCGGTCGCCGCAATGCCGCCGAGTGGCTACGATCCGCCTTCCACGACATGTCAACCGCCAACACCTTCTTCAAGACTGGCGGTCTTGATGGCTCCCTGCAGTACGAGTTGGACAATGGCGAAAATACGGGTCCGGGCCATAGAACGACCATGAACTTCATGGCACCCTATGTCTCGTCACGTTCCAGCCTCTCGGACTTGATGGCCATGGGAGTCTACATGTCTGTTCGTTCATGCGGCGGCCCAATCATCCCAGTTCGCGCCGGGCGCAAGGATGCCACGGCCGCCGGTGCCTTGGGTGTTCCCCAGCCTCAGAACTCAGCAACCATGTTCCAGCAACAGTTCGAACGTATGGGGTTCACGACGGAGGAAATGATTCAGTCGACGGCTTGCGGCCACACAATTGGCGGTGTCCACCAAGACGAATTTCCCGACCTCATGCCGGCCACCGGTGTGGTCAATGGCAACGTACAGCTTGATTCCACCGACGCCGTCTTTGACAACAAGGTTGTCACGGAATACCTTTCCGGAAAAACCTCCAACGCGCTCGTCGTCGGCCCGTCTGTCAAGATCAACAAAAACTCGGACTTCAAGGTTTTCAATGTCGACGGCAACAAGACCATGCAAACTTTGACCGACGTCAACAATTTCAAAGCCGTCTGCCAAAAGGTTCTTCAAAAGATGATCGAGGTGGTGCCGCCCACCGTCACCCTTACCGACCCCATCGTGCCCTACACTGTCAAGCCTGTCAACCTGCAGCTCACTCTGGCCAATGGCGGTACTGGTCTCCAATTCACCGGATTCATTCGTGTCAAGACGACAGGCCTCGCCAAGGACAGTATCAAGAACGTGGCCGTCACTTACAAGGACCGCAAGGGCAACGCAAACTGCGGTGCGAGCTCTTGCACCATCACGAGTACCGTTCAAGGAGTTGCGCAGGGCTTCGACGACACCTTCAGTTTCTACCCCATCGAAGCCGTCATCCCTGCTGCATCAGGTATCTCATCCTTCACTGTCACCGTGAACAATGCCGACGGTACGAGCAAAGCCTACGATAACAACGGCAACGGCTATCCTCTTCAGGACGACGTCGTGTTCCAGGCCCCTCAGAGCTGTATCACTGGCAGCACTGGCGCCCTGTCCGTTGTCGCTGCTGTCCGCAATGACGTAGCTAGCAATGGTGCTCAGGCCAGCATTGCCTACAAGACGGCTCAGACCAACAGTCCCGTCGGCCTCTTGAACAATGCCACTGTTCCTCTTCAGAAAGGTGCCTGTATTGGCAAGTACACTCTTTTCTCGGCCAAGTATACCATTCCTGGTGGCATGCCATACCAGTCTCGTGTCGATGTCATGGCCGGGAGCAAAGCCGACACCTTCAAAGCTGTCACTGATATTGGCGGAACCTGCACGGATTTCCCCAATCCCGGTGCCTGCGATGCTGTTGATCCCCCAGTCAACTCGACCACTACCACGACAACTACTGGTCCGACGGCCACGACCACAACCACCAGCTCGATCGTGGCGCCCGTGACACCCACTCATCGTGCCACTGTTGGCGGTTATAATCATGTCTCCTGCTGGTCCGAGGGTGTCGGCGTCCGAGCCCTGGCTGGTATTTCCTTCGCCAACGACACCATGACGCTTGAGAAGTGCGCCGACTACTGCAAATCTTATGTATACTGGGGTACCGAGTATGGCCGCGAATGTGAGTCTCACAATGCAAATTTTCGGCTCGCCTTGGCCTCGGCCACGCGGGTTTCAGTGCGCATATCTGACGAGAGAAATAGGCTACTGCGGCAATGCTCTTGACAAGAGTAGTGCGGCTGCTGCCATCGGCGAATGCAACATGGCATGCGGCGGTGACCCCGGCGTGTACTGCGGCGCCGGCAACCGTCTGGAGCTGTACTCAACGACGAGCGCACCTGTCACGCCGACTCCCACGGCAACCCTCAGTCACAAGCCCACCGTCGCCCCATACACCATGGTCGGCTGTTGGAGCGAGGGCAATGGAGTCCGGGCTCTGAACCAGGCCGCCACTATCAGCGACAAGATGACCAACGAAGCCTGTGCCACTTTCTGCAAGGCTTACAAGTATTTCGGTACCGAGTATGGCAGCGAGTGCTACTGCGGCAGCTTCCTTGCCGAGAGCAGCAAGACGGTGCCCATTGGGGACTGTAACATGCCCTGCTCCGGCAATGCGTACGAGTACTGTGGTGCCAGCAGTCGCCTAGAGCTGTACCAGAACCCCAACATTACGACGGGTAATCCCGAGCAGCCCGCAGCCATTGGCGATTATGTTTTCGTCGGGTGCCAAAGCGAGGGCAACAACACCAGAGCTCTGCCTGGCTCGACTGTATCGCAGGACAATATGACGAATGAAGTGTGTGCAACCTTTTGCAAGGACTTTACGTACTTTGGCACCGAGTACGGGCGAGAGTGCTACTGCGGCAACGCCCTCGCTGCCTCTTCGATAGTTGCTCCCGCCAGCGAGTGCAGGATGCTCTGTGGTGGTAGCAACACGGAGTACTGCGGTGCTAGCAACAGGCTGTCTGTTTACAAGAAGAAGCAGACGCCTCCTCCACCGCCACCACCACCGGCCACGACGCCAAAGCGAAGACGCAACCACTTGTAATCTGCAATGTGGTCAGGGGGGTGGATAGCGCCGTACATAAAACCAGACATTACTTGTGATGGCGTGAGTACAAGCCATGTCTTGGAGTAAATATATTATGTGATTGACAGTGAAGGGTGCTTCGTTTTGCAGTTGAATGTTTGCGATGTGCGTACGAAGCCTTTGGTTCATTGCTTCCTCTCCTGGTCCCGACAGCAGTACGGGGCCCCGATACGTGGTAGGTTGTGAATAGGAAGGACCTACAGCCACAGCGGCCTGTACAGCGTGGAGATGATGATGATGATTTGTAACGGGTGCCTCTTTGCGCGAGCCAACTACCGAGAAGCTCGTGAGCGCGTGCGGAGCAGGTGCGGAGGATTCAGCAATTGAAGCGCCGGAGGGGACCGGCCGGGCATCGGAGCCGGAGTGGAGGCGTGGCGGCCCGAGCCAGAAATATCGGCTACGCATGCCCCGACTGCCGTCGACGTCTCTGTGCACAAAAAAAAAAAAAGAAAAGGAAAAGGAAAAGGGAGGGAATGCTTCTTCCAAGCTTGACGTTTGCAGGCCTACACATGTGCGTGTTGCCGCGTGTCACCCCAGCTTGGATGATGACGTGTGCAGGCCGCCGCCACTCCAAACGAGATGCTCCATCAACGAAGTGATTTTATTGCAGGCGCGGCCCGCCCGTCGATTGTCAGCGCACAGTGCTTGGGTGCCCCCCACAATACACGCACGCTCCCATGCGGCAATTACACATCCAAAAGGGAGGGGGAAAAGATCGCAATCGTGTGAACAAAGAGGCTCCGTTGACAGAATCATCCCCACTTCTCGACCCGTCGTCCATGGCACCCCTCGCAGCTTCGTCACGGCAGAGTGGCCCGTGCCCCTCAGCCCTTGCTAAGTTACCTGCCCACTACACCTGCGGACCCCCGAAACGTCAATGATTCAACGTCACGACCGAGTACTCCACAAAACGCCCAATGACGTAGGTTAGCTACCCCAAGCTCCCTCGGTCATCGCACCTTCCCGCCTCGAATGGCGGGATGGAAAACAGGTCCCAAGTTGCCAGCGGAAAAAAAATAAAAAAAAAAAAAGGGAAAGAAAAGGCAGACCGTTGTTTCGGCACCCGGACAAACTTTATTAAGCCCTCCATTCCCTCGCACCTCTTCTCTCCCGCCCCTTCCTTCCCCCTCTCCCCTCTCCAATTCCCCGCATCATCCTATCCTCCCTTTGACAAACCTCAAAAGTCCGTCAAGCACCTTCCCGCACGTGAAACTCTGAAAACGGTCAACCTTGTCAGCAAAAACACCAGGAAAGCTCACCCAGCCTCACCACCGTCGCGCGGCATCCCTCTCCAAGCCCCCACAAGCCCCCCCCAGAAGAAGGGCAGAATGACCCGAGGCGAGAGCACGCAGACCAAAGTCCACTACAAGGGCTCCACCGACGACTTCCTCGTCTTCGTCGAGGACGTTGCCCAGTACAGGGAGTGGCTGAAGGGAGACACGTCCATCCCCCTGGCGCAATTCGTGTCCTCCTTCAAGATCTTCCTCACGCACCGGTAGGCGCGCCCCCCTCCCGTCCAAGCTGGCGTTCTGACGAGGAGGCCGAGAGCAGGCAAGGCGCCCAGGGCACGTACGACGAGTCGCCCAAGAGCGTGCTCTACTCTGAATTCAACACCGACGACGAAGACGAGGTCATCAAGAAGATCCTCAAGGAGGGCACCATGCAGACCATCGAGGTACGTGCGCTGCTGCGCCCGTTTGCTGAACCCGTCCGTCCGCGGCTCCTGGTCTGCGGCGCACGCGGCTGACACCGCGCAGATGCCGGCCCGGCAGGGCGTCACCAACGACAGCATGAGCTCCATGAAGGCTCACTAGGCGCGCTTTGGTCGTGTCGGGGAGGCGTCGTCGCGGGGGATCAAACCAGGCCCTTGTCTTTTCCGCGCCCTTCTCTCGTCCCACTCTCCCCGTGCGAATGTTGTGCTTGAAAAGAAGAACGAGAGGATTGCAGTGGCTGGTGGTGCATGCGTGGCGGTGGTCTTTGACTTGGTCGTCCTCGTCAGCTGCAGTTGCCGTATTGCAAAGTGTGCCTTGGTAGAAAGACTTGTCTCTGCGTCGTGGTTGTGGGTGCTGTTGTCCGTGCCGCGTCGGTGACTGCGCCTTTGACACCGTCGTCCGTCAGGGAAAACGTGCACGACGCACTGCTCGTAGCGCCTTCGTCTTTCGCCACCACAAGCCAACTATTATTGACTACCAAGTGTTATTTATGCTTGTGAGACGGCATTTACCAATCTGAATCTCTCGTCGTGCCGTGTGCAACGTATTTCTAGACCAGTGCACACCACCACCGTTCGGTCATCCCTCGCATCTTCCCCTCCTAGTCTATGCCGAATAGGTATCAGGTCGCTTGGGAAAATCAAAATACAGAAACGTCACCTTGCCCGACGCATGCCCTAGAATAACAATGTCTTCACAGACAGCCAACACGTTCGACGCGTAGCTCGTCGGCAGCAACGTCAAAATGCCGCGGCCCTCGATCCAGACGTCGCCCAGCCTCGCCTCGCCCTCCATCCCTGGGAACGCCACCGGCTTGTAAACAAACAGCGTGTTGTCCGGCGCCTTCTTGTTCAGCCATGTCTGTCCGGATGCGCTGCTCGACACCGAGCCCGCAGTCGTCACCACGGTCTCCCCGTCCGCCGCAAATGCCATGTGAGAAAAGGTTTCCTGCTGCTTGAGAACCTGGCGTCTCGAGTCGGACGCCTTTTCCAGCGCGTAGATGGCGCCGCTGACGGTCCCGACCATGACCGCCGAGTCGTCTGGGGAAAAGGCGAGCGCCGTGGGGCAGTCGGCTTCCTCCGCGCCAAATACGTGCACCTGGTTCCCAGTCTCCGTCTCCCACAGAGCAAAGGCGCCATCCTTGTTGATGGATGCCAGCGTCTTGCCGTCGTCGGAGAAGGCAATGCACAGCTGCGACTCGCTCTGGCCCTTGATCGGCACGCTCGCGCCCGTTTCGACCGTCCAGAGTCTGACCGTCCTGTCCTCGGAGGATGAGGCAACCATCCTGCCGTCTGGGGAGAATGCGACGCACCGGACGGCGGCGGCGTGTCCCTTCCAAGTGTGAAGCGCTTCGCCCGTCTTCAGGTCCCAGACCCGGACCGTCTTGTCGCCCGAAGCCGACGCCAAACAGTGCCCGTCTGGGGAAAAGGCAACGGAGCGGACGGCGTCCTTGTGGCCGCGGAGACGTTGCAGGCACTCGCCGCTTTCAATGTCCCATACGCGGATGTCTCTGTCGCTGGAGGCTGTTGCCGCGACGGTCTTGTCGGCAGAGACGACCACGTCCGTCACCCGGCCACGGTGACTTTGTTGTGCGTCTTGCCGAGTCCAATCCTCAACGTCCAGCAGACGAGTCGTGTCCTCCGAGCCGCCCATTGCTATGGTCTTGAGATCTGGCGACAATGCAATCGTCGGCCAGTTGTTCCACCCGGGACTGAAGCTCCGCGTACAGACACCGCTCTCGATGTCCCACAGGCAGATGGTGCCATCGGTGGAAACCGACCCGAGCATTTTACTGTCTCCAGCAAATGTGAAGTCTCGGAATGCCTCGTCATGGCGCTTCAGCACCCGAGCGCTGTCTCCCGACCCTGTGGCAATGTCCCAGAGACCAATCAGGTTTTGCAGCAACGAAACAGCCAAAGTCTTGTTGTTCGGCGACAAAGCAACGATGCTCTTAGCATCCCCCTTTGCCGCAAATATCTGGTCCAACTTGTCCGTTACTGCGTCCCACACATGAACTGTGGCATCTCCAAGCACCATCACAACTCCTTTGCAGTCAAGTTGGAAGTTGGCGCAGACAATTTTTCGCTCCTCCGGATGCACGAGTGCCCGAATCTGTGTCTTCGTGTCCAGGTCACAAACATGCAATGCATCCCTATACACCGCCAGTACAGATTTGGAGTCGGGAGAGAAACTGATTTCTTCGGCCACCCCCGTCGAGTCTGGAAGGAAAATTGTGCACATGGGCGTCCAAGTTTCCACATCCCACACGGTAAGAGAGCCCTCGGTACCAGTTGAGAAGAGCTTCCCGTCCTCAGAAAAGGCCACTGCCGTGACTGCACCATAGCGTCCATCGAGGGTGCGCGTGCTGGAGTCGCCAGTCTGCTGCGTGGTGACCATGTTTCGAATGAAAGGAAGCCGCTCATGCCATCCAAAAACTCGAACACTGCTATCGGGTGGAGTGAAGAGTAGCGCCGTGCCGTAGGTCTGCAAGGTTGCCGCCTTGATGGTGGACTCGTGACTGACAAGAAACCTCTCGGCATCCTTGAGAAACTTCTTCAAGGGTACTGACGGTTCAAGGCGAGGCTGTGCTGCCAGCAGGCGTATGGCTTTCAACCCTTCGGACAGACTTCCGAGAAGCGACAGGCTTTCAATCCAGCGAAGAAAGAAGTTCTTCAAGAAATCCAGGACCTCCTCAGACGTTACCAGCTCCACGGAAGCCTCCGACACCATCGCGTCACACAAGTGGTGTATCCAGAATGTGGCAGAGTAGGCAACACCAGCCAAAGGGTCGCTGTCGGAACCGTTGATTGCGTCACCGAGGAACCGCGGGAAGTACCCATTTCCAAGAAGATGGTACATGTTGTGTTTCAGGCTGTGTTGCATCTCGAAGATGGACCGGCTGGCGATGTCTTGATGGCTCAGCACAGCATCCCCTTGCTCCAGCAGCTTGCCATATTCCTGGCACAAGTATTCTCGAACGGATTGATGGGTCAAAGACACAACTCTGCCTGTCATGCTGAGCAGAGAACCGCAGGCCTTTACGATGTCCAGAGGTTTGATGGGAGAACCAAGTCCAGCCACCACTCCCAGCTCCTTGAGAGTGAGCGGTCGATATGCAAGATAAACAGCAGTAAGGACGTTTTTGCATCGCGTCCTTTTCAGCCCATGATGCTCTTCAACCCTGGCCATCATGTACCCGTACAAGTCTGGCAGTCCGGGAGGCAGCTGCTTAATTGTCTTCATGGCGTCTTTGCCATCCACGCCTTGGAGTTCTCTGAATGCCAACGCTGCCCAGAGAAAGGTGTTGGCAGCTCGCTCACATATTTCATTAGAAAGTTCCACGAGCGTAGCCTCATCATCGTAACCAGGCTGGCCTTTTAGTCCTGACAGTTTGTAAGTGATGTATGCATGAACTGGTCCTTCCAGTCTTTGTGCGTCCAACTCAACCAGAGCCTCGTCCATGTCTGGTTTCGGCAAGTCAAGTTCTGGTCTGCTAGAAATCAGCCATTTGACTTTACGTGAAATACTCAGGGACTTGAAGATGAGTTGGATCAAATCCTCTCTAGTCCCGTCACACTCGTCAAGACCATCCACGACAAAGTACACAGGTGTCAGTGACGGATCCTTCAGCATATTTTCAAAGGCCTCAGACATTGCACTCATCGCATTCGAATCTGTAAACAACAAGGATCCCGCATATCTATGTTTGGCACGCAGGTGTTGGATCAGGCGAGGTTGCTGGATAAGCAGCATCCACAGCAGGGATCGAAATATTGTATGTGCATTGTTTCTCATCCGATCTCCCGTGCCTTGACAAAAGTAGTATGACACGCTGGGTGCGAATGCTGCGGATTGAGTTGAAATTTCGCGAACAATCCCCATCAGAAGCATTGTCTTGCCCGTTCCAGGCCCTCCTTTAACCCAAAGCATGCGGCGGGAGCGAATCCCATGCCAATCGGAGAATGACGCATACTCTTTAGTGCCCATGACCCATGAAAATGCAATGTCGATAAGCTTATCTGTCTTTCTTTCAAGCCTCTCAAGGTCGCGCATCGGATCGGTCGTGAACAGGTCTCGGAGACAGGCGGAGTCTCTGTCATCAGTAACCCTTTGCTTCTGTGTGGAAATGAAGTCCTGAAGATCTTGGTGGACATTTCCCAGAGTTGATTGCATCTTGTCTCCATGTTGCATGAGCTCTGATAGGCGTTCAAGTGAGCTCTGAGTATTGTACTGGACAGAAGCAGCCCTCAGAGCTTCTTCTGCGCTGGTGATGGCCTTGAGGTCCAACTCCCACTTGTCCCACGCGGCGAGCTCGCGGAGATAGGTCAGGCCAGAATTCCTGTAGTAAGAGCAAACGCTCTTCATCTGATACAGCAAAAGGCTCTTGTAAAGATCAAGCACCAGCGTCTCCAGGCGCTGCGTAACCACATTAGCGGGTTCCTTTCCTTGGACGATACTTCGCTCATCCAACAGGTGATCAACCAGGGAGCAATACCAGTCCATGCGAGAGACTACGTGGGTGATGCCTGCAAGGTTCTCTCGGGAGACTCTCGCCGGATTCGTGAGAATCTATTCGCAAAATTAGTCTCGGTGGTCTTAACGGCGGACGGCATCGATGAATGGGGCCGTCGGCATCTGTTCCTCTCACCTGCAGCCCGACACAGACACCGGCCCACGGCAAGGCGGCTTGAGGAACGTTTTCGATGGCCACGTCGATGACCCCTCTAGCCTGGAGCACAAACCCAGCAACATCTCCCACCGTCTGGGCAAGTTTCGAGTCGTCAGCAAACTTGTCCCGTCCCTTTTGCACAAGATACCGCATGTGTGCCTGGCGCTTCACGGGGTCCTTCAAATCAGCAGCCAACAAAGTGGCCGTGTCGGGCCCAGGCTTCCCCTGGTCACCGCCAGCAATGGCAAACGTCAACGTCTCCGCATATGACCGCACAATGCCAGAGGTGGCGCCGCTATCTTCCAAGCCATCGTATGCGTCGTTCCAAAGCTGCTGAGACTTGGGCAGGCCTTGGTCGTCGTCTGCGGCAGACGACGCGGTCCTCCTCCTTGGTGTTTTGGCGGAGCCTGCGGCTTGCTGAGCAGCAACAGCCGCAACAATCCGCCTTGGGAGTGCCCGAATCTCGGTCTGGACGACTGCTGTAACGGCTTTGACGGTTTGGTCAACGGCCGACTTCATCAGGGTGGGTAACAACGGCGTAAACGGCTCAGACTTGGGCGGTGCTGCAGCAGCGCTCCCATTGCCATCAACCTGCGTGTGGACTTCTTCTCCCGTTGATGCCATGGCTCGACGCACCAGTCGACCCCTTCTTGTTCCGAAGAACCCCCCCAACCAGAGCGACGATTGACGCTGTGGTGCTAGAAAGAAACGATGAGCTTGGCGAGGTAAAGACTCATTGTCGATGAGGGTTGGCTCAGTACCTTTTTTTGTTTCCCTGGCCTGAAGGTTCAATTCATTGTTTGTTGTGGGGCCCAGGACGCAGGAATCGGCAGTCGGCAGTCGGCAGTCGGCACCAGCGCTTCATCATGTTGGAGTCCTTCGGCCAACTCATCCAAGACATTGCCAGGTTGGTGATATTGAACAATCCAATACAGAGTATGTTAGTACTGGCCTACCAGGACTCTGTACACTGTCGACTACACAACGCAAGTCATTTCTTACCTTGACGGGGTACAGGCCCACGCTGTCGCGCAATAGCCCCCCCAGGAGTCCGGACTCCAGATCCGGACAGACTTTGCCCAAGGTTTGCATTCCGTACCGAGTACAGCATTCCCAGGTAAATTGCTTTACCAAACGGAGCACTTAAATCCCTAGGTGGCTATCATAGATGCCTCAAGGTATTGTCGCCAGCAGCCCATCGACCGACGTCTTTGCATTCATGACCTGTCGAAGACGCGTCAACAACACTTCATGCGTGGGCTATCCAATTCCCAGATTTTCTTTCATGTGTCAGATAATGGCCATATTCCATCTTCAGATATTTCATATTCTTCAGTTTCTAAACTATGTCACTATGTATTATGCACCTTCAGCCATGCGATTTCTTTTACGGCCAGTCCCTTCATCTTCAAAACGAGCACCAAACCAAGACCAATGCACGGCATCATCGATTCTAACGTCTGTAGAGGGTCAATCGGGCAACCGCTCAACTAGACATGCCTCGCAATCCATACCTGGTATGCCGCTTCTCTTCTTCGTCATCACTCCCTGCACTTCCTCCTGCAGGCATGAGCGCTTTGCTGAGCCAGTCGAAGCCCTCCATTGTCCATATCACTTATTCTGCTCCCCCAATTTGACCTCGATACAACTTCTGCCATGTCTGGAGGTGTCGTTTGCGGTCCTGCTGGCCGAAAAGTGTCTTCAAGAGACATTCTCTGCCTCAGCCCGCCAGCTCTCTTGGCAAAGGAACTTGCAATGCTCGCCACACTCAGTTTTCTTATTACCGTTGAGGCTGATGTTCTAACTAGGCGCTCACTCCTCGACCGGCCACCCATGCCTGAAAACGGCAGAATCTCTCGACTCCAGACATCAGCCAGGATAGCCTCCAATCGCACACGTTCGCTTCGAGGTGGTGCAAGGAATGAGACTCGAGTCTTCGCGGCAAGCAGAGAATGAGATCGATGCATGTTTAACGACGTAGAACCGTGGCCGCTGGTTTGCCGAGCTCCGCTTGTGTTTTTTATGATTACTTGGTATAAAGCTGGCTTGGGACATATCGTGGTAGCTCTTCGGATGGACAGTCTCCGGGCGCCAGGGTCTGTTGTCTTTCATGTCAATGCCTCCCACAAGTTTGACTAACAGTGATGACCTACCTGATTTGCTGGCAACAACCCCAAGACTTTTCATGTCCAGGTCCAGAAATGTAAGTGCGGTAGCCGCCCCAATCTTGCATTGAGCTGGCGGTGAAGATAATCGTGCACGCCATTCAACTTCTTCTTTGGGTGCGCAGGCTGTCATAATAATTTCATATAGCTGGTGATGGCATTCAAAAACGAGCTTCCAGGAGAAAGGTGCCGTATGGCATTGTAAACCTATTTTAGAGACGAAAAATCAGCCCGTTTGTAGGCTCACACTCTCTGGTGTTGAGACTTTCATACTTACCTCTTCCGTTATCTGCCTCCTCTACTTTGACCTCATGCACATCTATACAAGCTTTTATGGTATATATGGGATCTACTTTCCCAGCACATGCCAAGCAGAGAATATCAGGGTAAAGTATACATATCAAATATTGGCCGTCAACTCCATATGGAGTTTGCCAACAGACATGGAGGGCTCCGCATAAACGAACATGACCGAAGGATCTTACCCGATCTTTGGAAACAGAATCAAAACTCTACCCTTTGGTTACTCTTGGTTTTTCATCCACGGGCCACAGGAAGCTTACCCTATTTGGAAACACAAGTCGGTCTTGCAGTAGCCAGGAGCGCGATAAAGTGTTTCTCATTTGAGGGTCATTTGTCACCTGGTTGATTTCTGCGGTTGCCTCACGAAAGCGGTTTAACACGCTCTCAGCTGCCATGTGTGCGTTTGGACAATCAACCACAGGCGTATGTTTGAGGAGCTCCCCAAATATCAAAGGGTACCTGCAAATTCTTTGTATCGGCTTGCAGATCATGTTAATGCGTGTTCTCTCTTCGCCTTTCACATTGGTCTTCTCACCTTCACAAGAAGATCTTTCATGGTAGCTGCCCTGTTGATGTTGCGCTGAACACAGCTCTTCGTGCTTAAAAGAGCTGACAGAGCTTCGAGTCCTTTCTGGTTCAAGTCCCAGTCCGGCAACGTGTCGTAAACTGCATCTGTTTCTTGGATCATCATTTCATACTTGGCTCCGTACTCTTTATATATAAAGAAACGGCTCATCTGTGGCCATCAGAAGACTGCGCTGGTCTCATGAATGGCAATGGACTTTACCTGTCTCTCAAATATTTTGGAAACTTCGACAATAACTTGTGGTTCCGTGCACAACTCAGATGTTTCCATGGTTGACCCGCCGCCGTGGACGTTGGCGCCTCCACCACAACCGAAGGCTTGCGTTCGATCATGAAACTGTAGACTCGCTATTCCAGTGGCGCCCTCTGGATGACAAAACTCCTTGAAATCCGAATGCGAGACGGCGCGCTGAAGCTCGTCCAGGAATTCTTCATGCAGCTGTAAGATGTCAGAGAGATTGTGGTTTACTGATTGCCGCAAGCCAGGATATGCAGAAGGAAGTGAAACTAGCATCGTAACATAAACCTAGTAGTTTCATTAGAATATTTCATCGCATGGTCAGTGCTTTGTCATACATTCAAAAGCAGCCTTATATCAGTGATGTAGTCTTGTTCAGTGTGAACTAGCTCATCCAATATTCGGCGACGCTTCACAGCCCGATCGAGAGCGTCAGCGTCCAGTCGTATTGGCCTTTCGATGGAGACTTCTTCAGACTGTCTTGGTTCAGCCGTAAATGCGCCGGCGCCATGTTCAACCCGCGAGGCACATCTGGAAAATGCCGTGTTGGCTCCTGATCTCGTAACGGTACTGAGTCCCGCCAAACTAGCACTGGCGCTCCGAACTGCAGAAACGAAGTTGAATGAAGAGCCAGATGACGATTTAGTCCGAATCGAGTGGTATGGTGGTGATGTACCACAGTCCTCGCCAGTAACCCAAAGCCAGTACGGAAGGCCGCGGTTAGGTAGCTTGCGAGATGGAAGGCTATGCTTGTTTCTTTTCTGTATAGAGACCACCCATTTACGGAAAGGAGACTGAGGACGAACATACTTTCCCGGTTCGAATTCCGGCGTATCTGAGATTCGACAGGTTGGGGCAGAAGGCATTTGATCGATACGCCAGTGCGAGAACTCCTGCCAGACTTGAGCATTGTTTTCGGTACCGTCGGCATCTAGCAGAGACTTAATCTGCCTTCTCCTATGGCTGAGTCCCTCATAAAACTGTCCAGCGTACGTGCTGAAATGGGGGAACTTGAAACTGCTGATGTTTTTCCCAACGATGGGAGATGTGGAATTTGTCGATCCGAAGTCGTCGACGGAGGCCCGGGGCGTACAGAAGGTCGATACTGCAATCGCCATACTACAGAAGAACTTAAGTGAACGAGTCCAAAAAAATTCGGATACAAAATTACTTCCAAGAAGAACCCAAATGGAGTGAATGGCACCAAAAACGAACCAAGAGAGGGTATCGTGCGATGCTGGAAGAGAAATAAGTCTGGGGCTGCTGTCCGGTTCTCGACAGCTGGCAACGGGAGAGCATGAGTGCAGGGGAGGAAGGAGCAATCCCACTTGATTGAGGAAGCGACTGCCGGAGTATTCGCAACTTCCATTTGATTGAAATAAGTATCGGTCCGCAATCTGAAGAATCCCGTCTCTAACGGTTCCACCGCAGCACATGAATGACCGTGGGTACATGACGACGGCGACACCGCTGATATCTCGTGTCTGGCCACCGAATCGGTCGAGCTACGTTCTCTGTCATACCCCCGAAAAAAGGAAGTCCTTAATCCGAAATAATGGTTCAAGCTCTTGACATGTACTACCTGTGCGATTGACGAACTTGGGTACATGCGGTTGCGATCTCGTATTCGAACGCTCCTCGAGCCATAGCCAGGGCTTTGGTTAATGGCTTCATGATTGCTTCAAATCAGTCTTCACTCATCGGTGCTTTTGGTTACCACGAAGACATGGCGTCTGTTGTGTAAAACGAGTGAAGATCGGCAACTCTCGAAGTCGACCTCGTGGAGTTCGGGTTGACTAGAGCAGAGGAAGCTGCGGTGACTCTGGGCAACGACGCCAACGAATGACATCCTTTCTGGACCACTACTCATTCTCCGAATCAGAAAAAAAATGCAGGACGATATGCATTTTAATAGCGTGGTCATGCATGAAATGTAGTACAAGTTATTAAGGTTCGTGGATCATGGTTGGCAGAAACCGAGGCTACGGGAGGGCATGTTGATACAGTCCTCCGGCATGCAAGCATTTCACAACTACTTCATGATGAAATACACCATAATCTTTGATCCATCAAGTATGTTTTTTTTTCTTTTTTGGGAGACTGAATCAAACGCAAGTCGTGAAATGAGTACATGGCAATGGTGAGAGCCGGCGATGACAATAGCCAATATCTGAGTTCCGCGACTAACATTATACAAAGCTTGCAAACAGGAATATAAAAGGTAGCACACAGATTCCCCCCGAGGACCGGTTGGACCGGTCTATTAGCTCCCGAGGCCATGGTCACCCTCTGCGGGGTGGTAATATACGAGGACGACGAGGAGTTCAAGGCGAGTGCCGTCGCCGTTTTCGGCATCAACCCCTCTTCAATCTCAAGTTGTGGGACGATAAATTATAGTCTAGCTTTGAAGAAAACGTTCACTCGATAGCATGGCATTTGTCTCAGATAGATAGTGAGTATTACGACCCTGCTTTCTCATGAACTTCGTCTCTCAGTGGGGTCTAATGAAGGAAAGATTGCGCAGGAAAGCTTGGACTGCGCAAGGCAACGCCAAAAAGTACTTCCGTTTCTGAAGTGCGCAAGAGGTCAGAGCAAGATGGCTATTTATTCGTCAAGGGTTTCGCTCCAAGGGAGGATATGCTAAAAGTCCGATCGGAGTGAGTGGAAACTACAGATATACCTTGTAGTAGACTACCACGCAAGGTCAACACTTCAATGAAGATGATTGACAGATCATAAAGATACTTCACTCGGTACGCTCCAACAAGGATCCTGGAGCCGGGAACATCGTCGGAAGCCGGCATATTCAACTCGAGCCAATCGCCCCAAGCTCACGGCGGCATCGGTGCCGGCGAACTCTCTCCCACGGATTTACAGGTCGCAACAATGACTGACGAGCACAAAGCGCCGGAATAGCTCAACTTTGTGGCACATCCCGACCTACGGAGTTTTGTCAGTAGCTTGATAGGGTGGGACAACGAAGGAAGTCCTAATCACGCGCACAATGCTTCGCCACGACGTCCCCGAAGCACTGAGCACCGCAGTGCCGTGTGACAAACTATTATTCCTCGGAGGCGGCGATTCCTCAGAGGCGGCGAGGCCTTTTTCCTCACTGCATGGGTCGGCAACGGGGACGTATCACAGGACAGAGGCGGACTGGACTGATGTATCTAGCTGACTCTGGGGGCCTGGGCAGATCTATCGAGGAGGACTTTACTCGCAGAGCTGCCGAATTGACTCCAGAAAAGAGGAGTAGTGCGTTCAACGCAAACATGGAAAATTATGGACAACTGTCACAGATTGCCGCCGAGTTTGGTGCGCAGCATAAACACCAGCGGTGGCTAGTGACGAATTATGAAGCAGGGATGCGGTACTGCCTGACCCGTATATGATTTATACGAGCTCATTCGATGAAAATGCCGAGAGCAGGATTCGTCTCATTACTGATTTCAAGGTCATATCGCCAAGGGAGCGATTTAGACCAGAGGTGGATGAGATTTTGGGCGCCGGTTGATGGACTTTGATGCGCGTTGTGCTTCGTTGTCACCATCTTTTCTCTCACTCAATCACCAACTGACGTTTGGAATACAGTCAGCATAAGTACCTTGAAGAGTGGTACGAATACCTGGGCGACGAGATTCGTCGAGGAAGTGCTCCATTTACGCGATTGATCGGCTGCGGTTGTCGCGGGCGAATCGTCGCCACACACTCGACGCCGCCATCCATGCAACAGTGATGGACTTTACGACCACTAGACGAATAAGTCTCGATACAGTGAAAACGATCAGTGTCTTGGTATTTATAGCTCTTACTCTTTGCTGTTGAACTCGCACGTCAAGAAGCCGAACACATAGACTGGTAGAATTTCCTTTTCTTTTCTCGAAGAAGGTTATGATTTTGACGCGTATGTTTGCAGCGTCGTTGCCGCTCCAATATGAGGAAAAGGGGGGGGAAGGGGCCGGAGTCAAGAGATCCTCATCAAATCGTCTTCCAAATGGCAGCATTGATGAGGAAGGATTTGTTGTAATACGGCCCTCGCGCTGACTCATCAACGCCCGTGATTGGAAGTCGATGTTTTTTCAAGGCGCAATGCTCTCGTATGCGTCGTATCGCTTCCTATCTCACTCGAGCAGGCAGAATAGCCTGGAGCCGTGATGATAAATGCAATGTTCCTGGTCGAGGAGTGCAGCAAAAAAAGAGGTTAAAAGAAAAGCGGAAAGAGGAGGGGGGGACGAACAAGATGAGAGGGCGGGAGGGAGACAAAGGGGACAGGGGACACAAGACAAATCGGGGGAGAAACAGCTCAAGGTCCAAGGATATTACCGCACAGGCAAGACTCTACATATAAGTGTCGGCATGAAATGCGTAGGCAGTTTGCACAGGACTCCCCCGGCTGTGAAGTCCGTCCATCATCACGCATGCCGTGTGGAGTTCTGTGTGCAAATATTGGACGTGGACACGGCAGGAGGAACATTGAAGGAGTCAGGACTCAGGACCAACATGGGGCTCAGCAGCGGCCCGCGTAGCCCGCACTTGTCACTCTGTTCCTGCAGCTTCTCAACGGACCGACCTTTGCAACTGATTCAAGTCATCTCCAATTCTGGGTCCCAACGCCGTAGCAATGGCAACCTATACCAACCTCGACCTTGTGAAGCAATGCGATAAGTGAGAATACTTTGACTGACAACAACAAGCACCATACTGACTTGGCCAGATTTCCGTACGCTCAGATGGAGCCTGATGAGTACGCCCAAAAGATCGCGGGATATTACAAGTTCCATGTGGAAGGATGCGATTCGGTGCTCGGTTTTATCCTTCCGTCCACCGCCCGCGGGTTCCAATGGCCGGATTTCTGGAGAGTGGACCACGAAGAGAAGACCGTGTTGCTTTGTGGCAAGACGCTCAAGGAAAGGGATGAACACGTTGCCAGAACGCTTGCAGCAGAGCGCGAACGCTCTCACTTCAAGGTCCTCCAGGGATGGCGGGATGAGCTCTACCCTGTCTATGGCCCGGACCGAAGCATACTCGTCAATATCGAACGTGCGGGTAGCGCCTTGTTCGGGATCGTAGTGTACGGAATCCACATGACTGGATACGTCAAGACGGAGGACGGCCTCAAGATCTGGGTGCCTCGTCGAGCCAAGAACAAGCAAACCTATCCTGGTATGCTTGATAACACAGTCGGCGGCGGCCTCACAAGCGGCGACAAACCATTTGAGAGCATCGTGCGAGAGGCTGCCGAGGAGGCCTCGTTTCCCAGGGACTATGTGCTGAAGAATGCCAAGTCATGTGGTACCGTCAGCTATTTCGACATTCGCGATGAGCGAGCAGCACCTGGAGCAGAGATTGGGCTGCTGCAGCCTGAATGCATGTACGTCTATGATGTTGAAGTCCCTGAGGACTTTGTACCACGTCCAGATGACATGGAGGTAGAAGACTTTCGTCTCTGGGGCATCCCTGAGATACAGGCTGCTTTGAGGAGGGGGGAGTTCAAGACAAATTGTGCCCTGGTGCTGCTTGATTTCTTTATTCGCCATGGCATAGTCACGCCTGAAGAAGAGGGGGACTACGTTGAGATTGTCGCAAGACTTCACAGAAAGCTCGAGTTTCCGTGCGCTTGATATAACCCAAATTGGCGCACTTGACAGCCGAGCAGGTGCAGTGACGGCACATATTAGCAGCTTCTCGGTGGAGGGTTGATCTGAAAAGAGCAGGGCGGCTGGGATGAGAAACGGATCAGGCGGCGTAAGCTACAAGCTAACCCTTGAAAACTCTGATTATGTAACAACGAAAGCCTACTGAAGTGCCTCAAGTACTGAATTTTACGTACCATGTACTTGCAAGTATATGCAGCAAGGGCTAGTAGCTACCTTGTACTTGCTCTGTACACGCGCAGGCATTTGTCACTTTGCATTCACTCCAACACTTTGCAATGGCTTTTTTCAACCACTCGAAGCAAAGCAATAGCATCGATTAGCTGCCAGGGCCAGGATACCATGTCTGCCAGGACGTTGAAAACGTACAGTAACTACCTAAGTAGGTAGTAGTCAGCATAAAACACCCATGTAGGCATCATCGTTGATCGACATCTTTCTGTGTGGACACGGTACGGAGTACTCCGTAGCCTGGCACGCTTAGGCCGACGCCTGGCCGACCCCCTCGCCGACGCCTGGCAGGCCGGTGCTTGGCGGACTGGCCCCTGAAGGCTCCAGGCCCGGCCTCCAAAGGTTGCCGCCATGGTGGCCCCAGGCGCCACTACGGAGCCTGCACCTTGGCGAAGCACCTACCAGATCCTTCACCCTTTTAGCGCTACCCACTCCCGAAGTCCCAAAGTCGGCTAGCACCAGCACCACCTCCGAAGTCGAAACGAACACGTATGCGCATGACAACTTTTTTGCCCTCAACCAGCACCAGCAGTTTCGCGGAAAGCTGCTTTTGCCCTGGCCCTGCCTCATTGTTCCGCTTCGTCTCCTTCTCCAGCCTTCTCTGTAGACGACGCCACGTGGGGCTGCTCGGATCTGACAAATCGGCCATGACAAGACACTGACTGATCTGGTTCTTGGAAACATTCTTCATCGCCGTCCCCAAGCTTCATCTCCCTTTGTTCTCACTCCTAGGTTCAACGACGTTCTATAGCCGCATATCCCCCGGGCTATAATCGCTCGGCACGTCGCGCAACTTCTTGCTTCCCCCCTCGCCGACCTTCCGGTGTTCTGTCGCCGCTAGTTGACATGGAAAACGCCTTTGCCCGTCCCATCGCGACGGTTCTCTCCCACTTCGGAGTGGACGAGCACGATGGTCTCAGCAACAAGAGAGTTGAGGAGCTGCGGATAAAGTATGGCCGCAATTGTACGTCATTCCTATTCAAATACTGTGCCGTCCGTCGTCTGCCTCCTTTGCGCGACAGAATTGTCCCCTTGGCAAACGAATTAGGAGCCTCGATGCCGCCTCTCCTTCACACCCCGTCATGTCTGTTTTGTACACAATCTTCTCTTGCTAACTTTTTGGGCGACTAGCCATCCCCGAGGAGCCCCCTGCGCCCCTATGGGAGCTTATCCTGGAGCAATTCAAGGACCAGCTGGTGATGATTCTGCTTGGCTCCGCCGCCGTTTCATTTGTCCTGGCCCTGTTCGAGGACGAAGGCGGCTGGAGTGCCTTCGTTGATCCCGCCGTTGTGAGTACTACCGATTGTATAGATCGATTTGCAGCTCTGCGGAGGGGATGTTTTCCAACACACTCGCTTGCTAACTCTTGTTTTCTGTTCGCAGATTCTCACCATCCTGATCCTCAATGCCGTCGTCGGAGTCTCCCAAGAAAGCAGCGCCGAGAAGGCCATTGCCGCCCTGCAAGAATACTCTGCGAATGAGTCCAATGTTGTTCGCAACAATGGGCACGTTTCTCGAGTCAAGGCTGACGAGTTGGTTCCTGGTGACATCGTTGTTGTAGCTGTTGGAGATCGCATCCCTGCCGATTGCCGTGTCGTCGCCATTGAGAGCAACAGCTTTGCCGTCGACCAGGCTATCTTGACCGGAGAGAGTGAGAGTGTCGGCAAGGATGACGAGGCTGTGGTCAGGGATGAGCGTGCCGTCCTGCAGGATCAGGTCAACATGCTCTTCTCTGGCACCACCGTCGTGACTGGACGTGCCAGGGCCGTGGTCGTCCTCACCGGCTCCAACACCGCCATTGGAGACATTCATGAGAGCATTACGGCTCAAATCTCTGAGCCCACGCCTCTCAAGCAAAAACTCAACGACTTTGGCGACAACCTCGCCAAAGTCATTACCGTCATCTGCATTCTGGTCTGGCTCATCAATATCCCCAACTTCAACGATCCCAGCCACGGTAGCTGGACCAAGGGTGCCATCTACTATCTCAAGATTGCCGTCTCGCTTGGAGTTGCCGCTATTCCCGAGGGACTGGCTGTTGTCATTACTACTTGCCTGGCCCTCGGAACGCGCAAGATGGCTGCTAAGAACGCCGTTGTGCGCAGTTTGCCCTCTGTAGAGACTTTGGGAAGCTGTAGCGTTATTTGCTCTGACAAGACTGGTACCCTGACCACGAACCAGATGAGCGTCAACAAAATTGTCTACCTCAACGGGGCTGGCAGCGACCTCAGCGAGCTCGACGTTGAAGGTACCACCTTCGCCCCCAGGGGCGCCATTACAGCCAATGGCAAACCCGTGGAGGACTTGACGTCGTCTTCAGAAACAGTTCGCCAAATGACTGAAGTCGCTGCCATTTGCAATGATGCCCACCTCGGTTATGATCCCCGTACTGCCACCTTCTCCAGCGTCGGTGAGCCTACTGAGGGGGCTCTTCGCGCTCTTGTTGAAAAGATTGGACCCTGTCCTCCTGACGATACTCATCTCGAGGACTGCCTCCACCACGCCAGCCACTTCTATGAGAAACAACTTCCCCGTCTTGCCACGTACGAGTTCTCCAGAGACCGAAAAAGCATGTCTGTCCTTGTCCAGAACGGAACCCAGAAGAAGCTTCTTGTCAAGGGCGCACCCGAATCCATCATTGACCGCTGCTCCCACGCCCTGCTTGGTGCCAATGGCAAGAAGGTTGCACTTAGCAGCAAGCTTTCTGACCTCTTGCTGAAGGAAGTTGTTGATTACGGAAACCGTGGTCTTCGCGTTATTGCCTTGGCCAGCATTGACGACGTCTCCGAGAATCCCTTGCTATCCGCCAAGTCGACCGAAGATTACGCCCGCCTTGAGCAGAACATGACATTCCTGGGCCTGGTTGGTATGCTCGATCCCCCCCGAGAAGAGGTCCCCCAATCGATCGCCAAATGCAAGGAAGCTGGCATCCGTGTTATTGTCATCACTGGAGACAATCGCAATACGGCAGAGAGCATCTGCCGTCAAATAGGTGTTTTTAGCGAGCATGAAGATCTCACTGGCAAGAGCTACACTGGACGTGAATTTGAGAACTTGAGTCCCAGTGAGCAGCTTGAGGCTGCCAAAAGAGCTTCCCTGTTCTCTCGTGTTGAGCCTGTTCATAAGTCCAAGCTGGTGGATCTCCTTCAGTCTCTTGGCGAGGTCGTGGCCATGACGGGGGACGGCGTCAACGACGCGCCTGCTTTGAAGAAGGCCGATATTGGTGTTGCCATGGGTTCTGGCACCGATGTTTCGAAGCTGGCCGCCGACATGGTTCTCGCCGACAGCAACTTTGCCACAATTGAAGTTGCCATCGAAGAGGGCCGAGCTATCTACAACAACACCCAGCAGTTTATCCGTTACCTCATCTCGTCCAACATTGGCGAGGTGGTTTCCATCTTCCTCACCGCCGCTCTGGGCATGCCCGAGGCCTTGATACCCGTTCAGCTCCTCTGGGTCAACTTGGTCACCGATGGCCTCCCTGCCACCGCCCTATCCTTCAATTCCTCCGACCACGATATCATGAGGCGCCAGCCTCGAAAGAGAGACGAGCCTCTTATTGGTGGATGGCTGTTCCTGCGCTACCTCATTATCGGAACATACGTTGGTCTGGCGACTGTTGCTGGCTACGCCTGGTGGTTCATGTACAATCCCGAGGGACCCCAGATTAGCTTCAAGCAGCTGTCCCGCTTCCATCACTGCACGGCCGACTTCCCCGAGATTGGATGTGAGATGTTCTCCAACGACATGGCCAAGGCAGGCTCGACCGTGTCGCTGTCTATTCTCGTCGTCATTGAAATGTTCAACGCCATGAACGCCTTGTCGTCTAGCGAGTCACTCTTGTCACTGCCTCTGTGGAAGAACATGATGCTCGTCTATGCCATTGCCCTATCCATGGCTCTGCACTTTGCCCTCCTGTACACGCCCTTCTTGCAGACTCTGTTTGCCATTGTCCCGCTCAACGTGACTGAGTGGAAAGCAGTCGTGCTCATTAGTGCTCCCGTCATGTAAGTGGCCCGCAACTCGTGTAAAGCCGGAACCACAAAGCTAACTTTTTGACAGTCTTCTCGATGAGGTCCTCAAGTTGATTGAACGGAATTATTTCATGCAGACAACGCATGAGACAACGAAGGGCGTCAAAGGCAAGAAGGAGATGTAGAGGATAAATGATGACGGGCAAATAAAAGGAATGACAATTTACATAGACACGGAAACAATAATTTTCATGAATCGCTCAAGCTAGACAGTGGATACATGTACAACAGCCCGCCAGCGAAAGCGCCGGGAAGTCAAGCGTACTTTGGGGCGGCTTCCTGTTTGTATCAGTGCAATAGAGGCATTTGGAGGTTTCAGTCATCACGACGTGGCTTGCCAATGAGAATCATCCAAACAGGGATGAATTAGTCTGACAATGGTAGATGTGATTCTCTATTTATTCCACGTCGACGCCAGCCGAGCATCTAGGTATTCGTACAGCGCATCCCGGCCCCCCCCCAACTTGATCCACACTGCGCACTCGCCAGGTCCCGGAGACGTCTTGGGTCTCACGGTGGCCGAGTGCCTGATTTTAGTCTTGCCTGCCCTTTAGTAATCTCTTGGTAACCTTGTCCTTCTCGATGATGTACACATGTGCGCCCCATCCGGAAAGGGCATCTCTATCAACAGCATTCAGGAGCGCCTGCGAGATGGTTTCGAAAAGCGCATCGGGACCCTATTGTAACAAGCTATCCGTCAGCCATCTCTCACCCCCGTTTCCCGCGCAGCCGGGCCACGCCGAGCCCACACGCCGGGGAAGCGCCAGGAAAAGCAAAGGGGCACGACAGCAACATACCATGTCCTCCTCCCACAGCCCCTCGCACATGCCGAACAGCTGCTCGGACGCGGTGCCGGAAACAATAAAGTCCTTTGCGAAATCGATGCAGCCTATGCTGTCGAACCCGCAGATGAAGGGCTTCCCGGTCTTGGGGTCCAGGCCCGCGACGACGGGGGACACAAAGTAGGGGCCGAAGCGGCGCTCGTAGAGCGACGACGAGACGAGGTTGGCAAAGGTGCGGGGGGCGATGGCGCGCTCCTCGCGGAGGCGGTACATGTTGACCTTGTAGCGGAAGAGGTCGGCGACGGTGCTGACGTCGGTTGCGAGGCCCGTCAGCCCCAGGAACACGTCGCCGTATTGGAAGATCTTGGGGAAGTTGTTGGACACGGTGAGCGCTTGGAGGCCCAGGCGGAGGTCGCAGGCTATGGCGACGCAGTCTTTGCCGACCATGGCGACGCAGGCGCCGCCGTCTTTTTGGGGGAAGAGAGTCGTCAGCACGGGGGGAAGGGTTCGAGGAACTGGAAGGCCGGGGGCCCGGAGGGAGGGGGGAATCACGAACTGATGGAGAAGGGCGACGACTGGTGGTCTGAGTTAGCTTCGGGATTGGCATGGACGGATGGAGGGAGGGAGGGAGGGAGGGAGGGACAGATGGAGGAGCGTGGTTCAGGCGTACCATTGTGCTGCTGGGTGAGGGACTGCGAACCGAGCAGTCGCTCAGGGGGCGGGGAGATTGATCGGTCGAGCTTCTTGGCGGGTGAGGCCTTGACGGGGGGTTCGTGACGGTGCTTGTGGAAGCTGCCTGGCTGAGTGTGTCGTCGGATCGTGAGTCGTGGCTGGTGGTAGCTCAACGGACGGACGAGCTGCGTGCGGCAACTCGCAAGGCAACGACCAGACTGGCGCGGCGGAAGCTGACTGGACTGGGGCGGTGGCGGGCGTTGATTGGCTGGAGCTGTGGCGCCGCCTGGTGGTGACTCGCGAGGCCTCGCCGCTGATGACTTGCTGCCGTCTGCGTGCAGGCGACTTTTGGGGATCCGAGACACCTCAGACTTGGTTGTGCTGACGCTCGTTCTTCTCCGCGACTGCGTCTGGTCTGATGAGACTGGCGCTGCTTTGACGGCCGATATGAGCTGTCTCGTCCGTGTCGCGGACCGACGACACGACATGCTCGGCGGGAACGGCATTCTGGTGGTCGTTTCAGGGTGCTGGGAAGATCGGTGTCGTACTCCCCGAGGACATTTCACTGTAGATAGATTTTCTGATCGTATGGGGACATCTGAATCTCTGCAGGGCACCAGGCCGTGGCGCGCAACGCTCCGAGACGCTGCAGCCGCCCTCTTATACCTTGAGAGAAGGAGGGCAGCTTTTGACTTGTTGAACTTGTGTGTCGACGGCTAAGTATCATCAAGATGCTTCTGGAAAATATTCTTCACGTTGGCCTCGGTTGGGGCAGACAGATTATTCACGTGTGCCGACGCAAAGAGTTCCCACAAAGGTGTGTATATGTATTGTCGCCTGCCTTACTTCCTGGGCCACATGCGTAGTTATAATGAGAGGCACTGAAGTTTTCCAGGCAGATCGTACGCATCATATTCGACCACCTCAACCGAGTCCAAAGGAGACATTGGCGTGTTCCAGGTCGAGACACGGAAACCTCGAGTGGAGGGCACAGCAAACAAGAACCCTCGGCCTCGGGCTCACGCGTTTCTACCTTGACATTCTCGCCTGCCCAAGTCCGACCAATCGTGCCAACTGCCTTCCATGTACCCCTTTTCCAGCAAGCTGCCCTGCGCGTTGCGTGCGTACACACGTATGCCCCTGTCTCCCATCCATATGGCCCCCGGGGACCCGGTAAACTTGCCGCCACCCAAGCCGGACCAGGAGTTCTGCCAGTTGCCTCCCCGGGTGCCCTGCTCTACAAGCTCATACTGATAGTTGCGTGCGTAGATGCGGACATCTCCAGGTGCAAGAGCAATGGCTGCCGGCGAGCTGGAAATAGAGCCGCCCAGGTTCTTCCACTCGTGCCAGCGGCCACTCTGATAGGCCTTTTCCATGAGCTCGCCGGCCCTGTTTCTGGCGTAGACGCGAATGCCTACGTCGTCCCCCATCCACAGGGCCGAGGGGTCACCGACAATATCGCCTCCCAGGTTTTCCCAGTCTGACCACCTGCCGCCAGAGTATGTGATTTCCACGAGGTGGTTGGCCTTGTTGCGGGCGTAGACACGGACGCCTAGGCTTTCTCCCAGCCAGATGGCTGTAGGGGCGCTTGCAATCTCTCCGCCGAGACCCTTCCAGGACTGCCACGCACCGTCGTTCAATGCCCCCTCCACGAGCTCGTTGGATCCGCTTCGTGCGTAGACTCGGAGCGCGTTGTCGTTGATGACCATGGCGGCGGGCTGGCTGGCAATATAACCGTCTCGACGGATCCAGTACGGCCACCACTGGCCGTTTTCCCACGCCGTCTCCACGAGATTGCCCTGGCCGTTGCGGGAAAAGACATGGACTGACCCTGACGTGAGGTTGATGGCTGACGGACGGCTGTAGTCGCTCACGCCGCATTGTTCACGCAGAAACAGCTCCTGAGCCTGCTTGCACTCCTCCCCTGTTGGAAATAAGCAAAGACGGTCAGTGACACGAGGTTCGTGGGGGCTTTCAGCGGGCTTTGGAAACATGCATACCAGGCAACGCTCTCCTTCTCGGGGTCCTGTCCGAGATGGAAAGCAGCGAAAGGGCCAGTGCCAGGTCCAGAACCTGGGGACAATCAACTCCGTTGAAGTCGCCGTCTCTGACGCGCTGCACAAGTGGCTCGTCGACTTTCATGGGGACGGTCTCGTCACGGAAGGGGGGCTGTCTATGGCGTAAATGCTCCTGCAGCTGATCCAGCCTGTCCAGTTGGTTGTCTGCTTCCACCCTGTTTTCGTTGTGATACTGCTCGCGCGTCCACCGCAGCGTCTCTCCCCGTTCAGCCTGCGCGTACATTTGCAAGGCCGTGATCATGGTCCCCGTGCGGCCCCATCCGTAGCCGCACCAGACCAGCGTGCCTTGGCGGTGGCCGTAGAAGGCATCCCAGCCCTGCTGTAGCTGGTTCACGGTGGGAGCGTGGAAGTCGGGCGTGGCCAGCGCCGTGTAGGCGATGCCCTGGTCCTGGAGGGCCTGTCGAATGGCCTGGTTGTCGGCCTCGCCATTGAGCGAAATGACGTGCGTGATTCCGAGTTGCCGGAGACACCGGATGGTTTCCTCTGTTATTCTCTGGTCGCTGTCTTCGTGGAGATAGTATGGTGCAGACGAACGGAAGAGCTTGTCACCAGAGTTCATGTGGTCTGGCACACTCTCGATGCGTTGGAGGCCGTCACAGTCGGGGTAGCTTTGGCCGCCGCCTGGTTACGCGAAAATCGTCAGTGAGTAACTGTCTGATTTGACGCCTTTTCTAGCCTGCAATGACGAGATACAGGGCAGATGTGGCGAGAGAACACTCACCGGTTTGGCGGACCACGAGACCGTGGACTGCCGCGGCTGCCCCAACAAGGAACACGAGAGCCTTGCAAAGGAACATGGCTTTAAGAAATGATTCAAACAGTCTTCAGGTCTAGGAGAAAGGTGGAAATGCCGATTTCTCAACTGCCTTGAAGCGGATCAACCCCGTTGCGTCTCATTGCTGGACACATCTTATATAGCTGTTTGAAACCGTACGCTCACAGCATACACTGTTCCTAGGTCGGTTTGATCGTATGCAGATTGGAAGCTTGGCTACAATGGGTGGATTCTGTCAACTGTGGTCAGACTGCAGACGAAGGTATAAGTGAGCATCATTTCTGCTCTGCTTTGATCACTCACATGTAAGCTGCATAACGCCAACATGCGTGGCGCCTCAGTCTTTCGTCACTTCATGATGAGACAAGAGGCTGCCTGAAAGACGTCCCCGTCGGCAACAATTGTTACCATTGGCAGTTACGATTTCGTGGTTGTGGTGGACGTTGTCTCTTGTCTCATACGACGCCTTGCCTGCCCACCACAGCCATCGACCGACATGCTGCAAGAGGCGCAATTAGGCACTGGGCCACGTACTTTTAATATACGGAGTACGCAGGCCGCAAATCACACGCCCTCTCACCTCTAGGAATCGGCATTGCAAAGCACCCCATGCTGACGTCGGGCCTTATCACATCTCGCAAGCACGCTTCGGTCTCTGCAGGTCTTCGTCGCGTCCCATGCAATCAGGGGTCTTGAACTCGCGGATACACACCAAGACCCGGTCAACTCGAGGATACAACCAACTGCCGAACCGTGCAGTCCATTTCAACCGGAATATGTTGCTTTTTCTGCAACGGAGAATAAACCAGGTAGCTATACAACTCTCCGTGTGGACGTTCGCAACCTGCCGCGGTAAAGTAAGTGTAGTTGTCTCGCTTCGTGGCGCAACGTCTTTGACAGGAAGCAGAAATAAATCCCCAACTACGGGAGTACGTGAACGGCTCGAAGGGTCCAGGGTGGTGATGTGTCAAATCCCGAGATGCAATGGCGGTGTTCTGACGTGCCATTTTAATGAGGAGATAGATGCCAGGACCGGGTCGAGAAACACTACTCATGTTATTAGTCACGATCCAAAGCTTGAGTCGGAGTGAAAATCGTGCCGCACCTCGAGTTATCCAGCGCATCCAATGGCCTTTTTTGAGGGCCGACTGGGCACTGCGGCCAGATTCCAGACCATGCGGCTTGTTGTTTCCGCAGTCAATATGACACCTGGATTGTTTTAACGATGGGTTTGGAAGCACAACAGCAGGATGACATGTCTGCAAGAGGCAGATGGAAAGCAGCACCGTAGAAAGGATGGCTCTGATTGGCTGAAGCTTAGGCATAGGGCGGCACCGGTAGTCACTAGCATGTTGTAACCGTGGAGGCTTCGAGAAGAAGGGACAACTGACTGACGACCGATGACTGAGCCGACGTCGTCCACTCCATCTGAATTCACCGGTTGCTTCATCTGGTGAGGACAGAATCTTGAGTAAACCTTTTACGTTCATTTTCTTTTTCCTCCGCACGACTTTGTCACGCGCCCGAGTGACCACGGTAGGCAAAGCACAAGACGAGACGAGCAGATCCTGGACATGGCGTCGTCGGATGGACGGACAGTCTGACGTGCCACATTGAACACGCCCCAAGTACTTGGTTCATCATCGCCCAGCATCGCCGCCACTTCGTCCATTCACTGGCAAATTTCACCTACACCCTCTCCTCGAGGCTTTCGACCTCAGTCTTCGCTCCTCTGGGACTCGTCCCTCTCCTTCAGGCCCCCGCACTCGACAACATGGCATCCCACGTTGTCGTCATCGCCACCGACCTGCGCCGGGCGACTGTCAATGTCACTCCTGGGACATATCTCTCCGACGTTCTGGATCAGGCTTGCAAGAAGCTCGGTCTCTCCAGCGACAAGTACCTACTCAAGTAAGACTCACCCTCTCCCCGCTCCGGCACCTAGTCCGCATGCAAGACTAAACCGTACCTGATCTGACACGTCCGTAGACACAAACAAAAGCAGGTCGATCTCTCTTTGCCCTTCCGAACATCAGGCCTAGCTGCAGGCGCAAAGCTCGAGCTCGTTCTTCGCTCCAACACCCCGTCCGCCGTACAAATCGCTCTCCAGATACCCCAACCCGAAGCTAAAGAAATCCCAGGCGGTCGCTTAATCAAAAAGTTCCCCTCCGACATGACGCTGTGGAAAGTCATGCGCCAGTTTGAAAGTGGTGAAGCGAGCGCGGGAAAGAATGTCAACATCACCGCGAGGGGTTATGCGAATACGACGAGCGGGAGTGGCCAGCTGTATTATGAAACCCCCGTCTTGAATATCATGGGGAGGGAGTTTTCGACTTTTCCAGAGTTTCAGAAGACCTTGTTCCAGCTGGGGCATAATTCGGGCAATGTGTTGATTCGGTTAGGGTACAAAAAGACTGAACAGACGCTGGTTGAGGCCATGGACATGATTAGTTCCTTCTTCAAAGACCAGGATGAGGACGCGAAGCAGGGTGAAGCCAAGGCGGAGGCCAAGACGGAAGCCAAGGAAGTGCATCAACCGCAGCAAGATCAGCAGGATACCTCCATGGCAGACGGTGTGCCGGAACCGGCTGTCCCTCAAGAAGATCCATCACAGTCAAACCAGCCTGCCCTCTCGGCAGCACCGGTGGAACAAGAAGCTCCTCGAGACAACGGAGCATCCCCTTCATCCACATCACAGGATTCGTATCAACCCGTCAATGTCTTTCTGGCGCCAACAGGAGCCACGCCCGCGGCGGCATTGGTGCCAGCCTCAGAGACCGACTTCATCCCAACCGCCGCCCACGCTCAACTCCACCAAGCCCGACTTCTTGAGAGCACGCGGAACAAACGGCTCCTCTCAGACAAGGAACTGGAAGAGAAAGCCGCCGCTCAAGAGGCACGCATCGCCTCCATAAAGTCCATCCTCGTCAGGGTGCGGTTCCCCGACAATACCAGCAGCGAATGGCAAGTCAGCCCCAGCGCGACGGGGGCGTTCTTGTACCAAGCCGTGCGACATGTCATGGCAGATGCCACGCAGCAGTTTCATCTCGTCCTCCCCGGCGGCAAGGACATCATTAAAGACGATGGCGGGGAAAACCACAACCTCGTCAAGTCGTATAAGCTATCTGGCCGGGTACTCGTCAACTTAGTATGGGAAGATAGTGTCCCGGCACATGTCAGAAAGCAGCCCTTCCTCAGAGCTAACGTCGCGAGGCAGGGACAAGCTGTCAAGGTGCCTGATCTTCCAGCGGTCGATGATGCGCCTGAGCCGGGTCCTACCAAGGAGGCGGCAAAGTTAGAGGATAAGAAGGACAAGGGGGATGGGACGAAGATCCCCAAGTGGTTCAAGCTGGGAAAGAAGTGATGAGAGGTGATTTTACTGCATGACTGGCGTTTATTTCAAATGTACAAGGTAGAGTTAGATGAGCGAATGGTTATGACGGTGATATTGGCACATGTTAACATCATGTCATTGAGCTACATGAGCACGGAAGAGTCTTGACGCTCTCGGCCACGAAGCGTTGCAAGTTTCACAAGCATCATTGTCGGAAGTAGACTGGGTTTGTGCAGTAGTAGTGAGTTATGGTGATGGACGCGGATGTAGTGTCCACGCAAAATTGACATGACGATTTCATTCAATGAGAAGCTGGTAGAAAACGGTACCACACCTTGTTCAAATCATCACATCACGGACAATCAGAATCCACGCATTGGAGAGAAGGTGATTTTTAGTATTCCGACGAAGCAGCAGGTATTTCACGTCCCTGGGATACGTTGAAATAGCCCTTCTCAACTACCGCTCCGCTTGCCAATGCGTCAATGCCATGACCCCCCACGCCGGTGTTTACATGCTTTTTCCCTCCAGAAAAAAAATAAGGTCCATTCCTCCATTGTGCAGCTCGAAAAATAGGTGTCCGACTCATCAGGTCATTGCACGCTATTTAGTGGGCGCGTCGGGACTCGGCAATGACGCGCTGCAGCTCGTCGACCTTCTTCTTGGCACGGCCAAAAGTACCGAGCTGCGTCTTTGTCAGCGTCCTGAAGGGGCGTAGAAGGATCATGGGCAGCGCTGCAACAAAGTCGCCAAGGGGGGATAACGTACTCTCTTCTTGGCGAGCTTACGGGCGCGCTTGTCCTTGGAGTTGCGAAGCAGTTCGATGACACGGCGCTCGTAGGGGGCAAGACTGCGTTGAGAAGTTAGCTGTGCTCGAGGCTTTGCTGGCTGGGAGGGGGGAAAACGATTCGGCTGGGTCACGGGGAGACGGGATGAGGGAACTGGCGGCTAGTTACGGGGACAGCCTGTGCGCAAGCTCTCCCGCGGGCTTCCCGTCATTGTGATGCGTTCGAATTGGGGATTTTCCGCCATGTTTTCTGGGCGCAGACACTTACCCGGCAACTTCCTTGACGACCTCGCGGACGAAAGCGGTGCGCTTGCTCAGGTGGCCCTTGGTGCGGGAGACACGGGGCTTGACGACACGAGGGGTGGTTTTCTATATGGCGGCGGAAACAGGGGCATCAAATGTCAGCGTCCATCGTCTGCTTCGGTCGTGGTGACCACCTCGTGGAGGACGAGGGGAGAGCGGAGCAGAGATCCTCCACGAGGTGAGACTGTGACAACACGTACGTAGCCGCGGTTCAGGCCGACGGTTAAACCGGTTCTCGCGGGCGTTTCCTTGGCCATCTTTGTCGATTGGTGATGGGGTTTGTCGACTTTGGCGTTGGGTGATGTCGAGGGAGGGATAATCGTCACATTCGGAGACGCGGACCGTAAATTTCGGGTGGGACGCACACGCCACCGCCCGTCTGAGGATGGATTTTTTTTTTTTTGAATTGTGGATCACGTGAACGGGGTAAGCGAGTTGCACCTGGGATCGGGGAGACGGGAATTTGATAACCCGGTCCGGACGAGATCGCGGGTCAACTTGGCGCTTGGCTACTTTGGGAGGCGCTCTCCAAGTCGCGTCGAAGGAGCTCACTCGACCGCGTCGCTCTTTTTGTGCTGCACATGCTATACGCGGCGAACCCTCAGTCGAAGATGACTCTACAGGATGGCGTCGCTCCCAACGGAGCTGCTCCTGCTAGGAGACACGAAGAGTACCAGTATCTTGACCTGATACGGGAAATTCTGGAAGAAGGGGAGCAAAGACCCGATCGGTGAGTTACAACAGGCGCGTCCAGCTGGGGTTGCCAGCGACGTCACCGCCCGCTAACATTTCATGGTCATTGTTCAGTACAGGCACCGGCACCATCAGCATTTTCGCCCCTAGACCAATCAAGTTCTCTCTCAACCAGGACGGCATTCCCATCCTTCCGCTTCTAACTACGAAACGCGTCTTTCTTCGGGCCGTCATTGCCGAACTGTTGTGGTTCATCGAGGCCAACACGTCATCCAAGGCCCTCAGCGACGTCGGCGTCAGGATCTGGGACGGCAACGGCTCCCGCGAGTTCCTCGACAACCTGGGCCTCACGCACCGCGAAGAAGGCGACCTGGGACCCGTCTACGGCTTCCAATGGCGTCACTTTGGAGCGGAATACGTGGATGCCAAGACGGACTATACGGGCCAGGGCGTCGACCAGCTTGCAGACGTCATTGACAAACTCAAGCACAAGCCGTACGACCGCAGGATAATCATGAGTGCGTGGAACGCCCGTGACTTGCATCTCATGGCGCTGCCGCCGTGCCATGTGTTTGCCCAATTCTACGTCTCATATCCCAGGCGCAGACGGCGGAACGGCGCAGTCCCGTCAGCCAACGGCTGTACGTCCTCCTCCACGGAGGCAAGCAACGGCGCCGAGGAGAGCAAGGCGACTGAGAAGGGCCATCTGCACTGTCAACTGTACCAGAGATCCTGTGACATGGGTCTCGGCGTGCCGTTCAACATTGCTAGCTACGCCCTGCTCACGCACATGATTGCCCACGTGTGCGATTTGGTACCCGGCAGCTTGACACACGTCATGGGCGATGCTCACGTCTACGCCGACCATGAAGACGCTCTGAATGTCCAGTTGGAAAGAGAACCACGCCAGTTCCCCGAGGTGGAAATGGCGCGAGAGAAGGGATGTAGCATAGACGGGTGGAAGGTGGAAGACATCATTGTCAGGGGGTATGATCCGCACAAGACGATCGCCATGAAGATGGCTGTATGACGTTGACGAAGGCCGGAATACACGAATGGATTTGATTTTTGATTTTTTCTTTTACAGCAGGCGGGAGCGAGCTTTTCCCCTTGGAATATTGCGTGCAATGAGGTGTGGGAGGCGGGCAGATACTGGACGCGATTCATAATTAGACGGACTGGGAGGCAGGGCTTTTGGGGGGTTTGATATCAATAGACGGCATGTTCGTTTGACGAGTCGGATATCGTATAGATTGCGGTAGGCGGAACAGGAAGCTCAACCTCGTCATGTCGACAAAGGAAGTGTGCCTGATATGCCAACCGTGCCACGCCAGAAAAGCTTGGCGAGTTGACTGAAACACGCTAGAATTGTGTTGGAAGATAGCCCGGGTGACATGTATCGTAGGCGAGTGCCACGGCAGCTCGATGGTCGGAATCGCCGATCCCCAGGGTTACGCTAACAGGTCACCCTCCGCCATATGGAGCATCTCGATGCTCGGACGAATTGATTCAACGTGACAGTCTGCTATTCACAACCCGTCTTTCCACTCAATATGCTGCGTCGTCTCCCGGCGTAGTGCGTAGCCGACAAGCCACGTTATGGAGACGTCGAGGGCCATCTGTACAAGCGTGCGTAGGAGGGAGAGGGAGACGGATTGGTTGGTGGTAGGGCGAGACGAATGACGATGGATGGAGGTGGCGGCAGCCTTTGGGAGGTATTCAGTTGGCGCTATCGGATGCCGCGCGCTGATCTAAGAATGGGCATTCAGGGTCATGGCGGATTGATCCCTTTTTCGTCGCCAGCGATCGGCAGCCCAGCCCCGTTGAGACGAGACGCAAACTGGTGTTTTGGATACCGGCCCGTCGGGCCAATCACAACTCGTTATATGCGCTGTTGCCCCGGCCGTCGCGGTCGGTCCCCGATTCTTTAACTGAGCATTTTTCCTTGATAGTCGGATACTAACTAACTACCAGACTCTAAGACAGAGTACCTAGGTAAGTAGGTACGCAGCCCGCCAACTACAGAGTATTAGGTACTTGACCTGGTTTACGCGCCTGTGAGCAGAGACCTGCGCTGCAGATCGCGGCATTGTTTGTGCCCTTGGTCGATGCAGTATGTTCCGAGGCTGGGAGTCGGCGGGTCAACTAGCAAGACCGGGCAAGCAAGGCACGCAAGGCACGCACAGCACGAGGCGTCGGGAGGCTTGTCTTGTTATACCCGTCAGCGACTAGGTGCCGTCCTGCCGTCGATTTGTCCGCCCGTTGAGTACGGACTCCGGAGTACGTGGTAGGCGGACATGCTCGTCCGTCGGGAATCAGATGAAAAGCGGCAGCGGCATGGAGCCAGGGCAACACACAAGCAGAGCGAACAAAACGCTAAACGCGCCGTGTTTTGTCTTGTGCCAGATAGGTTCTCTGTACAGGTCCAGCAAACCCTCGGACGTCTACCAAGGGCGGGACACATCGTCTTTGCTGCTTTGTGCCCACGTTTCCGCCGCACCATCTCCGTCCCTTCTCCATTGATGTGCAGCCGAGTGGTTTGAGCCCGAGCTGGTTTCCCGGACTAGTGCTCGCCTTTATCTTGTTGTTTGTTCCTGTTTGCTGGCCGATGCGTGCGCGGCAGCCGGATCGGGAAGTGATGTGTTGAACTGGTCGCTCACCCAGATGCCCGTATTACCGACGTCCAACCCCCTTTGCACAGACAGACACAGACCTTGTGCATTCTTCACATCTGCCCTTCTTTTATAGCATCCGTGGGCTCAACCCTCCTCGTCCTTGTCCCTCCTTGATTGTTTTATTAATCTGTACTCTTCTTGCTTTTCCCTTGCTCCGGAGCTTGGCACAGTTGCTTCTTGGTGCGGGCCATCAAGAGAGATATAAAATTAAAGCAAGTAAAACAACAACAAGACGAAGACGGAACATGAGGCCGACTCTCTTCCTCCTGGCCGCGCTGCCTGCAGCCACCTTGGCTCGACTTGCATACACGCCTCCCGCCGCCCTCGCAGTCAAAGCCGACGATCCAAACAACGACTGCGTCCTGCCGGCAGACTACCATGTCAGGAACTTCACCGCGGCGACCAACACCACCGGCGGCAACAGCAGCCGCAGCCTGACCTCGTACAGGTTCACGTTCCTGAATACGCTGACAAACTCGTCCACCAGCTGCGCCTATGGTCCCGGGACTAAACCCCAGGCCTCCGCCTCCAAAGGCGGACTGCCGCGGTATTCGTGCGAGAGCACAGACGTGAGCTTCATCTGGCAGGATGAGACGAAGAAGCTGTCCATGATCCAGAAGGTGTGCCCCGATGCCAACGGGTGAGTCTTGCCCTTCCCTCCCTTCCATTCAACTTGTCCTTGGCCCTCGCCTTGTCTCTTGAATATCGATTCCGGCTGGCATGTTGTTCTGGCGCTGACACGAAAACGCCTCCCATCAGCCAAGCCGACTACGAAGCTGCCGGTTCCGTCATCATTTCCCTGTCTTGCAGCCTCGACGCCTGCCGGACCAATGCCACCGACTACAGGGGCACCTTTACCAGCCTCAATCCTATCGAGCACCCTCGCGCGGTTAGACACGAGCGTGGCGTTGTGTGGTCCGTTGAGGTGGCCGGCTAAGCTTTGCGGAGGGGCGTTTGGGGCTCGATGAGGCGGCGAGGGAGGAGGAGTGAAAAGTGTCGGGTCCAGGACGTCCGGTCCCCGACTGCTGGCGCTGGGATCAATGGACACGCCTTTTGCTTTGCTACTTGGCCAACTACGTATACTCTGTACATTATTGCTTGTTCTGCGCCGCCCGTCTCGTACCCCTTCGTCGTGGCTTTTTTTGATGTCTCGTTGCCCGCGGGCCTCCCTCCCCCCTCCCTTTCCCCTCCCCTGCTTTGAAAGGGGAGAGGGAGAGCGTTGGGCGATGCGGTTGCGGTTGGCGTGGCCACATGCAGCCTCTGCTGCGCCGTTATAGAGAAATCGCGGAAATGCAAGGCCATCATTGCGGCAAGCTTGTAGATGTCAAGGCTTGTCCATCACGCATCCGTCATCCGGCAGCCAATAAGAAATCCTCCATGTCTTCCTCGATCAGCCATCCCCCCCAACCTTTCTCCCCCGCACCTTCCCCCTGCATGGCCTGTTGTGGGCTGACCCGGTCAATTGGCGCCAAGTTTATCGAGCCCCTTGGTTTACTTCCCTCCCACACTTTGGCTGGCACGCGCCCGCCCTGTGAGGCTCTAGTTAACTAACTACCAACGTTTACGGTCGCTGTCGCACGAAGGTCACGAGACTGCTGTTGCTCACCTGTTCAGCAATTTCTTGCCGGTGACAAATATTTCATCCGCGGGCGCCCCGTGGCAAAACGCGCTTTTCGTCGCCATCATGCGCTGCGGCTGAACCCTGAAGCGGCTCTTGCCATTTTTTTGCGCCATTCTCAAGTTCGCGACACCCCGTGCCGTCCGCCGTTTTCGGGACGTAGGTGGCTTGAGAGGAGAAAGGCTTCTTTGTTGGGGCGGCGACGACATCAGACGGTCAGACGGCCGAACAACGCCGCGGGCCAAGGCAAAGGACAAGAAGAGACCGAGGAGCAGAAGGACGAGGCTTCTCTCGGAGAATGCAAACTCAGATTCTTACAACCTCACCTCTGTCGGTAGTGCAACAACAACATGTGGTCTTGGGGGCTCCTCGTCCGCCCGCTGCAGTGGTGGCAGCTCGCTCGCGCTCCTCAGCAACACGTCATAGACTCGCTCTCGCCAAGCAACGGACTGTCGCCGTCAGGCATCTCGACGCCACTGTTCGCGGATCTCGAGCGCCTGTCCCGGCTGGTGGACATAACGTATTGCATTGGCAATACCGGCGTCCACAAGCCCTTTCAGTGCCTGTCGCGGTGCAACGAGTTCCCCGGCCTGTCGTTGGCCTCGACGTGGAGCACGGGGTTCCTCATGGCCGACAGCTGCGGCTACATTGCAGTGGACCATGGGAGCAAAGGCAAGGGACGTCGGCACGGCGACGCCTCCCACACAGGGGACGGGCCTAGCATCATCGTCGCCTTCAGAGGCACGTACAGCGTCGCCAATACAATCGTGGACTTGGGCACCATCCCCCAGGAGTACGTGCCTTATCCGGCCCCGGACGACGACGACGACGACTTCCAGGAGAACTACCGTCGCAGGTGCGACAACTGCACCGTCCACATGGGGTTCCTGCACTCGTGGCGCATGGCCAGGGGGACAGTCGTGCCGCAACTCAAGGCGCTGAGGAAGAAGTATCCGTCTTATAGAATGCACCTGGCCGGGCATAGTCTCGGCGGTGCCGTGGCCTGTCTTGCGGCGTTGGAGCTGAAACTGTCGCTCGGCTGGGACAACTTGGTCGTGACGACATTTGGCGAGCCTCGGGTCGGCAATCACCAGCTGGCTCACTATATCGACAAGGCCTTTCATCTCGACGGGGCGGCGAGTTCAGAACACAGGACCTACCGTCGCGTGACGCACAACAACGACCCGGTTCCTCTGCTGCCTCTGGAGGAATGGGGATACAAGCCTCACGGTGGAGAGATTTACATTTCCAAGCAGGAGCTCCAGCCTACCGAGCGGGACATACGGACGTGTGTCGGCGACAGCGATCCGGACTGCAGTGCCGGTGCCGAAGCCTCTTTACTCGGGGATGTGCGACGACTGCTTCACTTCGCTCCTGCTTCGCCGTCTGTCGAGGCGCATATTGCGGCCAGAACGTTTCCGGCTCGTCTCAAGCTCTGGCAACTGTTTTTCGCACACCGGGACTACTTCTGGAGACTGGGCCTCTGTGTGCCGGGAGGAGATGCGGCGAACTGGGGACAAGGATGGTCAGGCGGCGTCGAGGCCGAGGAACTGTAGAGGAACAAGACGTGATGAGAGATGTCGGTGCAGCCGCCTCGGTGGATGCGGCATTTGTTGCCATGCTGCATTTTCAGTGGGTGGCAGGTTGGGAAGGCTTAGATCGTCGTAGCTAATTGGGTGGAATACAAACCGATATTGCTTCATCTTTCCGTACCCCAGACTACAAGACACGATCTAATCCCGTCTGATGCTCGCCCGTGCGCAAGGGCAGTCGACCCACGCCTAGGGCAATGACAGGCGCTCGAGGCCTTTGACAAAGAGTCGGTCGCAGACAACGGTCAGCAGTGGAGCCAGACCTGAGCTGAGCGCATGCAGTTGATCAATCATGCGGCAGCGTCGGGGTGTTGGGGCCCATTGTTCCGCTTGAGCTCTTTCTCTGGTTCTTTCCAAGGGATCTTGTCCATCGGTGGGCTGGAAATAGTGCAAAAAGAGGATGTATTGGCGGCGAAAACCTCACGATCCAGTACTTATGCCGGTCAAGCCTCCCGGAAGGTAGTGGTCAACCGGAAACCTCAACTTGACAAACAATGGAGGCCGGTTTTTGCAGCCTGCTAATGTCAATCAAATTGCTTGGAAGGACGGGCAAACAGTGTTTCTGACCTCTGCCCTTGGTACCGCCGAACTACTACTACTGAGAAGTTCGGCCAAGAGGCTGTACATACGATGACGAATAAACCCACCCTAATGGTACGTAGCTGCTGACTTGTGCGCAGTATTTTAATTGATGTCCTAGGACTATTCTCATTGGATCGCTGGCAACGCACGGACCATGGTTGCGAAGCTGCCCTTCAGGATAGCCGCCGACCTTCAAAATCTCGCGTTATCGGAGAATCACCACACTCCAACCAAATTTACGCGCCTTGTTGTCCTGGCACCGAACTGTCCCACCTCCTCGCAGTACGGGGGCTACTAATGCATCCAACTGCTTCGCGATGCGCTCCCATTATAAAGCATACATCTTTCCTCCGTTCTCATCGCCATGGCCCGCACCCGAGCACAAGTTCGCGCACAGTCAAGGAGTTGCCAACCTCCGGCGCTACACAGTGAAGGTACGTCTCACCGCCCCTCGTATGGATCGCTCGCTAACACAGAGCAGAGAGACAAGTCCAAAGCGGCAAGCTCCGCAAGAGAAAATGCCAAAGTAGTCAAAGAAAGTTCGAACCCAGGCAGACCAACCAAAGTCACTCCAGTTCTCGTTTTCGGACAGCAACACACACAGCGCAGCCCATTTCGCCCCAGCAGCTTGAACCACAGCGGCACCCGATATCTCCAGGTCGAAAAAGGCAGCGGCAAGCTCAAGATACTCTCGAGAGCGCAGACAGACCAGTCCTCAAGCGAGCACGACTATCTGACGGAGGGGAACAGTCGCATCAGGGACTCGACAGTAGAAATACCAACCCGATCGCTCATTGGGCCAGAGAAGGGCGTTGGCCGAGTCACTTCATTGCGCGAGCCCCCAATATGAATCGCATCCTGGCCAGGAAGAAATCGTCGTCTTCCCTGCGGAGCCGCAAGCGTTCGGAACCTGGTTCTGCGAGCTCTGCAACGCCCAACGACCAAAAGCCCAGAGAAGCTAAAAGCGCTCCGTACCGAGATCCACGCTACAGAAAATTGCTTGAGGTCAGAGGAAGCTTCATGGATGAGTCTGCCCTTGGTGTCGCGGATGGGAGTGCAGATATGATCCTTGAGTTGCTGAGCTCTAAGCAGAATATTCCTAAAGACTCGCTCTTTCGGGACGATATTTTCAAGAAAACCTGTCGGAGTGTCGCAGACCGGAATGAAGTGAGGGTCATGCGAGATATCAGTCCCTGGCTCGTGCCGTCCGCAGAACTACTTGCTATTTTCGGAGCAAGCGAACTCGAATGCTTAATTGAAAGCATAAACGAACCATGGAACAATTCGATCCCCGTAACTGCCACCCCACCACAGCCTGACTACTCAGTAGGATTCAAGCGGGAAGCGTTTACAAAAGGCCAGCTAGAAAGGCTATCCCCACTTATTGGTGACTGGATTGCTGGAGACCAGTCCTTCTTCATGGCGACATACCTGATATACTTTCCTTTTCTAACTTGCGAGGTAAAATGCGGTGCTGCTGCCCTAGATATTGCAGATCGTCAGAACGCTCACAGCATGACACTAGCTGTGCGGGCTGTAGTTGAGCTGTTCCGCGCAATAGGGCGGGAGGATGAAATTAACCGGCAGTTGCTCGCATTCTCCATCTCGCATGACCATCAGTCTGTGCGAATTTATGGACACTACCCTGAGGTAGAGGGCAAAGAAACAACTTACTATCGTCAGACTATCCGCAAATTTGATTTTACGGAGCTTAAAGGCAAGGATAAGTGGGTGACGTATTCTTTTACTAAGAACGTCTACCAACTGTGGATGCCACAGCATTTCAAGAGAATCTGCTTGGCCATTGACCAGTTGCCGACCAACTTGGACTTTGATGTTCCCTCTCTTCAAGAATCCGGTCTGTCACAGGATCTTGAAAGTTGTGACCTAGCTCACTCAGAGGTGGACTCGGCGATTGAGCCCAACGCCTCTGATCGACAGGCCACTCTAGATTCTTCTTTCACAGGGCTAGGCGCGGTTAAGAAGCCAAGGCGAAAGCACGGGAAAGGATAGAGAGTTGTAGATAGACCTCTACTAAATAGTTTAACTGTAGTTTATATTGTATTATATGAAGTTAAATATATTATATAGTAAAACATATTACATAAAATAAAATAAATTATATAAAATGGAATGTATGTAATAGCTAGCTCCATTAGCAGTAGCAGGTGCTAGCAGTAGTCGTCCCAGTAATGTGCCGGACCCCCGACCCCAGGTCAAAAGGGCACGTAATAAATCAAGCTTGTTTATCTAGGACTATATAGGTTATCAACAAAGAGGTAGGCTATGTCGTCTATTCCGTTGCAGCTATCCATCAATAGGTTAAGCATAGCTCAGACTACAACACTTGAAAAATTATTAGAAAAGTTTCTAGTACTAGATCTTTACTATTACAGGCGTTGCTGACTGATCGTAGTCCCCGCGGCTGTACGAGCCCGCACTCCGGTAAAAGGAAGCCAACGTGGAGGCGTTTTCCAGGATAGGACGTGCGACATCGATTGCGTCTTCCTTGGGTGTGGATGGCGAAGGCGGGGAGCAGCACTTGACGGAGATGGAAACGAGGGAGGAAGAGGCACGCATGCATGCATGCGTGAATGGGTGCCTGGTAACCAGACGTCATGTTATACTCGCGTCTACGGAGTGGCTTCCTCGCAACTCCGAGCCCAACCAACAGTGGAAGTGAAGCAAGGACCTGGGTGAGTACCTTTCGGCTCCAAGGCGTGACAAATCCGCCCAATGCAGAGAAAGAAAATGTCTCAAATACCTGGAATTGTCCCAGGCACAATGCAAGTGCGTACGTTTACTTGGATATGCACGTACAGGTTGACATGTCGTAGGGTCGGTCACCGTCTGGGAAGCCTCCAACTCCGAGGTCGTCGTTACTTAGTTACTTGGTAAGTACTTCAGAAATAAGTAGTACTCAAGTTCTTGATGCATCGACAGGACATTGATGGTAGAAGCCAAGCCCGAAACAAACAGGAAGGAAGGCCCTTGCTGGCAAGGCCGCTGTGGTCTTAGCTTGCGCGTCAACTCGTCGGCATTCCGGCACTAAGCTTGATATAGCTCACGTCTAGGGAGCTGCAATCTTGACGGCCGTCTAAGACGCAGACAATGGCGACGGCGACGGCGACGGCGACGGGCGACGGGCGACGGGCCCTGCAGCAGCGCACATGTGTCGACGCTTTCTGGCAAGGGAGAAAGCGTCGACACATGTCTTGGTCCAGGCCAGGTTTTGCTTCATGAAATTTTCTGCGACGACCAGTCCCCCGTCGGTATCCACATGGTCTTCGTCCTTCCACGAGCGTCCACGAGCTGGGCAGGACTCTGCTCTGGACACAGGCACGGCTCCACCGGTGGCCCAGCCCGCCGGCGCCCGTCCCGTCCACGTCTCCAGGCCAAGTCGGCATTTTGCGAGGCGCGTCGAGCTTGTCCCGACTCCTCTTCACGGGTGTTGTGGTTTGGGGTCGGGTCGGTTGGGTCGGGTTGGGTTGGGCGGTCTGACAGCAGTGACAGTGGCATTGTCCAGACATGGGGAACGGTCAATGGTCAATGGTCACGCGCACGCACGAGTTGAGCAGCAGTGATGTCGCCGTCTCTGACGACTGGGGAGGGCGTGGGCGTGGGCGTTCAGGCGCGCGAGCAGAGAAGGTGCTCTCAGGTCACGTACGTAGTTACTCGGTAGCAAAGGGGAAGTCAATCGAGGCAGCTCAAACCGGGAGGCTCACAATGCCAGGTCCGCCCGTCTGCCTCTGCTTGTCCGGCTGCTGGCGTGCAGCCCCGACGCCAACTGATGACTCCTGGCCTCTGAGCGCTTGCGCGCTTGGGATTGACGGTGCCTTCCCGTCAGGGTCAGTCGGTCAGTCGTCAGTGTCAACTGCCCCCTCTCCCCTCTCCCCTCTCCCCTCGCCCCAGCCGCGCCCCAGAACCCCCAGCGCCAGGGCCTCCGGACGTCTGGAGTCGGGACTCAGGACCCAGGACTCGACTCGACGGGCCCAGCACAGCACCACCGGAACCTACCAAGTACTCCGGTGCAGGCGCCTCCAGAGGCTCTTCGTGGTCCACAGTCAAAATATAAACACCCACCCCCTCATCTCGTCCCTTCAACGCCTTATCTACAGGACCCCCCGAACACGCCTTTTTTTCCACATTTCTCTCGCATCATCCTTTTTGATTCCCTCCTCGCAGTTGTCTCGACGCTTTTCCTCCCGACATCTCTCCATCGACAAAATGGCCACCGAGGTAGGTTCTTGTGTCGTCCCGCCGCCCCCCTCGCTCACCTCCTCTCCAAATTCCCACCGCCGTTGCGGTCCGTGTCTGTTGCCTCAGTTGCGCAAGCGTGAAGCTTCGGCTCCGTCTCCGTCTCCGTCTCGTTGCCTTCTGTCCCTCGTCCAGTCTCGCCATTTTCAGTCAATCTCAGTTGCTGGGCGCCGAGGACATCCCTCGCCTCCCCTCATTCCCGCCCCGGCTTGCTTTACGCTTTGATCCATTGGTGCATGATGCTGACCATGTTTCTTCTCTCTAGCGTGAAAGGTTCGTCCGCCCTGCCCTTGGTCCGGAGGATCGGTTCTTCGCATCTCCAGAGAACTGAAAAGAAAAATCAAAATAACAACATAACAAAAACCACCGCGTCGCTGTCCGGAAAGACTAACCTTTTTCTCGATGTGTATCATAGCAAGACCTTCCTCGCCCGCCTTTGCGAGCAGGCGGAGCGCTACGATGAGATGGTCACCTACATGAAGGAGGTTGCCAAGTTCGGCGGTGAGCTGACCGTCGACGAGCGTAACCTCCTCTCCGTCGCTTACAAGAACGTCGTTGGTACTCGCCGTGCCTCGTGGCGCATCATCTCCTCCATTGAGCAGAAGGAAGAGTCCAAGGGTTCCGACAAGCACGTCTCCACCATCAAGGAGTACCGTTCCAAAATCGAGACGGAGCTGGAGAACGTCTGCGAGGATGTTCTCAATGTTCTGGACGAGTCACTCATCCCCAACGCCGCCACCGGCGAGTCCAAGGTCTTTTACCACAAGATGTACGTAAATAAACCCTCTCAGCTACCTGCTCCACCCACAACGGCCGCTTTTTCCGCAGATTTGCTAATCGTCGTTTTCGGCTCAAAGGAAGGGTGACTACCACCGATATCTTGCCGAGTTTGCCTCGGGCGAGAAGCGCAAGGGCGCGGCCACTGCTGCTCACGAGGCTTACAAGGTTGGTCAATGGCGCATGCTGCAATTGTCCTGCAGATCGTCCAATGACGGCGCGCACAACAGTCCATTATTCCGTGCCGCTTGAAGCTCCTGGTTGCTAACCCACTGAAAACTCTAGAACGCCACCGACGTTGCTCAGACTGACCTTACTCCCACCCACCCCATCCGCCTGGGTCTGGCTCTGAACTTCTCCGTCTTCTACTACGAGATTCTCAACTCGCCCGATCGTGCTTGCCACCTCGCCAAGCAGGCCTTTGACGACGCCATTGCTGAGCTCGACTCGCTCTCTGAGGAGTCTTACCGCGACAGCACTCTGATCATGCAGCTGCTGCGGGACAACTTGACGCTGTGGACTTCATCCGACAACGCCGAGGCCGAAACTGGTACTGCCGATGCCCCCAAAAAGGATGACGATGAGGCCGCGGACAAGCCTGCCGACGAGGTCAAGGCTGACGAGCCTGCGCCCGAGGCCACCAACTAAATTCTTTTCTCACGTCTCCGATATCATGAGCATTTCGGCAAAATGGTACCGAGGTGCGATTTTGGGCAGGCTTGTTCTCGCATATTAACCTCTACTGTGCACGAGAGCAGCTGGATCGTGTTTTTTGGGGCGGGCAGGCGGGTGAATATTGCGCCGGTGCGCAGATGCGTCGATACTTTATTTTGCGGCAATCGGGTGGAGGGTGAAGGTGGTCCTTTTTATCGACTAGGGGAAAATGGAAATTGTTATGTTGCGGATTGTTTCGTACGTTTTCGTCCCATTTCACCCTTTCGTTGGGGGGCCATGAAAGCTTGTACTGGTAGTCTGGTCCTTTGATCAGGCGGGAACTTTTTCTGCAGCAAACGCTTTTTCTTCCTGGTGCTTGCCGTATTGCGGATGATCCCTTCCACCATGAGGGTTTTGCCCCCCCCCCCGGTGTTGCTATTTCCATGTTTGGTTTGACAACTCCGAATCGAGTCGATGCAAATGTTGTTGGTTTTTCTTGGCCTTTTTTTCTTCTCTGTTGCCCTTCCCCTTCACCCGCTCTATTGTTGTTGTGCCTGTTTCTCTGTTCGTTCCTTGGTTTTTTTTTTCTTTTCTAGCTGCTGGCTGCTCTCGTTTTCCTCCTATACAATGGCCCAGTCTCTCTCGGGAGAGAAGGAATCGGATCGTGGCTCTTGCATCTTCATTCCCCCCGCCCCCTTCCAACGCGCAAAACAAAAAATATTACTTGAATCGTTCTCCGCGGCCGATGACAAGGTGAAAGAGACGAGGATAGGTTCGTCTCGTGGACTGGGCGGCCCGTATGCACGGCTGGATTGTGGACAAGCAGTACCTTTGCAAGGAGGGACTGAAGTCTTTTTTGTCCGCGTGTGATTCGGTGCTACGTTGCTGGTCTGGCTTGCACTTTAGGCGTGGATTAATGAACACTGAAATAAACATCTAAACCACGTGCTTGCTGGTGTGAATCCGTAGACTTGGGTTGGCATGACGAATACGAGTATTGACCAATTATGCTAAACCAAGTAAAATATAAACTGAAAAGGGACGGGGGGGGTTCGTGAGGTGTACACCGCTGACAAGCCAGACTCCGCCACCGTATGCCCAATGTTCAACGCCAGCGCCTGAACCAGATGTGCCTTTGTTCATTCCCGATCATCGTCTCATCTCGCATGGCTTTCAAATTCGTCGTCAACAATTTTACAAGCCGGGTATCAATTCTCCTGCTTCCAGTTTCACGAGGTGGCTGCGCGGTTGCCATCCAATAGGAGAGCGGCTCTTTCTAGACGCTGCTTCGTGTCCATAAGTCCTCGGCCCGTAACGACCTTGCCATCGCTGCTCTCTTCGCCAGGGCCGCCCACTTCTTCAATGGTGTCGACCCCTGTTGCGTTGACCGGGGAAGGCGGCGGCGGTGCGCGGTACATGGCGGTCCTGATGGCGGGTTCCCGTTCCAAGTCTTCGTCCTCGAAACCGCCGAAGCGGCCGCCTGACAGGCGACGGGCAATGCGGCGCCAGATTCGGCGGCCCCGAGACAAGGCGCCGGCGCTGTGTTGCCGTTGTGACATGGAATTTCCGGCAGAAGAGTGTGTGTCTGAAAGGGAAAAGGCGATTCCGGTGGAACTGGCTGCCGAAGAGGCAACATCGTCGAGTGCCGAGGCGACCTCGGAGCGCCAGATGAGAATGCGATTCTGCGTCGAAGCAGAAACGTTCGACACGCGGGCGGCCATGGCTGAGGGTTTTGGCAGATGATAAAAGGCTGAAGACTTGTGGTCGGAGTCCTGATGCTGGAGAAAGGGGCGTTTTGTGAGCCTCCGCCCAAGAACGGGAGGACCCAGGCCAAGAATGGTGAGACGGAAGGGACAGGCGTTTCCCGGGCTGAGATGTCCGGTCCCAAGGTCAAATATACTTTTTGCTGACAATACTTCGCCCAGCAGGAAAACAAGCTCCGGACTTAAGGACTGCCTCGTGTCGAATCAAGTCTGTTGCTCTCACGGACGGTTTGAAATTTTCGTTCTTGGCCCTATGATGCAATGGCGCGGCACCGGTGAGAAGTTTCGGCGGTTGGGCGGGTATGTCGTGTGTTAGTGCCGTTGACGGATCGATGGTACGGAGCAACGGCAGGGAGTATTTCTTGTGTCTGAAGCAATTTCTGCGGGGTAAAGCTCTCAGATGCTGCCGATAATCCCGTGACCGGTACCAACTGCCTGGAGAGGGTGGCGGCGGGCAGTAACTATACAGGGAATTGGATGTAATCGTGTGAAAAATGGTCACCTCGGAGGTGCCAATTTATCTAGATCGGGGCCGCGTGGGTTTGGAGTGAGGAGGGTAACTGGGGTAGTCAGGTGGGTGACAGTGGATTAGTAGTTGACCGTTGGCCACCAAAATCCAGTCAACCAAGCGATATCAGCGATACCGTCGTATAAACGCTTCAAAGTGCGGATACAACACAAGCTGAGCGACGCACGGGGGTCGTGTCGGCCAGTGCGAGGAGGGCAGAAGCAAACCGGTCTCCCTCACGGGTTGCGCAGATTGGAACAGGTCATGGGAGTGTGGAGCGCAGGGAAGAAACAAATGGTGATGGTGTGTAGTCGACCATTCGGGGGTAGGTGGGCGTTGTCGACTTTAAGGGCCGCCGCGAGGCAGAGCAGAGGGCGGCGGCTCCCAGACCTAACGAGGAGACTGTGAGTCTGGCTTGCTGCACGACAGCAGCGGCGCACGTACAGGGTTGGCTCATGAGCGTGCAGAGCACATGAAGTCCGTCTGGTCTCGGACGGCGATCGCCTCGGCAGAGCCAGCCGAAGCTTAATCAGAGTGATGGGGATGGGCCTCACAGCACGGCACCATAGCACCGCCGCCCAGTGGGCATCAGCTGGGCTCTGCTTGGCGACAGGATTCGTGTAGTGCGGTGGTATCTCGATGGCGATCGCTGATACGCCCAGGTACAAACATGGAGACTGGAGCTCGCCGGTGGTGGTGGTAATGGGGGTGGTGGTGGCGGCGGAGCTGGCGGCGTTGTGCAGGACCGTGGAGTTTGGTCTCGTGATGGCTCATGGCAACCCCGGCATCTCTTCATCTGGTTGGGGGATGCTCGGGGCTCAACGTCTCAAGTGCTCCTTCCTCCTCAAGTGGGAAAGCAGCCTGGCGTGTTCCTTCCCGCCACCGTTGCTCGTCGCAAACCTAGAACTCGGAAGTCATGACCGTGGCTCTCAAGTCTCACTCAATTCACTCGCCCCAAGCTGGCATTGGCCTGGCCCTCTCTTTGCGTGACCATTCTCACCATTCTCACGCCCCCTGCAACCACGGCGGCCATGCAGTGGCAGCGGCAGCGGCAGTGGCAGTGGAATGATTGTTGACTTGCATCTTCATCAGCCCACATTGCAGTCCACATCGCCAGACAGCAGCGGCCAAGATCAAGGGAATCGCCGTAGCTGCCTGGGCCGCCCAACACTCGAAACTCCCGCAACACCAAACAGCGAGCTACCGCTTGAGCAGAGGCCCCGGTAGTCGTTGTCTTGGCTTGGCGATGAATCACTGGCGTGGCCGAGCCTGTGGGGACGGCGCAAGCCGTCTAAAGTAGGATGAAGGATGATCAATCACGGTCGCCACCGCGGCGAGCTGGCGTGCTGGCTGGTCAACCTGGTGAGTTGGTTGTGTTGGTCCAATGTTGTAGATTCGCACAGCAGACCAAGTAATCCATGGTGTAGACGTCGGATTGACGAGCCCCCCCCCTTTATTATCGGCCCCGGGCGCTCGAGAGCGTTCCAGAGCTCTTGTTCCAGAAGCCACAGTGAACCTCAGCTGCGTGGTTCAAAGACGCTCGGCATCAATCTACGTGCTTCCTCTTCTGTCCAGGCGCGCCGGTGACTGCGCTGCCTTCGCCTCACAACATGCGCAAATATCGATTGCTCGTGTGACGAGTAGTACCGCTGCTGCCGAGTGTCTCTGTACCCCGACCATGTCCCGTCCTCACCAGATATCGCCGTGCCTACTCCGAACAAGAGAGTAGCACTCCCTGGTGGCCAGCCAATTTGCTCCGTCTCGCAACTATCCATGTCTTGTGTCCAATCGCTTGACTGTTCATGAATGAGACAGCTCATCTTGCGGCACTTCAGTCACATCACACGCATTGCACGGCCCGTTGGTCAAGCTTTCGAGTTCTACAAAGACTCTCGCAGGGCCAGTACTCCGTACGCCGTACGCCATTTGTACATTCTGACCCGGCCTTGTATCCTGCCCTCGCTCCCGGCCTCCCTCCGCCTCTTGCCCCGGTCGTTTCGTGTAGCCATGTAGTATCGTCCGAGGTTCCCGTTCACGTATCCAAAAGAAAAATGTCTCTCGCTGTTGCAGCGCCATGTGCCCAAATTGTTCAAGATCCACTACCAATTCGTCTTCGGCTCCATGGATTCACTTCGTTTTCGCAGCCAAGGTGCGACCTACCATCAGTGATCACACCCTGGTCTCTCTGACAGACACGGCCAAGGCAAATCAAAGCTTCCGGAGCATGCCAACTAGTAATGCTGTTTCGAACTTGGCTGCAAGGCCTCCCACCCACCAATACCTTCACCGCCATCATCTTCCGTCGAGTCCAACAGGTCCAAGCACGTAGAGGATCCTGCAGCCTCCTGGTCGTGGCTGCTCGGCAGTGGAGGTTTAAATCCGTTGGCGTGCCCCGCCATGCCGGCTGCTCCCTTGTGGGCTCCGTCTTGCCTTGTGGCATCGACAACAGATGTTGCCGTCGACTGACCTTGAGCGCGATTCTGTTGTTGTGCCACGGCCACGGCTTTCCGAGCCAGCGACGTCTGCTGACTCCCCCGTGATGTCGTAGTAGACGCCGACCGTGCTGGGAGTGCAGGCGTGGCATCATCGCTTCGTACCGACACCTTGATTGTTGAGCCAGCTGTTGTCTTGCAGAGTGCTGGGCCTGAGGTCAGATGGGCGGGCTTTTTGCCCACTGGCGGTGGAGACTTGCCGCTTTTACCTGCAAGCTGTTGCGACAGCTGTGATACTCGCGATGCTTGTGAAGCTACCGATGCAGGGCGAGATGTTGCAGGTGATGGCGGTAGAGTCTCGGTTCTACCTAGTCCGAAGCCCTGCGTTGTAGTAGAAGAAGATGTGCTTGGTTTCGAGTTTGCAGTATGTCGTCGAGGCGGCGGCGGCGGCGGCGGCGTTGCAGATTTGCCCGCGTCGGATTGACTGTCGACGCTCTGCTCATCTAGTCGTAAGCGTCCCCGTTGCGCCGGTGAGATGGGAGGGCTACAAGATACCCGCAACTGTTTCCCCGACGCTGCCGCAGCACGTTCAGTCATCGCGTTCGGCAGCGACACCTTCTCATACGGCGAGCTCGACAGACTAGAGTATCCAGGTGGTGACCTCGGTACCGACACCCAGTCAGGCTCTTCGCTCTGGCCAAAGGGATTCGAGGGCCGGTTTGGGTTCAAGGCCATTGGGAGACCATCGCGGCCATTGGGCGCTGCTACTTGTGCCCGCGCGGGTTGTCCGTTCTGTAGCCACCATTTCTGGTGCTCTGAACTCGCGGGCGGAAGACCGGGCTGAATGGAGTCGTACCCAATCAGGTCCTTGTCGTCGGATTCTTCGCCATCGCCTGGGTGGGCCGTGGGATCGCCCACGTCTGCTTTGCGGCGCTGATACAGCTCACGGCTGATATTTTCGCGCCTTTCCTCGTCAACAATATTGACGAGACATTCAAACGTGGCATAGACGGGGCGATGGTCCGAAAATCGAAGTGGTGCGGAATCGTACGAGAGTTGGCGGAGGTTGGGGCCTTTTCTGAGGATGCGGTCTGTCCATGCTGGGATTCGTGCCTTTTCACTGGATTCACATTGTGCGCTTCAGTATTATGACATGAGACATCGATACAGTTCTGCATTCGGCGTGAACTTACGAGCTGTCGTAGGTGTCTGAACCGACGTCGAATTTGTACGTGGGCATAAAGTTGATCCGAGCCTCGGAGTAAAAGGGGAAGCATAAGCCAGCAACCATCTGCAGGTTTAGCTGGTCGTTCTCGTAGAGTGTTTCTAGATCTCGCTTTTTGACTAGAGCCTTTGCGGTTTCGAGCCCTAGTCCAATGCGATAGTTGAAGTCGCCCATCCAAATGATGGCGTCTGCACGGAATCGTTTCAGCTAGTTGAAGGGAGTTCCGCCCAGCTCGGGGAAGAAATGCCGTGGGTTGCTTGCTTACCGTGGTCTTCAATCCTCCTGTTGCGTTGAAACCGCAGCCCATGATGAATGGTCGCGTAATCCCGGTTCCTTTCATCGTAGTTGGAAAACCCAGCTGCCAAATGCGCCGTTACGAAGCAAATTTGCGTACTGGCGAATTCAAATCGAATCGCCACCGCTCCCTTGTTCCCGGCCATGCCCGAGAGACCAGTCTTTTTGACACTCCCCTCAACATTCTTGATGTTGTTCAATATGGACGTCTTGACAAAGATGCATAGCGCGGCTCCTACTAGTTGTCCACTTCGCAAGAGGACGTACTTGTCCCCTCCGAGTCTTGCCTGCCTATCGTTCAAGCTGCGCTTGACGGCTTCCTCCCAGAGGTGCTTTCTAGAGGGGTTGCTGTTCATGATTTGCTGAGGGCTCAGCTCGACGATTTCCTGAAAGGCAACCACGTAGATGTCGGGTTGCTCGACGCCTGCCGACGGGCCGAACAGCCAGGGCGACAAGTCGTGGCCTATTCCGTCTGTGCGGCCGTTGAGGTTGAACGTGCCGGTCCATATTGTCATGGTTTTCGACGATGTGAACTCGCCGCTCCGCTTGGAGAGTTCAATGGAAACAAAGTCGCTGATGGGATCGAACAGGTGCACCGGCGCTTGGCTCACAAGACGGCCTAGCAACATGTCAATCGTCACCTGCCGTGAGGGGTCGACAAAGTTGTTATGGTAAATGCGTTGCACAGACTTGCGGAGATCGGCCATGGCGCCGGCCAGGGACATTTTACCATGTCGCGTGAAGGAGGATTTGAGAGCGCCCGTTCCTGCGTAGATTTTGGACAAGGAGTCACCATTGTCTGCCCAGAGGCTGGAGTGCCTCATCCAGAAGTCGGAAGCTGCGTAGTCGCTTCGGTGAGCCAGGAACGACTCAACAGCCATTTGCGAAATCAGTGTCTGGATCAGGTTTGTCCGGTCCAAACAGTCCAAGCAGTTGGTGCGGAACACGCCGTCTTGCTGCAATACAACCACCATTCGGCCCCTACTAGTCCCGACGGTCTTTTCGGCCAGGTCATCTGTTTTCTCGGCGAGAAAGTATGCGAACCCGTCTATTGACCCTTCGATATACCGACGGATATCTTTGGCGGCTTCATAACCCGCTGGGCCTTTCGTTTCGGCATGGAAGTCATAGTGTGTGTCGCGAAGCAGAGCGTGCTCGGCTAAGCCACTGCTGGACTGGCTGTACGGGGAGTGTCGTATGGCGTTGCGATACAGCGTGGCCAGTTCAACCTCTGCGGGTTTTGTGTCGCTCAGCAGGTTTATGATGTGGACTGCACCATATATGTGCTCCAGGTCTTCGAAGTGTTTATTGAAGGCAGGCTGCGTTCCTTCTGGAGATCTGGTGATGGCGATATTCTGTCTACCGGGCAGCAGGTCTGCGGTTTGCTCCCAGAATACAGGTACCGAGCCCCGGACCTGAACATAGGAGAATAGTGTGCCCGCGGCGCTGCAGAATATCGTTTCAGTCTCCACAAAGTTTGCGACATGTCCGTCGTCGTCAATGCCTCGGGAGTTGAAGCGAGTTCCGGCCCTTCTGCATGACAGCCGCGAGATCAGGCTCATGTACGATGGCATTCCATTCCTTGGTTCGCGTAGGGGAGACGCACTCTGGGGAATGGTCACTGTCTCACAGAATCCACGGATGGCAGATGTGAGGATTCGCGAGGAATCCAAGGCCTCTCGTTCTGGCGGCATGAGACGGGAGCGAAACTCGACAAGTGGACGTATCATGAACGAATTCCAGAGGTATGTGTCGTCAAAGTTGTCAATATCGAATGAATTGGAGTTGATGGATCTGGGGGAACGTTAGCTGGCCCTCTGTCACGAGCCGTCTCGGGTTTTACAGTGAATGGACCAACCTATCTTGTAGCCGGTTTGTCACATCAAAATCGGTACTGTAATAGAACGAGCCGTTGCTGAGCAGCTTTCGCAACTCATGGCAAGGATGCTCCACAGCAACCTCGCGGCGACTGAGGCTTTGGCCATATCCAGACTGACTGCTATATGCCGACATGGTGTCCGAGAATTCAGGCTCCAGGGATTCCAAAGGCACAACATCGTCATAGTCTGCACTGCTCAGGCAGTAGAAATCCACGGTTGCAATCTTTTCCACAGTCTCCCCCGGCCGAATAGTTGCAGCCCGCATGGCCCGGGTGATGACTGACAAGAAGACTTCGCCATTGGCCGCAATGAGACCTAGTGTACCGTAGACAGGTCTATGGCTCAGCGGGCGATAGTCCCTCAACAGTTGGTTCGAAATAGGGGCAAATTCTACCATGCATCTCGCAGCGAGGGAGTCTCCGCCGCCACGAGATTTGGTGGATTGCAAAGAGGTCACCGATCCATTATGAGGTGTGTCGCTGCTCGCCGACGAGCTATATCGCAAAACGAGGACATGGGACGAGGATACGATGGCAATCGATCGATAAGGAAAGTCCCGTATGTAAAGCTCGCTCGATTTGTCGGGAGCAGAAGCCTGCGCGGCCCTCGAGCTCTGGGTGTGGTCCATTGAGCGGGCGCCGGCATTCGAACTGGGAAGTCTCTCTTCGAGCGAGCGGGTAAGGTTCGGTCCTGCTACATGGGCAGACCATCCATTATCTGAGGATTGGAGATTCAACAATGGGGAAGGAAGTGTCTAGTCGTTTTACTTGGCCTGCTGTGGTGGCGAGTAGCCCACAATAAGCGTGCCTGGGAGGATGAGTCGGCGAAATCCAGCCAGAGATGACGTCGACTGCGATGCGTCGTGAGTCGTGACTCGTGGGGAGACGGACGACCCGGGCGAGTTCTGTGTGGCCCCACGGACGTGACAACGAGGAAAATCTGAACAAAGAAAGGCCTACTAACCAACTGCGAATTGATGTGTCTAGCGCTGCTCTGTCTTGTCCAGTGGCTTTTTTTTATCACATTTCTTTCATCTCTCTTTGTTCCTGTCCAGCTGCCATTGTTGTGCACGATGACAGCGTGCACTTACTTGCGGACTGTAGGATACGATGCCTGGTTGTGCTCCGTAGATTCAAGGCCAACAAAGAACCAGTAGATGAGTCAAAGAAGAGAAAGAACCATGCCGACATGCGAATTGCAAAAGCAACATGCAGCATGGCCATAGATTTCTCGACGCTTTGCTCGTGCTGAAAAAGCATAACCTACCCTATACCATTTGATGCTGACTGGAAAACCATCCTCCGGTTCGAGCTTTTTTTTTTTTTCGACATAAAAACTAGCAGACATCCCCGAGAACCAGGCACGGTTTCTGCCCAGTATTCAATCACCGGATGGCTCGAGCGAGGTCGTTGCCAAGTTTTTGTCCTCCCTCGTAGGCCAGGGGCTGATGCCGGCCGGCACTACAGGCTGCTACGAAGGCAATGTTTGTGTCGAAGATTTCGAGACGATTGTGTGGAGGATGAAGAGGGTGACGAAAAGATTGGGAGCAAGCAGACCCGCAGGCAAATCGAGCTTCAGATTCGTAATTGAGATCATGCTCTCTCTTGGAGAGCGTTCAGCCTCTTCCTATCATGTTTTTTTTGTTCAGTGAATCATCATAAGCCCAGATGAAGAGAAGAGTTATCTTCCACGGGTCCAGGACAAAAGTCATCACTTGGCACCAGCTTAGTCACACTTGATGACTCAGCACGTACTTTTTTTTCCCTGGCCTACGGAGTAGGCTTGCAGGCTCCAGCGTCTCGAAAGGTACACACTCTTCTTGTATTGTTTCCCCACTGTTCAAGCAGCGAATCAGACACAGCTGCTGACGGCCAGGTACACAGAAGTGAAGTATCGATTGTGGGCCGTGGCTGTCTGGCGCACGGGGCGGAACCATCCAAAGTCTGCCAGCCTTTCCGCATGCAACGCGCTGCCATCTTTTTAAACCCCAACCTTGTGGCAGAGTCGCAGAGCTCTTCCCTCTTCATTTGTCGCATCGTTGCATCTCAATTTATCACGAGTCGCGAAGCGCCAACGAGTCCTATGAGTGAATTCGCTCACTTCGGCGGTTCTGACGAGGAGTACGCTTCGGTGCGCAAGCACCAGGCTGAGGTGGTAAGCAGCTTGCTTCATACGATAATGCCATCCATCAGCTATCGTTCAATGTACAAGATCCTCGATGCTGATGCTGTTAAATTCAGGAAGCGGACCCCGACAACTTTGACAGCTGGGAAAATTATATCAAGTCTAGCGAGACTCTAGATGGCGGACTAAATCGAAACTCAAGCCCCCAGGCGCTGGCTACGTTTCGCGAAGCCTACGACCGTTTCCTCCACAAGTTCCCGCTTCTGTTTGGATACTGGAAGAAGTATGCGGATATGGAGTTCAACATTGCTGGGCCGGAGTCAGCAGAGATGGTGTGGACATGGATTCCCGAACCCAAGCTGCCAGTGTCCAAGCTGACTTGATGATGGCTGATAGGTTTATGAACGAGGCTGTGCCTGTATTATCAACTCCGTCGATTTGTGGACCGACTACTGTTCCTTCAAAATGGAAACGACTCACGACCCCCAGATTGTTCGAGAGTAAGTATAGCATGATGGTTTCCTTCCCCTTTAACAAGCCATCAACGCAGTATCCCTCGAGGTCGCGAGTATACTTGAGACCTCGACACGGAGACCCTCACACGTCGCTGTCGATACATGTGCTGGTGAGATATGCCTTCAATGGCCCTACCACTTTCGGGACACTCTCTCACGCTATGCGCCAGGCTCTGTTGATGCCCTGCTTCTTATTCACAGCCTTCCTCTTGTCGCCTTGACACCGCTTCACCCCGTCGATGATCTGAGAATGGAGTTGCACCTTTTGTACCAGTTGCTTTCGTGGTCGTACCCCTTCTTGTATTAAACCTCCCTTTCCCCCCCAATTGCCCATCTGTTGACGAGCTATGCCGAGAATTGTTGCGTTCTAACATTTATTGTCCAGTCTTTTCGAACGCGGAGCAAGCCTGGTTGGTCTCGATTTCCTTGCACATCCCTTCTGGGACAAATACATTGAGTATGAAGAGAGGCAAGAAGCGCACGATCGCATCTACGCTATTCATGCTCGGGTTATTCGAATTCCAATGCACCAGTATGCTCGCTACTACGAGCGTTTTCGTAACCTAGCTCACACTCGGCCATTGGCTGAGGTTGTGCCGGCTGACGTTCTCAGCCGATTCCAGGCCGAAGTCGAGGCGGAATCGGCAGCTCAGGGCGGTGGTGCACGGCCCGAGCTGGAAGTAGAACGGGATGTTCGAGCCAAGATCGACGCCATGTACTACGAAGTCTTTACCGCCACCCAGCAGGAGGTTTCCAAGAGGTGGACCTATGAGTCGGAGATCAAACGACCGTATTTCCACGTCACCGAACTAGAACACTCGCAACTCAACAACTGGCGCAAGTACCTGGATTTTGAGGAAGCCGAAGGAGACTTTGACAGAGCCGTCTCCCTGTACGAGCGGTGCTTGGTGACGTGTGCCTTTTACGACGAGTTTTGGTTCCGATACGCTCGATGGATGGCTGCACACGACGATAAGGACGAGGAGACACGTCACATCTACATTCGAGCATCTATTTTCGTACCAATTAGCAGACCCGGCATCCGAATGCAGTGGGCATACTTCGAGGAGAGCTGTGGCCGAATTGCTATCGCCATAGATATTCACGCAGCGATTCTTATGAAGTTGCCAGACTGTGTTGAAGTGGTCGTCTCATGGGCCCACTTACAACGTCGTCAGAACGGGCTGGATGCTGCCGTCCAGGTGTACCGAGACCAGATTGATGCGCCAACGGTAGATCTTTACACGAAGGCTGCATTGGTGGCCGAGTGGGCACAGCTGCTGTGGAGAGTCAAAGGTTCAGCCGAGGATGCCAGAGCCGTGTTTCTCAAAAACTCGCAGTGGTATGGCGACAGTCTCGTTTTCTGTGAGAAATGGTTTGAGTTTGAGTTGGACCAGTCTGCAACTGGTGACGAAGAAAAAGAGACCGCCGAACGCATTAAGAATGTGTTTGACGAATTCCGTACTAAGAGCAAGTTGTCCATGAGTGTCAAGCGCGAATTGGCCAGAGTTTACATGAGCTACCTCGTCCAACGAGGTGGCAAGGACGCCATGGCGATTTTCTTGGAAGTCGACCGAGAGATGTTTGGGTGAGTTGCCCCGCCGAAACTCGATGTTGCAAATCGAATAGCTGACCTTGGACGTAGACCTGCCTCGATATCCTCTCCTACCAAGTCGACCGTCATTTCCAAGGAAAATGGCACCGCTAGCGGAGAGTTGGACGAAGTCAGCAGACGAAAGGCAGAAGCGAGACTGCTCGCATTTTACGAAGTCCATGCCGAGCCTAATCCCGCAGCCCAGGGACCCGCGGATTTCAACTAATTTTGGCACAAGTCGCCGGGCCAACCGAAACTGGATGAGGACAGCCTCGGTGACGAATTATCACTTATCCACGCTGTACAACAACTACTGGATATGATGATGAGGTGCAACGTATGCGTCGTAGTCGTCGGATGCTTGAACCATGAGCTGCGATGCGGTTGAGGGCTTCTTTACGGGCGTGGCCCACGATGAAGTGTCCTTGTTCACGGCGACGACGTCATCGGGCCTCAGGCAATACCGAACTCGAACATGGAGCGAGTTTGCCGACCAGATATAAACGACCCTGGATGGGTTAGAGCATCAATAACGGTCTGGGTTAAGCGTCGCAGTTGTAGTGATTAACAGTCATGTATGGGTACAAATAGTGCTAAGCTAGTATAATGGGAAAACAAAAGGAAAGAAGAGAATAAGAAGAAAAGAACCACGGCTCCGAGCACACGAACGAACACGGTGTCTCCCCTCTCATGTTGCGTCGCAAGTTTGGTTGCTCTGTTGACGGATTCATGGGTTCATGATTGCGTCACGTTGTTGAGTCACCATGGCAGCTCCTACGAACCGACCAAGCATGGAAAAGGACAAACTGAAACTAGGAAGAAGCGGCGTCGGGTGGTTGCTGGCAACGTTGATGTTTGGTTCCACTGCAAAAACGCTTGGGTCAAGGGAAGCGGATGAAAGTGAGTCAAGACTCACGAGCATATGATGGGTTGGAAATACAAACGGGAGCCGGCCTGCGTTTGCTTCTCAGAGTCGCCTCACTCACTGTCTGCTTTGATAGAAACCATTGGCAATATTTAAGCCGTCTGTCGTCTCCTCGCTCTTACCTCTTGCGTCCATCCTCTGGTGCTTGTCTGATTCTCAACACTCTCGGGTCGTATGCTCTGGTTCTTTCCCGCTCTCAATTCCAGACCTGCCCATTCACCTACTACACTACTCCTTGATTGCACGCCTGCGATTACTCCAAAATGCCGGGCACAGGAGGGACGCAGGGCGCCAAGGCGCTGACAAGCCCCGACCGGCTTCACAAGATCGACCAGCTCCGCGAGAAGAACGTCGGCGCTCACATGCCGCTGCCGCAACTGGTCGTCGTCGGCGACCAAAGCTCGGGCAAGTCGTCTCTCCTCGAGAGCCTGACTGGCATTCCTTTCCCAAACGGCCAGGGCCTCTGCACGCGGTACGCCACCCAGATCACGCACCGTCGTGATGCTGTCCAGGCCATCACTATAACGATCATCCCGGGACCCGATGCCGCCGACGAGGAAAAGGAGAGGCTCAAGGCCTACCAGGAGACGGTGGAGTCGACCGACGAGCTGGTCACCAGGTTTGAGTCGATTCTGACCAAGGTGAGCAAATCACCGCGCCCTTCCGCATGCCGCGTGAGCGTGACTGACTAGCATCGCAAACTCGAGGCCAATGCTGCAATGGGCATCAGAAACGACCTCAACCCCGAGGGCGTCAGGACATTCAGCCAGGACGTGCTCAAGATTGAAAAGTGCGGTCCTGCGGAGGACTATTTGACCGTCATTGACGTCCCGGGCATCTTTCGCAACACTGAAGAGGGCGTCACGACGGAGAGCGACAAGCGGCTTGTTCTTGACATGGTCAAGAGCTACATTGAGCAGGAGAGGACCGTGATCCTCGCCGTCCTCCCCAGCACAGTCGACATCATGACCCAGGAAATCCTCAATCTTGCCGAGAGGTTCGACCAGTCCGGGGAGCGTACTCTGGGCGTCCTGACGAAGCCGGATCTTCTGACCGAACGCAGCACCAAGGCCGTGGTCTGTGACTTGGTCAATGGAAAGAAACGCCCTCTCAACCTTGGCTACTACGTCGTGCGGAACAGAGGTGCCGATGAGGACAGCGAGGATTCCCAGAGTTTCAGGGAACGTGAAGCCATGTTCAAACAAGAACCCTGGTGCCATCTCCCGCCCGACCGTGTCGGCATTGTTGCTCTACGAGAACGGCTTCAGGAGCTGTTGGGCCACATCACGGACCGAGCTTTCCCGAAGCTGAGAGCGCAAGCCCGAAAGATGCTTGACGCCTGCAAGAAGGAGCTCGATGATCTGGGCTTTTCCAGACAGACTGAGCGTGAGCAGCAGCAGTATCTGTGCGACATTGCTGGTCAGTTTCAGACGGTTGTACGGGATGCTCTCGGCGCCAATTACACATCCAACGAGACGCTCGAGAGCGATGAGCTTCGTCTGATTACGGACATTGTGAACATGACAGACGAGTTCAACCAGGAATTCAGCCAACTGTCTCAATCGCGGTTCTTTCAGCCTGTAGCCAGCGCCGACGATGGAGAGTCGGATGATGGGAGACGTGCCCATGGGGAACGACACCACCACGTCAACGAACCCGACGCCTCCAAGTTTCCGGAATTGGATTCCATCATAGATACTCACTGGACTCCTGAACAGCCCGAGGGAGACATTATGGGTTGGATCAATCGCATATACCATCGTTCGCGCGGAGCCGATCTCACCACCTTTGGCCCTGGGCTTCTGCTGGGCGCTTTCCGGGAGCAGTCGAACAAGTGGGCGCCGTTTGTGAAGCTGTACATGAGCAAAGTCATCCTCATCATTCACAGATTCGTCATGACCGTGCTAGCCCGAGTTTGCCCGGACCCGAGGGTCCTTGACGAGCTCCAGTCGGCTTTGGATGCTGATCTCCGAGAGAGATATCAGGCGGGCATGGATCAAGCCCTGTTTCTCGTAAGCATCGAGCGAGACATGAAGCCGTACACTCTGAACCAAGCTTTCAGCCGCGAGCTGCAACGATTACGCAGCTTGCGCATCTCGGACAAACTAGGCGAGGACTTTATCGACAGATTCGACAGAAAAGTTGTCTACATGGACAAGGTGAAGTCTGAGCTTGGAGGCAAGAACAACGTAAAGTATACGGAGGAGGACATTCACGACATCCTACAAGTGTACTATGACATTGCGCGAGAGCGCTTCGTCGACTACGTCTACCGCCTGGCGGTCGACAACTGCCTGTTGTCTGGCCCAACAAGTCCGTTGTCGCTCTTCTCGGAGAAATGGGTGCTGGCTTTGCAGACGCAGAGCCTCGCCTCGATTGCTGGGGAATCTCTTCGCGTCACAGGGAGGCGCGATCAGCTCAACAAGAAGATGCAGGATCTTCAGAGTGCCATTGAAATTTTGCGATGATTGGATGATTGGACGATTGGCTAGCAAAGGAGGCTTGGTTCACGGCGAGAGGGAAGGGACTCGACGGCAGACGCAGTTGACATGTACGTGTGTGTGAAGTAATGATGAGTGCTGAGTCTCGGAGACGCGAGTTTTTATCGTTGCTTGAGGGCTCTTGGCTTTGGGCATTGTTGCCGCGGAGGAGGTTGTAACTTGTGCAACGGAACACGGGGAATATAGTGCGCACGAGACGTTGACGTTGGAGCCAACGTGGGCGGAATTAAGAGTTTCATAGGCTTCCATGGAGAACCAGAGCCGGTAAAAGTTGACTGCTTTACGAGCGAGACAAGACGCGGCACGTCAGATGGACTGCTGTGACGGTAGCTGTTCCGCGATGGCTTCAATGTCGACTATGTTTCTTCACTGCCACGGGTTTTGAGCCACTCATCGAGAATGGGCATCAGCAAGGCGTCGGCTGTGATGCTTGGCATGCGAAGAAGAGAAACGCACGTCGCCTGGCTGTGTTGATCTTTGATCTCGGGGCAGTCCGTTGAAACCAGGCGGCATCAGAACCCAGGTGTACGCGAGTCGAGTCCTGCGGAGCAAGTCGTTTCTCTGTCCCTTTGCTCCAAAACTTGCTTCTTCTCCAAGCCTTGTAAAGAGGTCGTGATGGTCCCAAGACGAGGAAAACACTCGAGCTCAGAGTTCCGGGGGCGCCTCTGCCACGGACACGCGCGCACTGGTCTTTCCATCTTCGGGACTCGCGTCTAGATACCTCGAAAGCAGGCCGGTTGAATCCAAAATGAACCATGCGTAGGTGTCGGACTGTGGTTGTTTCGTAGACTGCGGTTTGCACAGGAAATGCACGTACGCACCTGTCGAGTGCGTTGGAGATTCGCGAGCCGTCGACATGCCAACTCCATCGCAAAGTCCTGACGGTTGACACAGCCACGTGAACTGCCGGACCGTCGGTGACTTCCTTCTCCGGCGGTGACTCCCTCGTTGCACCGACACGCATCCTTGTCGATCCAGACAGAAATTCTACCTGTCCGGGGCGTCACGGTCCCTCCCTTCTCCCTCCCCTTCCCCTTCCCCTTCCCCAAGACCTCGCCGTCGACGCAAACACACCGACACGACCAGCCTGGCACGCCGACAATGAGCACGAGAATACTGCCGTCGTGGCACCGCCTGCTGGGCCTTTCGTCGCAACGCCCGCCGTGGTACAGGGCTCGTCTGCGGGAAGAGCTGGCCGAGCGACGGGAGGCGCGGACGGCCCTCGCCAGGCTGAGCGAGACGTCCGACGTCTTCTACACCCTGGGCAGGGCACGACACGACGGCTATCCGTTGCGGCGGACGCCGGCGTTTCGCCTCGGGCATGCGCCGGTATACGCCTACATGCTGTCCAAGTACACCTCCCGCTGGATCTTCTACCAAGCCGCCGCCTTTCTTTGCGGCTCAGCCCGCTTCCGCCAGGTGCGAGAGGTGGTGAATCCGGCACGCGACGTCAAGCTCGGCCAGGTCGCGTCGCGCCATCACCTCGAGCCTGGCGAGTTTGTGCGGGTGTGCCGTCGCTTGCGGCGCGTCTGGCCTCTCCTCCCGTAGGAGCTGCGTCCTCGCTGTCGGCTTTCTGCGTCTCGGCTTTTCAGACTTTGCCTCGTCCGTGGACTGGGCCAGAGCCGGCTCGCGGATCCGTGACAAACGCTGACTGTTTGCGCGTCTGCCGTTTGACAATCGCGGTGGTGGTTGTTGTCGCTGTTTGTTGTTGTTGTTGTTGTTGTTGTCCCCGGAAACATGCTGAATCCAAGGAGCGGGACGAACGGCACCATCGTTCTCCGGCCATGGTGGGCAAACAGTCGCTTTCTCTCGCTGCCTGGGATCGGTCCTCGCGGCCAACTATTGTCGCCTGATGGGAGTTGTTTGCTCGCCTCGCCACTACATCGTGACGTTGGCCTATATATTTGCGACGAGTCCACCCGGGGATGACGACTGTCATAGTACATGTTACCAGTCAAGTTTCTCGGATACATGTTCTTGCTGGCATACTCATCACCCCAAAGTCAATACGTGTTGCAAGAACCCGGGAGCCTTGTTCGGAAAATGGACCCTTCTGAACCGCCCCTTAACAAACCACTTACGGAGAAAGATGACGGCGAGAAACCTGTGGTAGTCGGGCTCTACGGATTGCCGGGTTCGGGCAAGTCGTTCCTTTTAAAGGAGCTGCGGAAGTACCTGAGCCATGCCGATTTCGACTTTTACGAAGGATCTGAGATGATTGCGTCCCTGGTCCCCGGCGGACTGCGAGAGTTTTAGAAACTCGACGACAGAGAGGCTTACTACTGGCGAGCGCAAGCAATTGACCGAATTGCTCGCAACTCTCGCCAAAGCGGGAAAACGGCACTTGTCACGGGCCATTTCATGTTCCTTAGTCAAGGGCAGCACAAGCCTGTCTATACGGCGAATGACATGGACACTTATACGCACGTCGTGTATCTGGACATTCCGACCGAAACATTGCACAAGCAAAGGGCCGACGATGCAGGGCGGGCACGCCAACAATTGTCCGTGCCGGCTTTGGAGACGTGGCAGCGAGCCGAGTCGGCGGAATTATCCCGTCTTTGTCGACAACATGGCATCCTTTTCTCCAGCTTGGCCCAAGCACCGGGCAGTCAACTTTCCGCGGCCTTGAAGCTGATTCGATTTTCACACCGAGCTTCAGCCGTACCCAACATGGTTCGAGTGAATGCCAAAGTCAGCCAGCTCCTATCCGGCCGGAAATCTCTGGAGACCATGGTTGTGGTGGACGCGGACAAGACGCTGTACGCAGAGGACACAGCAAAGATGTTTTGGGACGTTCTGGGATCAGCCAGTCCACTCCAGAAGCTGTTTGGAGGCCCGCTGGGTTATTCTGAGACGGCATTCCTCCAAGCAGTCGTTTTGTACGAAGAAGCAGCTGATGAGGCCGAGTTCGAGCGCGTTTGCGACGTCGTGGCGTCCAGGACCGAGATTCACGCCGAGTTCAAGGAACTTTTTGGAATGGCGGCAACGGAGAATCACGTGGGAGTCGTCGTCGTGACTTGCGGCATCCGGCGTGTTTGGGACAAGGTCCTGCAACGAGAAGGACTATCTCGAACAGTCCAAGTTATTGGGGGCTCGAGGATCTCCGACGACATGGTTGTCACGCCAGAGGTCAAGGCTCGAATTGTCGCGAGACTGCAGCGGGAGGAGAAAGTACGTGTTTGGGCCATTGGCGATAGCCCGCTGGACCTGCCCATGCTCGAGGCGGCCGATGAGGCTATTGTCGTCACGGGCGAGGAGCAACACAGGAGTCGAAGCATGGACGATGCGCTCCTGGAGGCCATCAAAACCAGAGGTCTCAGAGCGCGACAGGCTCTGCTGCCGAGCAACGCATCTCCGCGACTTTCGTATGCTGTGCTACCTCGAATCCGTCTTACCAACGAGGAGTTTCTGCGCCCCGTCTTCTCTCGCCGACGCCGTCTACACCAGAATGTTTGGCACGCTACCGCCAAGGATGCCGCAAAGGTGCTCATGGCGCCAACCCGAGATGCCTCGGTCGCTGGGCCGAGGCTGAGGAAAGCCCACGCCGATATAGGACTCTATCTCGCATGGGGATTCCTGCCGGAGCTGCTTGGTGTCGAGGAGTACCCAATGCAGCACGTGCAAGGTCATCAGATCATGGGCCACCGCCTCAGGCACGAGCGAGAAACGACCATTGTCGCTCTCATGCGCGGCGGCGAGCCCCTGGCCTTGGCCTTGAATGAGGCCTTGCCTCTCGCCATGTTCCTTCATGCCATCTCCCCGGACGACATTAAACCCCATCATGTTGAGAACCAAAAGACTGTGATTCTCGTTGATTCGGTGATAAACAGCGGCCAGACATTGATCAAGTTTGTCCAACACACGCGGCGATTGCGCAAGGATGTACGAATCGTCGCTGTGGCAGGCGTGGTGCATGCCGATGCCGTATCCCAGGGGCACGCGCTCGCGGGCATCATGGAACAACATGGCGTTCATATCGGAGCGCTTCGCTTGTCAGAAAACAAATTCACCGGATTCAAGGGCACTGACACTGGCCACAGGCTGTTCAACACGACACACTTGGCCTAGTTCTCAACACGCCATGATGCAGCCGCTCTTTGTGTCGGCTCACTGAAGACGCCTGAACGGGGCTGCAGCTTTCTTTTTCTTCCTTGGTTTTGAGTTCCCAGGGTCACATCCCAAGGTTGGCTCAGTCTGTTGAGAATGGGGTTGCAGCAGCAGCGTGCCGAAAGGGGGAGCGACGGTTCTGTGAAATACCGACATGAAAGATTGACAAGAAATAAAACAAAAAACCTGCAAACTAGGCAGTCGTGTAGATGCGCAGTCAGTAAAGACGCAGAGTAGATGGACGATCTCCATCGTCGTGCCGCAAGCGTGCTTACATGCGAAGGAAGCACAAAGAGCCGTCCTTTTTGACACCCAAAGGCCAAGGCTGATGTTTCTTTGACGGTCATTTTTGTAGCCATGACCACCTGACTACGGGGTCTTTCTTGTTGAAGCCTGATCGTCACTCCCTCACTCACTTGGCTCCCGACACGTCAATGACAGACTGGCTATGTAGGCAGAATGTGACGGCTAGCACAAGCGGCATGAGGCCGTCTCGAAATACCAGGAATACGACGCCGTGTCGACCACACCAGTCAAGAAGTCTCAGAGAGACCCTCCGTAGTCAATTCTCCAACAGCGTTGCCGTCCTCGGGCCGCTCAGCGGCTCGTGTCTGACAACAGCAAGCGCACGATGCCGGGTGCCTTGAAGAGAAGGACATGCACGACGCCCTTTTGGACGCGAATCAAGACTTTTCTTGGTCCTTTGATCTGGATCGCCCTGTGTAACGAGAGCCAGCAACACAAAGCACAACGCCTGAGTTTTCAACAAGCACGAGCGGGTGCCTCCGTCTTTGTGTGTCCTTGTTGCACCACTTGACTGTGGCCGGGCTCGGAAAGTCAAATGCGACTGACGGCAAACCCGAACAATTTAAACACTTCCATGCCCGCCCTCGGTCGCAGCAGCAGAGTGCCCAACATGGTCAACATAGTTCTGTCTTGAGCCGCCCACTGGTCTGGGCGATTCTCGGGAGAAGCACAGCCCAACAACATGCAACGAGTGAAGGGCAAGTAACGCGAGCATATGGCCCTGATGCTGGACGCACCCATACTGACTGGCGATAGACGCCTTCGCGAAGCGAGGCACAAAGAGTGCCGCCGCGGTTCCGAGAACGCCAAAGGCATCCGTCCGTTTGACGGATCTCACGAACGTGACCGGCAAGAAGGGCTTCGGAGACTTGCAGAAACTCTACGTGTTCGAAGTCGACACGCGGCACGACGGGGAGAGCAGGCCTGCCAGTCTGCAGGTCATGATGTGGCTTGCATCCAGCGACGGGCCGCTTCTCAAGCAATACGACGACCGCGTTATCGAATGCTTCGGCGGCCAAGGCCGTGGCATGAGCGAGGGCGCAGGGAAGATGATTAGCAGTAAGCGCAGTCTCGGGTCGGTTTTTCGACAGATGTTCCGGCGCCGTGCTTAGAGGACGCCTGGGGGAGGGGGGGGTCGGTTGCGGCTGGCTGCAGTTGGCGGGAAATGACAGCATGGAGTATTTGGGCGGTGTTTTGGTCTTGGGAGGATGAGCTTTGTAGGTGCGAGTTTGCACAGCTGGCCGTGCGAGCCATCGTGGATTTGTCGACCGGAGCGTCAGATACGGCTGCGAATGGGGACAGGGCGCAAGGTAGGGCACACATGATACCCGGAAGAGAGTGAGCCTCGCGGACATGATTGAGTTTGTCCTGCTCATGTTGTAGCTGATGACGTTTATAAGTGATGCGTGTGACGGAGGTCGAGTCGTGAGCACAGGATGTGTTCCGAACGTGGCCGGTCATTGATATCGCAGACAAAGGCTGTTGAACCATGGCAGCACGCTCGCGAGCTCAAGGCCGAACAGCTTGAGCACGAATTCACACCTGGCTCTGGTCATCTCGAGTCCTGCGGCAAGTGTGTTGGGCTGGCCTTGGCTGGACCGGTCGTCGTGTGAGAAATCCTGGGGATCAAGCCGCGGGCCTTTTCAACAGAGAATGAGCAGGCAGTCCTGCACGAAGAGAACAGGCCGAGTTCATCTGGCTCCAGAGGCCAAGGAATCAGTATTTGAGTATTGGAGCATCCCTGGTCGCGCTTTCGGACCTACTTACTGTTTCTCCAACGACGTCACGGCAACCAAGCTGCCCACCATGCGCGCACATCACATCGCTTGACCACGCCTTTATAACACACGTCGAACGCGTTTCCTCCCTTGACTAGAGTCAACCTGATAGGAACGTTAAAAGCTCGAATTGAATGCTCTGACACACCCATCCAAGAAGCAAGTATTGACGACCATGTCCAGACCTCCGACAGTTACCGGGCCATGGGTCGCCGCTAACAAGACAGAATCTCCTCCGTCTTACAAAGCGGGGTGCGAGATGGGAGACGACGTTGAGACTGTTCAGTTTGATAACACCCGTCAGCCGACTGGCGATGCATCCAACGATCGGGACCAGATGGAGGATGTGATGCCGTCCTCCAGCACCGAAACCCGCCACAAGAAAGACACCAGACCCAAGCGAGGAAACCCCACAAACGAATCCTATAGACGCCTGCATCGAAAGACCATATCACGACAGCGGACCGCACGCACCGCAAGGCGTAACCAAGGATACTCCTTCCTGCGAGTCCCCGATAACATGGAGTCGCTGCGTGAAAATACGGCAGTATTGTTCTCGGACAAGCGCGGGAATGTGGCCATGCAGAATGTGACGAGCCAGCTCGGCGCGTTGTGGCAAACGGCGAAGCCGACAAACGGTGCAGTTGCTGTTCCGAGCATTGTGCTACCAAATTCGGCCCAAGACCAAGACATCGACACCGGCTCTCTCGATGATGTGGATTCCTCCAGATGCGCCAACAGCAATATCCAGCCTACTCGAGGAGGATTTCACTCCTAGGTCTCTAGCAGAGATGTTTCCGTGTCCTCCGTCAACGACAAAGCCGTGGCCAAGGTGCTCGCGGACCATCATGTACAGAAGATTCCCCGCAAGCGAGGAGGGAAAGGGCTGACAGAATTCACGCTTGGGTGCGCAACTCTTAGTGATAGTGTCTCATGTTTGGGTACTTGAGTGACATGCCCGGGTTGGTCATCTCGGGCCGTCTGGCCAGAGGATCGGCCGCAGTTATTGGCGCGTTGATTGCAGGCTAATCAGCTTTGCAAGAAGACCGACTGGATTTGGAAATGAAGTTTTGAGGAACCTAGGATCGGGATGTTTATTGCGGCCTATTTGGCTGCTGTGGGAGGACTGGCTGGAGTTGGAGCTTTGGTTATGCGGAATGCAAGTTTCAAAGTCTCATAGAGCCGTGGACTCGTCGTCGTAATTTGGTTGGGGGGGTGGTGGTGGCAAGGTCTTGTGATATGATTGGCTATCCAACCCCCGTTTCGACCCGATCTGAACGTTGGCTCGCACTGAGTTGTCGATTTGATGTTTGATTGGCTGTTCAGGACCCTCTCTTACTTGTGTCAACCCCTTGAAAGCAAACAACAGAATGTGTTGTCCATGGACAAGGAGAATTTCGGTTGTTTATGAATGGCCAAAAGCCGGGTCTAGCGACGTTTCTTTCTTCTGCCACGGGCTGTCCGCTACTGTCCAACACTACAACGAGAGAAGGCCAGGCTTGTTTTCAGCGGCAGAGCGTTGGGAAGCCAGCGTGCAACCTGGCTAGCAACTCGGGGGAATGCCTGTTTAACTTGGACCATGACGGAATTTGTGGACCTCACAGGCTGGCTGTGGAGTGACCGTATCGTCGCATTTATTTTATTTTATTTTTTTTGACTCAGACGGCGTTTGCTCGAAATTTGCAAGTGTATCTGTGCGCCGCGCTCCTTCTGATTCGGGTCACAAACACCGCGGCAATTGACTAACACGAGAACCGTGTGCCTCACCAACACCCACCAGATATCAGGTACGGAGTAGAGCTGCCCGGTTTTCGGCTATGTTTGTTATTGGTTGTTGCCGATGGGGGTTGGCATTCACACGTGCCTGCAAGGATAGATTTGGAACCGTGAGACCTGGTCGAATAGAAAGCGTCGTCAATCAGTCGCAAGCCTGTCGGCCCGTCGCCCCCGATAGTTTTAGTTTAGCCCGTCTGGCGCCAGGACTTCAAGATCCAAACAGAGGCGATGCGAGCAATTTAAAAGCCTCGACCAGTACCCTTGCTCCGTCCACGGTGGATTTGCGAACCTTGATATCAGCTCATCCGCCTGTGGAGAGAAAGAGGGTGATAATCCACTCTGCTCTGCACGCACGCGAGCGAGCCCACCACTGAGAGTGCTTCAATTTCCAAAGAACCCCTTCAAGATTGCTTTGACGGTCGTCGTCTTTAAACTTGTTTCAAACGGAATCGGCAGTGGCCTGGCCTTTTGTCCTTTGTCACCCTCGGCCCCGGCAACGTGGGTTTCTTCTTCACACTTTGCGTTGCAATTCCATTCGCTTCTTTTTTTTCTTTCATTTCCCAAACAACCCTTTCATGCTCATCGTGATTGGCAAAGGTAAGCAAAACCCGCACCTTGGATTGTGCCGCTCATCATTGCACACTGGTTTCTTTTTTCGTCCAAAGGACATGTTCCGTGCTGACATTCCCAAGATGGCTTCCGCTACTCGCCAGTTCGCCCGCGTGGCAACCCGAACCGCCGCCCGTAACGCCTTTGCCGTTGCTCCTCGCCAGGCTTTCCGCCAGCAGGGTCGCAGGTGGTACTCCTCTGACCCTGCTCCTCAGAAGGGCCCTTCCACGTTGTGGTACCTGACTGGTGCTGTTGCCGGCGGTCTCGGAACCTGGTACTACACTGCTTCTGGCTCTCCTTCCGCCGCCTCTAGCAATATCGTCAATCCCACCAAGGACGATTACCAGAAAGTCTATGACGAGATTGCCGGCCGCCTGGAGGAAAGGGACGACTATGACGACGGTAGCTTCGGTCCTGTGCTGCTGCGTCTCGCTTGGCACGCCAGCGGCACCTTTGATAAGGAAACTGGCACTGGTGGTAGTAATGGTGCCACGATGCGGTTTGCCCCCGAGTCAGACCATGGTGCAAATGCTGGTCTTCTTGCCGCCCGTAACTTCTTAGAGCCTGTCAAGGGTAAGCAAATGGGACAGAAAAAAATCCGCACTGATTCAATAGCCTCTGTGCACCTTAATCCTGTGGCTCTTGATCCAAGATCAGACTGAGGGCTGACTTCCTCGCTAGCCAAATTCCCCTGGATAAGCTACTCTGACCTCTGGATCCTCGGTGGTGTTTGCGCCATCCAGGAGATGCAGGGCCCCTATATTCCCTACCGCCCTGGCCGTTCTGACCGTGACATCGCTGCTTGCACTCCTGACGGTCGTCTCCCCGATGCGACCCAGGGTGCTGACCATCTCCGCAACATCTTCTACCGCATGGGATTCAACGATCAGGAGATTGTTGCCCTTTCTGGTGCTCACGCTCTTGGTCGCTGCCACACCGATCGATCCGGATTCACTGGTCCGTGGACTTTCTCTCCCACTATCCTAACCAACGATTACTATCGTCTGCTACTCGAGGAGAAGTGGCAGTGGAAAAAGTGGAACGGTCCCAAGCAGGTATGTGACGGAGATGTCTCTCTAGGTGTCTCGCGTTTTTTTGTGAGGGATCTGCTGACAGGTTCGGCGCAGTACGAGGACAAGACTACCAAGACTCTCATGATGCTTCCCACCGACATGGTCCTCGTTCAGGACAAAAAGTTCAAGCCCTGGACCGAAAAGTATGCCAAGGATAACGACTTGTTCTTCAAGGACTTCTCAGCTGTTGTTACCAAACTATTCGAGCTCGGCGTTCCTTTCGCAGAGGGCACTGAGAACCAGCGATGGAAGATGAAGCCCACTTGGGATGAGTCCAAATAATCACCGGCAGGCTTCGAAACCTCACCTCGAGTGATGGTGTAAGCAAATGGATGTAGAGTAGAAGAATACCGGACAGATAGACATTTGAGCGACATGGGACTTTAGACAGATTTTCTTTGGCTGCTATTCGGCATTTGATGTAGTAAAAGTCGGACTTATTGGAGGTAGTAGGCACATAGGTTCTGCGCCGGCCATCTGGTATGACGGCAAATTTCCGTGCTGTACACAAGACAGACATTCTTTCCACAGTAGCTGCAACGAGTCGACGGTTCCAACCACGATGGAAGTGGAAAAGACTGATTGCCTGCTTCCCAAACGGCTGGGCCACAGACTATTTCAAGCACATTGAGTCACCCAGCCAAGATCGGCCATAAACCATTAACCTGACCTCTGCCGCCATCGAGAAAGTGCTATTGGTTCCGACGAGGAGGAGCCGACGCAATTGAGAGAAGTGTGAAGGGGTTCCCCGCGTTTTGGAATTGGCCGTGGGCTGGGGGACAGCCGTTTGACAGATGCGGATGAGTGCGTTTTTGCATTCTCGTACGGAATAGAATCACACCTTGAGAGCATATCATGAAGTCGTAGCAGAGGAGGGTGTTTATGCGCGTTCTAGCCACGGGCTGGGTGTCATTTCTTTCGCGCCATCAACGGCGGCGGGACGCGAAGGAAGATTGATTCTAAATTGGGAAGGTGCGCACGGCATCTCATCCCAACCAATCTTCTCGCCTTTGGCCCCGCCGTCACCCCGCCGGCTATGGACTCTACAGCCAGCCAGCATTTCCGTTTTCCACGGAACAATGTCAATTGTACAGCATCATACCCCCAACGAAAGAACTGCCGATGCATCGCGAGTAAACGTCTACGACTCCCTACCAGTGTCGGCTGTGTTCGGTCCGAGCAGGCCTGACATGTCGGGGCCGGAATGAATGTCGGAAGTCCGGCAACTCGCATGCGCCAATGTCAACTATGTCTATATCAGGGGTGGGAGACGGGGAGACACGAGCTTGAATCATGGGGATTGATGCTGTGCAGCAGAGCACCAGAACATTTACCGTGCTACTATGGGGTACATGCACGGCTGGGCAAAAGGCGAATATCGTGCCCCATGCAATGCATCCATCCTGCGGCCCGGGGCAATTGGCTTTACCATCAATGCCGACACTGCCACTGCCGACGCAATAACGAAGCGTCCTTCCAAGAATGGAAAGTCCACTGCGATAAGGGACGTGGAGAACGGATGCGAGGATCGAACTTCTACATTCTACTCATTCGCTCAACCACACCCGTTGAGGGTCTCATGCGAGTGACGAGCGTTGCCATGGAAGCGGAACAACATCGCGACTTGACCCGATCTGGTAGGAAGATGAAGCGTCTGGTCTTCCGCGACACCGTCCGGGTCACACAAGGAAGGCCAGTCAGTCAGTGCCTATCACGGCGCGACACAGATGGTCACTCAAAGCTTGCCATTGTACGGCGTACCAAGTCATTGAATACGCCCAAGTGGCGCGAAGCTTTGTGAAGCCTTTCAACGGAAGGACGATTACCGAGCAATTTAGGCCATATCGGATTCTGTGCCTCGATAACCTATATTTTGCCGGTCATCCCCGCCGGCCCGGAATGCATTTGTCAGTGGTAGCAATATGCCGGCAGACCTAGCGTCAGGTCGCAGTTCAACATGAACCGACATATAGGTGCCTCGTCGCAAATGATACCGATCGTAGAGCCGGATTGATCCAGCTTCCTGATTAGGGGTAATGCAAGGTTCTTTGTTGCATCCTGTGGGGAAACTGATGGGTGAGACAAGTGAGAGAGAGACTCTTGCACTGGTTGACTCGGCGGACAGACAATCAATGAGACATAAATAATAAGTCGCTCACCGTCTCTGGGGGGACTCGCTTGTTGGGATCTGGAACCAGTCTGAACATTATATATTCAGCATTCTCACATCTCAACTTTATCGGAGCCCGCTTTGACCTGGGCAGCGTCTTGTGAACTGGCACAAGTGTTCATGGCAACATGTCAATGCCTCTATTTCGAGCACTATGGGCCCTTGCGGCTTTGTCCTCATCTACCCTCGCAATGCCGGCTTCGCAAGCCAGTATTGTCCAGAAGCTTTCCAACGCCCCTCAAGGATGGACCCAGCATGATGTCAACGTCGACAAGACCAGTGCCAGGATGAAATTGCGTATTCATTTAGCGCAGCCGCGCATTTCAGAGTTCCAGGACTTGGCTATGAAGGTATGTTGAGAGGGGGGAGAAGCAAGGAACCTTGACGTTGCCCCCGAGAGGGAAATTTCCTTGCTAACTCATCTCAGATTGCCACTCCTGGCAACAAGCTGTACGGGAAACACCTCGCCAAGGACGAGGCAGACAAGTTCTTAGCGCCCACGCCTGAATCTGTCCAGACAGTCCAGGAATGGCTCAAGGACGCAGGTCTGGGTGACGCCGCAGAGCTAGATGGCACAGGCGATAACATCCTCGTCCACGCCAGTGTTGCCGACGTTGAAAAGCTGCTTCATGCTGAATATAGCCCATTCGGTATGCCCCCCTTGTCCCTCAGTGAGACACAGACAAATTGATGAATCGACACTCACATTCTACAGTTTCCCAACGTTCTGGAGAGGTCATCATGAGAACGCTCCAATACAGCCTGCCAGACAACCTCAAGCAGCACATTGACGTCGTCCAGCCCACGACATACTTCGGCATGACATCCAGTCGTCTCACGCAAACATCCCTTGGCGACGCTACAAATACCCAAGCGTCATGCGGAACTAGCAACCCATCCTGTCTGTCGCAACTGTACAGCTACGGCAGTGCCAAGGCGTACTCCAACGGCCGCATGGGAATCGCTGGCTTCATTCGCCAGTTCGCAAGCCAGTCTGACTTGGCTACATTCATGAAGCGCGAAGCCACGCAGAACAACACAGACCAGAGCTTCTCCTGTGTTTCCGTCAACAACGGCAGTTGCCAAGAGAATAACCCTGGCATTGAAGCCAATCTAGATGTCCAGTATGCCCGAGCCATCACCGAGAAGATTCCCAACGTGTTCTACAGCACTGGCGGTTCACCCCCCACCAACGGCAACGTGTCCGACAACGAGCCGTACCTTGAATTCCTCCAGTATCTCTTGGGCTTGTCTGATGAAGACCTCCCCAACACCATTTCGATTTCCTACGGCGACATCGAATACACGGTACCAAACGACTACGCCAACAAATGCTGCGACTTGTTCTCCAAGCTTGGCGCCCGCGGCGTCTCCGTCCTCGTCGCCTCGGGAGACACTGGCGTCGGCAGCAGCTGCCCGGGAGGGAAATTCGAAACCGCATTCCCAGCCGCCTGCCCTTGGGTAACCACCGTTGGCGGCACAGATGGCACGGGGCCTGAAAACGCCTGGTCTGGCTCCGGGGGCGGCTTCTCCGAGCTTTTCCCTCAACCCAGCTACCAGGCGGATGCCGTGAACGGCTGGCTGAGGAATGACCAGACGCACCAGAGTCAGACTCCTTATTTCAACAGCTCTGGCCGTGCGTACCCCGATGTTTCTGCTCTCGCCACCAACTTTCCTATTGTCGTGAGCGGAGCCTTTGTCCGTGTCGGAGGGACGAGTGCCGCCTCCCCCGTGTTTGCCAGCATTGTGCAGTTGTTAAACAGCGATCGCTTGCTAAGCGGCAAGAAGCCTCTGGGGTTCTTGAACCCGTGGCTGTATAGCCGTGCTGCTTCCGCGTTGACGTCCATCACTCACGGTTCCAATAATGGTTGCCGGAACATCAATGGACAGGGATTTCAGGCTGTCGAGGTGAGTTTCCTCAAACGTCCTTGCCCGTTTTTCTGGGCTTTTTTGCTAATGTCTGACTAGGGATGGAACCCTGTCACTGGCCTCGGCACGCCCAATTTTGAGAAGTTGTTGGAGGTTTCGCAGAGCACATAAGCCACTACATCTGGTAAAGGAAGCCGCTTGTTGTACATTTCATCGTTGTAAGCGCAGTGAAGACTGGCTCAATAGTGAGTGTAGCTGTTGAAATCAATGCATATGAATATAAGGCAACAAATCACGTTGAGCGTCTGCAGCCTGCATCGCATACATCAGGCAAGCCCGTGATCAACAGCTGAGAAGCAACTGGCCGGCCGCCCAATTTGCTAGGGGATAGCCTCCATGCTGGTCCGCCCATGTATCCGCAATCAACTCCAGCACAGCCCGTCACCTTTGCGAGCCATCCATGGGGAGGCCGTGTGCCGTTTACACAAGGCCCAGGTGGGCAGGCTCATCCTGAGCATGAGCAGGCAGCAGCAAGCACAATACACCAGCGTACCGTGGGCCACGAGCACCAGCTGTTCCGCGGACAAGACGTGTCGGCACGTTGCTAGAGGAGGCGGCGTGGCTACTGCTCGTGGAGTCATGGTACTTGGAATGGAGGCGATTCTGGCTCTCCCTGCAGACTCGCCATCCAATATCCAATCCTACCGTGTCGCTTCGCCCCTCTGTAGAAGCATCTGTACACTGCGAGCCGCCTGGCCTTGTTGAAGTATCCCATCTGCATGCCCTTGTGGTTGAACTTGCTGCCGTCCAGAGTCCAGACTCCATAGTCCAGAGCGAAGACAGTGCGCAAATGAGGAACGAGCGGCCTCGTCGTGCCTCTTACACCCTATTGGTGCGTGCGCAAGCCACTGGATGCCAAGGCTCGTGCAGGGTTAGGGCCTTGGTTTTGTGAACTGTGAACTGCTCTGCTCGGAGGGGTTTGGACCTGTCATGACCCGCTTTTTTGCCGTCAGCCCTGCTGCCGCGCCCTACTGTTCGTTTTTAGTACAAGTATGGCGGGCGGCCTGTCTCAACTCTACAGGTTTCACTGCGAATTTATTGGAAACGAGGTTTCAAGACGAGAGTGTGATTTTTAAAATGGGAGTTTTATCTTTCTCACCTTGGATTTTTGACCCTTAGTGGTATAAAGGCTACTTGCTGTTGTAGAGCAAGCCCGGCGGCGCCCTGTGGGATACTCTTCGGATGCACGTCGGGGACACAGAGTATAAGTGAGGAACCTTCTCTCTTCCCTCTTCCCTCTTCCCCTCAAGTATGTAGTTAATACTAGTAATGCTCACGTGCAGACGCCTGTGAGGCCCGTCCTTAACTAGAAGAGAAGAAAGGGAAAAAAAACCCCTTGGGCGTTGCAGCCATAATGGGCTGGATGCTGCACCGGCACATATTGCCTAGCAAGGCACCTAGGTTTAGCCATGAGCAGGTGTGCCAGCTAAACTTTTGCCTGCTTGGCCGCTTGGCAAGGCTATATAGTGAGATGGCAGGTGAACATGCAAAACAGCGGCCGCTTTACCCCGCGAGGCCCGGGTAGGTTGACGTCGAACCTGCTAGCGGAGCGCGTAGAGCCCTTGGGATTGTGGCCACCTGTTCTCTCCGGCAGTCTCGTTCTGCTGCTCGTGGGTCGGTGTCACCGCAGGCGATACTCCGTACCGCCATCATGCATGGTACGTCCCGTAGGTGTGGGGCAACAAGACATAAGACAAGCTCGGGCCAAAGGTCCATCAACAGTTAGCTGGACAGTTTCGAGGGCGACTCTCGCCCGGTGGAGCAGAGCAGCGACGGCATTCCAACGTGGGCGATCGGGGCAACAGAGACAGTATCGAAGTGGTAACTTTTCGAGGCGCTGCTTGTAGGGCAAGGAAAATCGAAGAGGCGCACGTACAAGCGTGGATAGCAGCCCGAGGGCCATTGAAGCTGGGGCAAAGCGAAATCCTTGGATGGCGTCAACCAACTGGACGCACCGGTTTCAAATGGTGGAATGTGGAATGCACCTGGATGCCCTGTTCATGCACACAAGAGGCTGAGCCAATAAGTCAGTCCAAGCACATGGCACAGAGGACGTGAGGCATACAGGATGAGGCATCAAGAAACGCTGAGCTGACGACAAAGCGTCTGTCAGTCAATGATGATAAATCGGCATGGTGACGGATAGCTGGCTGGCGTGGAGGTCGGTTGACCGTGCGGTGCGGGTGCGGTGGGCTTGAATCATTATTAATCGCAAGTTTGAGCCATGAATCAGGACACGTTACGGAGTACTTGAGAGCTTAAGTACCTAGGTACCTATTTGAGTACCTACTTGAGTACTCCGTACGTACGTACCTGGAGTAGAAACTGACATGCATACTTCTCAGGTACGCCGAGCCCTGGCCGTGCCCCGCAGTGGAACAAACAGTGGCAAACACACAATACGGGGTAACTCGTAACTCGCTGGCTGGGGAGGGCTGAGGTGCTGCCGCAGCCGCAGCAGCAGCAGAGGTTCGACTGGCATCACGGAGGACACAGACTCTGAGTCTGGTACATGTACATGTACATGTGCGTACTCTGCTGCTCCGTAATAGGTGTAAGCTCCTAGTGTCAACATTGAAGTGGCCCCACTCATGCATGTGCTTTGGAGCGGTTCAAGGCTGTATGGACTAGCTAAGTAAGCAGCGAGCACAGCTGTGGTCCCTTGGGGAAAAGGGACACTTGTTCAATTGGACTCGAGCCGCCTCTTCTCAGGTCCAGTGTCCTGCCTGGGTTGAAGATACAAAACCTCAATCCCATCATCCTCCGACAGCTTCTTGATTCCTCCCCTTCCATCGCCCACAACCCCCATCCCATCAGCCTCTTCTCAATCCATCGTGGCTTGCTGATCCTGGGCCCTCGGGAAAAACCGCCGTTTTATTTTTCTTTCGCTTTTGCTCATTCATTCACATCCAGGCCTGTGTAGTATACTTCCAGCCCGCCTTCGTCACCACTCACACATTATGCAGTACAAGCGTGTCGCTTATGGCCTGTTGGCCGCCTTTGCCTCCCTGGCTTCTGCTGCTGATGACAAGTCCGATGTTACCGAGCTGAGCGGGGAGACCTTCAACGACTTCGTCAAGGGCAACCCCCTGAGTATGGTGGAGTGTAAGTTGATTCCTTGCCCTCCATTGATGGTCCGTTTGGCCAGAGGGCCAGTCTCTCCAGACTCTCCAGCGTGGCAACTCCCTGGCTCTTGCGCCCCCAAATAACCTTCATGTGCTAACGCGAGCCTCGCTCTAGTCGTTGCTCCTTGGTGTGGACACTGCAAAGCCCTCGGTCCCGAGTTCGAGAAGGCTGCCACCAATTTGCGGGAGTCGGGCAAGGACATCAAGCTCGGCAAGGTTGACTGCACTAAGGAGGCCGACCTCTGCCAGAAGTACGATGTCCAGGGCTATCCCACTGTTCTGGTTTTCCACAGCCTCGACGATGTCACTCCCTACGAGGGCCAGCGCAAGGCGCCTGATATCACCTCCTACATGATCAAGCAGTCGATGCCTACCGTCTCTCACCTGACCGCGGATACCCTCGAGGAGTTCAAGACGACCGGCGACGTGGTTGTTGTCGCCTACATTGATACTGATGACAAGGCCTTGTTGGAGACCTACACCAGTGTCGCCAAGAAGCTCCGTGCCAAGTACACATTCGGCTACACAGACGATGCCGCTCTTGCCAAGGCCGAGGGAGTCAAAGTCCCCTCCCTTGTTGTGTACAAGTCCTTTGACGAGGGCAAGAACATCCACACGGAGAAGTTTGAGGCTGAGGATATCGAGAAGTTTGTCAAGACCGCCGGCACCCGTCTCATTGGAGAGGTTGGCCAAGAGACTTACGCTGACTATATGTCGGCCGGTATTCCCCTCGCCTACATCTTCGCTGAGACCCAAGAGGAGCGCGAGAGTCTCTCCGACGAGCTCAAGCCCATCGCCGAGAAGTACAGGGGCAAGATCAACTTTGCCACCATCGACGCCAAGGCTTTCGGCGCTCACGCTGCGAACCTCAACCTCAAGACCGACAAGTTCCCTGCCTTTGCCATCCACGACACTGTTAAGAAGTTCAAGTTCCCTTACGACCAGGACAAAAAGATTGTCCATGACGACTTGGCCAAGTTTGTTGATGACTGCACAGCCGGCAAGATTGAGCCCAGTATCAAGTCTGAGCCCATCCCCGAGGATCAGGACGGCCCTGTTGTCAAACTTGTCGCCTTGAATTTCAAAGAGGTCGTGGGCAATAAAGACAAGGACACCCTTGTTGCGTTCGTCGCCCCTTGGTGTGGTCATTGCAAGGCTCTAGCCCCCCTCTATGAGGAACTCGCCGAGGCCTACCGTGAGTCGCCAGACCATGACAAAGTTGCCATTGCCAAGATCGATGCCACCGCAAATGACGTTCCTGAAGAGATCGCCGGCTTCCCTACCATCATGCTCTACGCCGCTGGCGTGCTGGATGCCCCCATCACCTACAACGGCCCCCGCACTGTTAAGGACCTGATGGAATTCATCAAGGAGAACGGCAAGTACAAGGCTGCCGCCTCCATCAAGGAGGACACTGAGGAGGCTGCCCCCGCCGCTTCCGAGAAGGCAGAGGAGGAGGACAAGGAGGACAAGGAGGACAAGGAGGACAAGGAGGACAAGGAGGACAAGAAGGACAAGAGGGACAAGAAGGACAAGAAGGAAGAAAAGGCCGAGGACAAGGAATCCGAGGATCACGATGAGCTGTAAATTTGACGAGCAATGTACTGGTTTAAAAACGAAGGGGGGGCCCTTTATGATATCCGGGGTGGGTTTTGAAAGCTTCAGCTTGAGTATCAAGGCTTTGGAGTTTCTGTCATGTTTACGGACGCTGCCGGATTGAAATCATAGTGTTTGGCATTTGCTCAACGTCGTCACAATCCCTTGCTTGCACATGAACTCCGTGTCTTTGGACATGTTAAACTTGGATATGCATATCAACTGTGATGTTACAAGCGCACCGATGCCTAGCAACTGGCGCTACATGAGACGGCCCAGCAGTAACCCGGGGCAGCGACGACATGTTTGTTTTCTCTCCTCTTTCTTTGTCGACATCCCAGCTGCACATGGAGCCACGACGGAGCTGTTCCTTTTTATTTCTTGTCCTGTGTTCTTTGCTCCAGAGAATTTACATAGTTTGTCAAGCGGGTGACGGAAGCTTCGAGGTTCTGCAACAAGTCAGCGACATGGCTTGCAATGCGAAGCCCCGAGGCGGCGCGGGGTCACCGCGACACGTCGACAGCGCGGATGCAAGTGAGAGGAGCTGGGGAAGGGGCGTGACAAACGTAAATGTCCTCGGAGAGCATGTCGTTGGCGGCCTTGAACTCTTGGACGAGATAGTTGTAGACGGCGCCGCCGGAGAGGACACATCCGCCCAGGAAGCCGAGGAGTCTGTGCCAGTCAGCTTCCGCTGCAAAGAGCCCGGCCGCAAACCATGATGGATGCGCGCCGCAGGCTGCAGGTCCCCGAGGCGGGAGGACTCACCCTGCGCGGAAAGCTCCCACGGGCTTCTTGGGCGGGAGAGGCGCCGCGTCGGCCATCCGTCTCGCGGACGTGCTGAAGGCGCGAGGCGCGCCCAGGGCTCGCGTCGTGCCGGCCAGGAGGATTCTTGAAGCTCCAGACATGGTGGGAGGTTTGGATCTTGCGGAGTCGTCGTGGGTGGCGAGGGCTGGGCGAGACGGGATGGCATCGGGCGGCGGAGAGGCTGGCAGTGAGGTCCTGTGCTTCGCTGAGCCTGCTTCGGCAAGCAAAGCAAGCAGGCGTTGGACGGTTGGACGGTCGGAGGCGGGCTGAATTGGCGCCGCGTGATTGGGTGGGCTGCGATGGAGAAGGAGAGCTTTGAGTGTGGCGGGTTATCCCATGTCCCGACGTTTTGGCGGGCTCGGACGGAGCTGTCTGTGGAAAGGAAAGGGCGCCTGGCAGGCGTGCACGCCACGCACCTTCCGTTTAACACTGAATGGTCCGGTCTCTCGTAGGGACGAGATAGGGAAGATAGGGGGCCTCTTTTTTTTTTTTTCCCCGATCCATCTTCTTTGTTTTTCCCCCGCTACAGTTCCATCTCTTTCCTTCCAGCCCGACACTTGGCGCCAGGCCCAGCCAGGCACGGGAGCATGAACAACTTTGGCGTCATCGAGCTCGCCAGCGCGAAAACAACATCCGCGCCGGGATGGGCCTACGTGCCGGACACGGCCATGGGCCCCGGATCCGCGGGCATGCAGCCTGCCAACAGGAAACGCGCGCGCAATCCGACCGGTGGAGGGCCAAGTCTGGGTGATTTGACGGCCAGACAAGAGACCAAGATGCGGAAGGAAGTCGAGGCCCTGGAAAGGGACGGCTCAAAGGATAACACAATCCCCCTGCCCGCGAAGGGCGGCCGAAGTACGTCTGAGCGACTCGGCCCACTGGGTGGCCACGTGAGAGGGGGGGAGACTGACAAGATGAAGCGCAAACCAAGTTCACCCCCAACGTCCGAAAAGTAATGCAATCCCAAAAGACATTTGCGAACCACCTCGACGACTACCTCGCTCTACAAGCCCTCGAGGCCCAACCATCTTCCAACGCGAGCAAACGGCCCGCGGCCGGCAAGAGGGACACCGCGACGTCTACGCCCAAGAATTCTACGCACGATGACGACGTTGTCATGGCAGACGACTTGCCTCCTGTCTTGCCGCCGCCGTTCAAAGCGCCGCCCGCACCGCACCCCGGCGATGACGACCCGCTGCTCGTGTCTCGCGTGCCAGAGATGCCGTCCGACTCGGAACTGCGCAGATTGTTAGCGCACCCGCCGTTGTCGTATCTCGAGACGTTGGGGGCCGTGGACGACAGATATCCGAGGAGGGTGTTTTGCGAGGTTTGCGGGTATTGGGGACGCGTCAGGTGTTTAAAGTGCGGGACCAGGGTTTGTGCGTTGGATTGCTTGGAGACACATGGGGAGGAGTGTGTGACTCGCCATGGGCTGTGAGCTGCGGGCTCAGAATCGCTCTGAGCCCGGCGGTCACGATGGCTCTCGCCGCTGGAAACTGACCCGGTGGCTTTGGATCACTCTGCCGGCGAGAAGTATATCATGGGACCGACGACGGGGCGTGATTGTGCAGTTTGCTGGCGTTTGGCATGGTTGGAATCGATACCCCTGATATTAAACTAGACTTGGATAGCTAGGTTGCTCGGTTTCATTTTACTTTTCTGACGTTTGCAAGCACATATCGCGACTCGTCTGGGGTCGTGTTCCTGTCGTCGTCGATCAAATCAATAGTCGGTCTAGCCACGATGGCTTGGTGCAGATTACGCCGCGACAAATCGAGTCCCACGCCGACATGTGGCCGGGTCCGTCCACGCAGACTCGCGACGCATCCATCGGGAGAGACGAGGGCAGCCACACATCCCGGCGCAGTACGGAATAGGGCAAAGATGTATCCTGCCCATGTGCGCCCGTGTGTCGGGGTGTTGGAGGAGGCTTGCCAGAGTCCCAAGTCCCAGAGAGAGACACCGCCGGCAATGGTGCCCCTGCCGGTGATCAAACAACGACGGCAGCGCCAGATTCGCATCGCGCTCATGCAGGCGTCTCGGGGAAGTCAGGCAAGTCATTGTCCGAGAGGACGAGGACCGGGTCCGGGTCCGGGACGGGTCGGGTCGGCCACAGACCACGCCTCCAGGATATCATCCCAGGGGCTCCGCACATCGAGCATCGGCCGCAGTTCTCACCAGCCAGCGCGCGGCCGGCTCACTGGGCTTCGAGTCTTGACTGCCCGACGAGAGCTTTCTCGCCAACAAGTCGCAAGGGGGGCCTCGTCGCCCGTGGGAAGGGCGGCCCGCGCAGGACTGATCGGGACCGGAGAGACTTCCTCTCGGGACGACGAGCATGCGGCATTGCACGACATGCGCACCTCTACAAATCAAATCACGTTGCTGATGAGGGGGGAGTGCCGCCATGGAAAGGGAGGATTCCAAGAGCTCGTGTCGCACGGCATGTGCAGACAGGGCCGATGATGTATGGGACCACTGTCAGGACTCGGGACTCAGGATGAACGTTGCCCACGTACACGTACGGAGTACATGCATCCGTTGACGTAGTCCGTAGAGAAGCAGAGGGTCCCGGTCGGCGGTATGGACCTTGTTTCGTCATTGGGACACGTCTGTCCTCTGTCCTCTCCGACGTCGAGTAAGCTGCGTACCAAGGCGCATGGCTGATCTTGTTATCCCGTGCTCTGTGCTCTGTGGATGAATAATGAGCTGTTCGCGCCTTTGGAAGCATCGCTCGGGATTGGCTTCCAATCCTGGACGTGGTAGCTCCGACGATGAAAATTGGGCGTGGCATCGACTCCGCTGGCAGTGTCGACACCTTGTCTGGCTTCCATTCAAGCCGAGACTACATGGCAACATTCATTGCCTTGAGGACACGGCCAAGTCCAGCCTCGGATACGCTCTCTGGATGCCTTCAACCTGACAATAGGGGCATAACCCCCATTGTACCACTTCTTACGGCTCCAAGATATTGCCGTTCACGACGCCATGAGACGGATCTGGAAGTGCGGCACGCGAGCCCGCTTGATTTCAGATGCCCAGGCCCTCAACATTTTTGACATGCCTGGGCAAGGGACGAGGCACCAGCCAACGACGCCGCATCGAGACGTTACTCGCAAGATACACCAGACCAGTCGTGAGTCGTGACTCGCCGCAAGCCAAGTAAACGCTCTGGCTCAGCCTTCTCCAGTTGCTCGTCATGCTCAAGGACTGCGTCAAGGAACTGGACCAAGCCGCTTTTCAGCCTTTCAGGAGTAAAGATGTTCCAGAAGGGGGATCCGCGCGGGCTAGCTGGGACCAATATTGTGCAACAAATTTCTTCGGCAAGTCCTTTCCACGGCACTCTCCCCCACCCTCCTTTTTTTTACCCTGTACAGCTCGATCTCTTACCCTCTCACCAGCAGTTTGTGGCTGCAAGAACCGTTAGGCACAATCTGTGTTTTTAGATCAAAGGAGAGGGCCCCTGCCCCATACACCTGTATGTACTCATACGCGCAGCACCTATGCCACCACCAACCCTTGCAAGGCGTACTGGAACAGTCTGCCAAGCTCAGAGATGAAAGACGACTCGTCAACACGTGCTGGAAAGGGAAAATCATACAGGCACTAAAGCAAGGTCATTTCCATGTGGTAAGAGCGGCAAAGGTACCGTAGTGCTCCGTAAGAAGCGACACCCAGCGGTGACGCATCACCCGAGCTGCATACTCCGTACATACATACGTATGGGAACGTGGTGGCGACAACACATTTTGGCTGCTGTCCAGGACAAGGATGATGATATATGACATGTTGGAAAGGACGTGGCCCGCAACAACTTTTTGGACCGTTCCAACGTGCCTGCCCCAGAACGGGTGTGGTTCGTTTATCGAGACGCAACGGCACGAGGGTGGAGCTCTGGGGAAAGTAGAAGACAACCCGAGTTGAATGTGACTCGTCCGGTTCGTGTCCTCCATCTATGATGTATCTTGGGAGGCAAGGTCGCTATTTGGAATTCTGTTAATGTCACTCATACAAAAAGGCTCCAGCAGGGATGACCATCCATTATTCACTGCACAAAGCTGAACAATAAGGCTGGCGTCGGCAAGGAAATGTTTGGGAGGAAGTGTCTTGACGTAAAGGGGGGTCTCTGGGCGGCTGGGATTTAAAGTTAGGGAAAGGCTGCGTCTACTAATCTTGTACATGACATACATACCTCTAGACCTGTACTCCGTAGTAGTATATCCCTTTGTCTGCCAGGGCAAGGTTCACTGTGCTTTATGATAACTATGCTTGTGGAGGAGAAGGAGAAATATGCCCCCCTCCATATGATAGAACTGTGAGCATCATGTGAAAGAGCTGTCACCTTGTACAGAGTTCTCGGTACACATGACACGAGCCGTCGAAAGACATGTTAAACATGATTTTGTCGACCGAGCCGCGTTGAAACTTTGCCGCGTGGTGAGAGGAGGTGTTCATCGATCTACAGAATGCTGCAATTGGAATTCCGTTCGTCAGCCCTGCTTCGCGGTTAAACAACAGCATACGGTAGTACGTTGCCAATTCTCATGCCCCAGTATCTAGATCTACGGACTTGTAGATACGTGAGTGGCTGTTGGCTGTTGATAGGGCGCCGGAGCTCTGCGTGTACCAATTCATTGCACGCCCAAGATCATTACACCATCAGGAATCCGGGGTCAAAGACCAAAATATCGTCGTAGTAGCCCCCACGTAAGGAATAATCCACGGATAGGGCAGAACAGCTGACCGCTGGTTGCAGGGTGCATGGCTCATGCCTCAGAGCAGCGAAGCGAAACAGTCGTCATGTAGGCCAGGGAGGAGAAACGGGCAAAATCACATCGGGAGACTCAACCGTGCTACGTACCTTCTCTGTCCCTAGGCCGGAGAAGCCAAGGGTAAACCTGTTGTGAGTCTGTGTGACATGGCGTCAAACGACGCAGGGGTATGCATAGCACGCATTTCTGTAAGAGGAAAAAAGCCGTTGTTAATAGATGCCAGGGCTGCCGCCTTGTGGCGGTACATACTAAAGCAAAAAACATGTCGTGTATTCGGGGGAGTCGCCTCGTCCGGCTCGGACATCAGGGCACGGCAGTGTTTTAAAGGTTCAAAACACCCAGGGCGAAATCGATACTGTACATCCAGCATGAGCAATGACACTTGCACCACATGCAGCGTGATATGTCACATATGTGGACTCTTCAAGGGCAGGGGTGGACGACAGCCATGCCTGCCCACGAGGTTGGATTCCAGAACAGGCGAGAGTAGAAGAAATAACCTTGCCAGAGCGTCAACTGGTTCATTCCAGACGCTGTGCGCCGTCAACTTAATAGTAGAAACGAGATGCATCTGTAGAGGGGGGGGTGATCACGGAGTGATCCGTAGAACCTACTGCCAGTAGTAAATGGTCGGCCCCCGTGAGGTCGGCCACTACACAAGCTCTGTCGCCATTTAAAATGATAAATTCGGCCAAATACCCGCGAGCCTTGGTGAGAAGGTTAATATCAAAATTATGCACAGCCAGGCTCTTGACCCTTGGGAGACTATTCGGCCTAGTTCTGGGGAAGCTCCACTGGCTCCTTATGAGTTTCTAAGAAGCCTATAATGAGCTCGTAAGCTGTAGCCTGTAGGTTCGTGATATAAGCGGCTCAGCAAGAACCAGAAGGCAGGGATTCCAAGTCTGAAATCTTGGCGTTCGGGCAGGGGGTCTCACCGGTGTGGAGCCGAACCCTCCGTCCTGTCGCACGGCACGGCATGCCCAACGCGCCCTAGCATACCCACCTAGGGCTAATAGACACGCACGCGCACGGGATAAAGTTAATGCGCACCTAAAGCGTGGAGCTAAGCGCACCTATTTAAAGGGCGTATATAATTCTCTCTTTTGTAGATTAATTTAAGGCTTTTAACTATTATCTAAGTAATATCTAGCTTAGTGCTACTGCTATTGTGTAATAGTTATAAGCCTAGGAGGTGTTAATTAACTCCTGCAACTTCTACTAGCACATTAAGTATTCTTTATGTATATTATATGCTTATTATTTTTGTTCTAAGCTAACTATAAGCTAATCTACTAAGCTAACTGCACTAGCAGGCGCTATTTTAGCGCTAGCAAAGCTTCTTTGTTTCTCTATAAATTAGAAGAATTAGTATAATGTAATATATAGTTATTATAGAATATAGAAGATTTAGAACTATATAGACTCTAATTAACTAGAGTAGGAGTCTAATAGTTTCCTTAAGTCTAAGCGCTTAATAATAGCAAAGGCTAAGGTTCTTTATAAAGCATATTATTACTCTAATTTAACTTATATAGTTACTAAGGCATATAACTAAATGCAAAAGGACTATAAGTATTAGCGTGCTAACTAGCTACATAAAGAGAAGAGCGCAACCTATGTATATACTTAGTTTGCTGTTTTAATTAAACTAAGCGTATATTAGGCAACTATAGTTAAGCTAGAGAGAATAAATCCTAAATTTACTCTTAGGCAGCTAGTTAAGGCGCTAAA